GCTGATATTGGAATTGCTGTGGATGATGCCACTGATGCTGCTCGTGGTGCTTCTGATATTGTCTTAACAGAACCTGGACTTAGTGTTATCATCAGTGCTGTTTTGACTAGCCGTGCTATTTTCCAGAGAATGAAAAACTACACGGTATCATAAATTAATTAATGGCTCAGCCTGATCATATATATTGACTTATATCAAACCTGATCAAGCTTAAAAATGAATGTTTCTCTTTTTTACCTTCATTTTGCAGATATATGCTGTTTCCATCACTATACGTATTGTGGTAAGTTTCTACACCGGAGATGCATCATATTTTCACAAATAATTAAGTCTTGTTTGCCACCAGATAATACTTTGAATTTTTTCAGATGGGTTTCACGCTTCTATGTGTCTTCTGGGAGTTTGACTTCCCTCCATTCATGGTTCTTGTTATTGCAATCCTTAACGATGGTTAGTTAATTACTGTTAGAAGCTATTCAGCTTAAGGTTGTTTGCTTGTGCTTTAAAGCCTAGTATATGATCTCTGATAAATCTGCTTTCTTGGTTGAAAAGGTACTATAATGACCATATCAAAGGACAGAGTGAAGCCTTCTCCAACTCCAGATTGTTGGAAACTCAAGGAAATTTTTGCTACTGGAGTTGTCCTTGGAGCTTACTTAGCCGTCATGACCGTTGTGTTTTTCTGGGCAGCATATGAAACTAACTTCTTCACTGTAAGCTTATACATGATCATCCCTTTTCTTTTGGTTTAATTTGACTCTATATATAATTTTAACTGTACAGGCACAATAAATATCTTTCTTTCTTTCTTGTTTGGCCATAGAAAATATTCAATGTGAGAGACTTCAACCAGCACCATTTCGACATGAAAGACAAGAAAGTGGCTGCACATCTGAATGAACAGATGGCTTCTGCTGTGTACCTTCAAGTCAGCACCATCAGTCAAGCGCTCATCTTCGTGACCCGTTCCAGGAGCTGGTCTTTTGTTGAACGTCCTGGTTTTCTTCTTGTCATTGCTTTCCTCATTGCTCAGCTGGTAATTATTTAAACAACATCTTCTTCTCGATCATTCCTTTATTTATTTATTTTATACTTCTGTTAATGTAATTTTGAACAAAACAAAAAAGGTTGCATCGGCGATAGCAGCATTGGCAACTTGGCCTTTTGCTGGAATCAGAAGCATTGGATGGGGTTGGACTGGAGTTATCTGGATATTCAACATAGTAACTTACATGTTTCTTGATGTTATCAAATTCGCAGTCCGCTATGCTCTAAGTGGCAAATCCTGGAACCGAATGATCGAGCAAAGGGTCAGTACATGATAAATATATATAATGACAAAAACCTCTTAACCGCTTCACAATTTACATTTGGCCTAACTAGAACTCGTTGCCAGATTGCACTCACAGGTAAGAAGAACTTTGGGAAAGAACAAAGAATGGCTGCGTGGGCCACCGAGCAGCGTACACAGCACGGTTTAGAGACAGGTCAAAAACCCATGTTTGAGAGAAATGGCGCAACCGAGCTTAACAATATGGCTGATGAAGCTAAAAGACGCGCAGAACTTGCAAGGTTATAATTTTTTCGATAACTTTCTCTTGTTTTTGTATATTACAGATTGTTAGTTTATGTCCTGTTTCAGAGATTTGAACTCTCATGATTTCTTTTTTTTTTCTGATGAAATTTGCAGAATGAGAGAGCTTCAGACATTGAAGGGGAAAGTTGAGTCGGCTGCAAAGCTGAAAGGCTATGATCTTGACGATGTTAACAATAACAACTACACAATCTGAGACTTTTAATCTCTGCCTACATTTATTTTTATGTTTTATCTTCTTCTTCTCCTTTTTCTCTATACAATACTATTATTCTTGATATTGACATTTATTCTGATATCTTGGTTGAAGATGTCTAATGTTGTTATCTCTCATTTGAAGCTTGTAACTTTTTTACGTTTATTTGATGAAAAAATCAAATACTTGATTGGTTTTGTTCGGCTCTTAAATAAAGAACACACAATGTTAAACTCTTGTTTTGGTCTCTCTTCATTCATCATGAGAATAAAAAAGTGTTGAGTTTTGTTGAAGGAGTATAATAAATCAGTAAATTGTAATCGTATATATAAGAATATGAATTTCAGATTGTATGCTTATACATGCGTTGTTCATCCAAAGTGTGTTCTACAACCAAATTAATCATCTATAACCACCACTCAAATTTAATCAGATATTTAACTTTAGCAGTTAAAATTTACAGAGTCATTTGGATACCAAATCAAGATTCGAAGCAGACCGGTTTAAACAAGTTTCCTTTGTAAGCAGCATTTATAAAAGACATTGGAATGTTAATAAGTTACCTGAGTATGTTTGTTTCTCATCAAATCTTTGTGATCTCGCCTTTACACGCAAACCTGCAATTTCTCTGTTGACAAATTGACCACACGCGCTTAATTCGCACGTGAGACTACGGAATCCAACTAAAAGTCAACTAACTCACTAGCGCGTGTTTCACACGTGCCGGTCTGTTGTATAAGAAACTGCCATTCTTATCGACCAAACAATAAAATTCTCTCCGATCCTTCGAGAGATATATAAAATCCGGTCGGCGACGAGACTAAATTCGCCGGCGAAGATCATTCCGATACCTGAGATTACGAACACCTTTAATTCTCCCAACAAAACGCTAGATTCAAGATTCTGTTACCGGAAAAGGGGATTTTTTTTTTGCTTTTTCTGCTCGAGTTTTATCCGTTTGAATTACAGGAAGAAGAAAAATGGCTTTTCTTAAGGCAGGAATTATTTTTGCCTTAATATGCACTTTCGTCTCACTCGCGTCTTCTGTTCCTTTCATTGTTCTGCATGGTAATTTGTAATCTTTGATTTTCCCTTTTCTACTATTTGAATGAATTGATACTGCAACAATCATGTTCTTATTGGTGAAGTTAGTCATTTAATTATTTCCATATTTTCTCCTCTTTTACTTGAAGATTATTCAGTTTTTAACTGTCTTTAGGTTTTCGAATTTCCAAATCTCTGGAAAAGAAGTGAAAGAGTTTTTGTTTTTGCTGTCTCAGGAATTGGGGATAAATGTAGTAATGCAGGAGTGAAACATTTCACAGAGCTTCTTAGTGATTGGTCTGGTTCTCAAGGATATTGCTTGTATGTCTACGTCCTCATTTATTTATTCAATTATGGCTCGAATTTTGTATCTAATCATCAATTGTTATGTTCTTTGTAAATTAAGGGAGATTGGGAATGGCTCGTGGGACTCATGGACCATGCCCCTTCTTGATCAGGTGATTTCACATGTTGGAAACTTGTATGTGTATATGCCGGAAAATAAACAATAAAAATCTAATTTTTGGTCTCTCGTTTTTTATGTGTGTGTTTTGCAGACAGCGGTTGTTTGTGAGAAGGTCAGATAAAACTGCATCAAGTGTTTTGCTGCTAATCTTGGCTTTTGGAAAAATCCATTTTCATTATGTATTTGTTTAAATACCATAGGTGAAGAGTATGCCTGAGCTCAGTGACGGTTACAGCATTGTGGGGCTTTCTCAGGGTAACATGATTGGTCGAGCTCTCATCGAGTTTTGCGATGGAGCTCCACCTGTAAGTCCCTTATACAAACACACATATATGCCTATGTGTATGCATGTTTTTATACTTGTTTGGTTGTGAGATATGAAAGGGCCATGCTTTTGTTCTAGCTTTTTCAATCTTTTATATATTTCCTGTAATATGATTATTGCGGTTAACAGGTTAAGAATTTTGTATCGGTAGCTGGTCCTCATGCTGGCACTGCATCGATTCCTTTCTGTGGCGTGAGTATCTAATTCCCTCCGGAAATTTTGGTTTCTTCTTTGACATGGGGGCTTGTGTTGTAACATTTTCTTGATTATGCAGGCTACTTGGATTTGCATCATGTTGGACAGTATGATCAAAACAGAGATCTATAGCGACTATATGCAGGTACTATGTTCATACTGAGAGTTTTTTTACAGCTGCTTCGTGCTTTTATGTTACAGAAGTGACATCTGATTGAGTTTCAGGAACATTTGGCTCCTAGCGGTTTTCTCAAAATCCCAACTGTAAGTTTTCTTTAGAGGTTTTTGAATGTTTTGGATTAGACTTTCCATTCTTGTTTTAACCAAATGCTTTCATAGGACATTGCGGGATACATGGAAGGTTGTAGGTTTCTCCCTAAGCTAAACAACGAACTTCCAGTTAAAAACTCGACATATAAAGAGAGGTTCTCAAGCTTGGAGAATCTTGTGCTTATTATGGTCAGTCATCGCTTCTCTGCTATTAAGTCACAAGTTTCTTTCGATGGTAATTTTTGTTTTTTGTTTTTTGGGGATCAAATGTAGTTTGAGCACGATACAATACTGATACCTAAAGAGACCTCATGGTTTGGATATTATCCTGATGGGTCTTTCAAGACCATTCTCCCGCCGCAAGAGGTAATAAATCCTTTCATCATTGTTTTTCAAATGGCTCAATTTTGGCGTTAACTTAAGACAAGTGTTTGGACTTTTTTTTTTTTCCTTTTGTAGACCAAGCTCTATACCGAGGACTGGATCGGTTTGAGAACTTTAGACGAAGCTGGAAAAGTGAAGTTCGTTAACGTCTCTGGAAATCATCTTCAGATATCTCATGCAGACATGAAGAAGCATATAGTGCCATACCTCTGTGACGAAGCATCATCATCATCCATAAGTATGGCAGTTTCCGAGTCTTCTTCCTCACACCGGTGGCTTCCAAGTGTTGGGAACTTCATTATAGATCTGATTGGTCCGGAAGTGGATCAGCTTCAGCTTGTGTTGCGTCATGTCTGAACCATATGTTCATGTTGCTGTTTGTTTGCTTACTAAACACAATCGTTACATGATAAGTTTGTAACTTGAAGATAAAAACAAGAAAAAGCGTAGCAAAATCCCTCTGAAAAGGTTCCTATATTTATGATAAAAATGTCAAATATCTATGTCACAGTAAATGGACAGAGCCTAAAAGGGGGAGAAAGAACACCAATGATTCTGTTATTACAGAAAATTTTCAAAATGAGATACGAAACATAAGTTACATAAACATCATCACACTTTTCTGTCTTTAATCTGAATCAAACATCTTCTGGGACCAAAGTCTTGAGGGTTTTGTAGTTGCAGCATGAGCCTGATCCTTTTGCTTTTGCCTGACTTGTATGGTTTGAGAGATACAGAGATATACTATCACTATATAAATGGTAACAAAAAGGCTCATATAAATTTTATTATAAGATACTTGTCTTTCCTTTTGAAGATTCTGCCTGGTGATGCTCGAGATTGCGAAGCACAATTTTTGCAAAAATCTTAGCCTCACGAGGCATATTCGAAGCTGCAGCTGCAGAACGCAAGACTCTGGCTTCTCCAGCGCTCTGCATCAAGCTTGCATGATGCATCGCGTGACGACCTCCAGGTATTGTAAACTGCATTTTCATCGCTTTAGTACCAAAATGCAACTGATTTAAAAGCACACAAACAAATCCTTAAAATACACGCATAACAGTGTACCTGGAGAAGCGCAAAAGCTGCACATGCTTTGAGTATAGAGGAAGGGTTTCGCAACATTGTAACAAATCTTCCAATTTCGGAACCACTGCATCTCAAGTGGCCAGCTTCAGGGATTCGAGCTTTCTCTGAGACTGGTGCTAACATCGATGGAGCTGATGATAAAGCAGCAGCTGCAAAGATTTGGGGTTCCATGAAAGTTGTAACAAAACCTTCAATATGTTTAAGAGCCATTGCTCTAGCACCAACTAAGCTAACACTTTTAGTTGTACTTTCTGATGAAGTCCCTATCATCGCATATTCATCCATCCTGTGTAGATAAAGAAAGATACAAAGTCAGACTTATTAAATAGAGAAAATTCTATCTTGAATGTGGATATGATTTTAAGCTTTTGAGTACCTTCCATCAAACATGTATGCTAATGCTAATGCTGCCATGAAACGAGCCATTTTGGAAACAGACGACGAACAAAGGTGAACAAGAGCTATAACTCCTCCTTCCGCCACAATGCGGAGAGCATTACCAGGATTATAAGCAAGATTCCACAGAGCTCCCGCAGCAGTTTCATGTACATCCTTGGGAAAGGTCAAAGCTGGATCAGATTAACCAAAACGACCGGTGCATGAGAACATAAACGGAAACAACAATGTTTACCTCAGCTTCGGATCTTGCAAGAGCAATTAGAGGCGGAATACCACCTTCATGTCCAATTGCAATGCTGATAGAAAAATGACGGATCATTAAGGTTTTTACGTAAATAGCTTTTGCATGGATAGCAAGCTGCATTAGTAGTACATGCACCCACACAGAAATAAATAAGTAAATGAAAATCAAATGGTTGCCACCTGTTTGCTTCTGAGACTGATAGACCCCAAAGAGCACCAGCTGCTCTCTCTTGCAGACCTGTAGATGCATTTGAACAGGACTTCGCAAGTGCCACCTGATATATAATCAGAAACAAGTGATAAGTTGCCCGAAGATGAAGGTGAGCACACATAAATGGAAATAATTTAAAATAAAAATAGAGGAAATAAAAGGAAACATAATACCAAGGCTTCAACACCACCAAATGCAGCAATGGATTCTCGATTCTTGTCATCGAACGACAGATTCCAAAGAGCACCAGCAGCTTCCTGTTTAACACCTTCATGAGGCGATTGCGTAAGCTGAACAAGAGCTTCTAATGCACCAGCCTCTTGTCCAACAGCAGCATTATTATCGTTGCTATCACCATGAGCAGCAAGATTAGCCAAAGCACGAGCCGCCTGAAAAAGACCATTTGTCAGAAACCCAGTTCAGACAATCACTAGCATCCATAACTTAATATCACCACAAGCATTGAATCAAACCAAAAAAATATATAACGAGGTGCATTTCAAAACAAGGAAGTACCTGTTCTTGTGCACCTTCATACTTGCAGTTCCGAGCTAGCATCACCAAGGCATGCACACCTCCTGCTCTTGCAACTTCTGTGCTACACTTATCGTCTGCTGCTAAATTCGCTAATGCCCCAGCAGCACGTTCCTAAGCACACAAAAAGGGTAGCTTTCTCCGTTTAGAAAGAACAAACTATATTAAAATAACACTGAAAGTTACGAAAATATAATTTACCAAATCGAGCAAAATCTTTGTATTATATGACCGAGATACCTCCATCTTTATAATAAAAAAACATCTACTTATCAATTCAAAAGTGTGAGGCTTTAAAGGTGGCAAGCGTGTACCAGAACTCCATCGCAGCCATTTGGCCATCTAAAGATAAGCTCGACTAACGCATTCACTCCTCCAGCTTGAGCGATCGCGTTCTAACAGAGAAGAAACAGGAAACAACAATATTAGTTAAAGAGGAAATGGTTCATGTGTTTTTTAACTATTTTCCAAGGGGACCATACCTTATGCTCTTCTCCAACAGAGAGATTCCATAGTCCACCAGCAGCTTCTTCAGCCACAAGCCTATTCATAGACTTTGCCAAACCAGCAAGAACATTGATCCCTCCTTCTTCAGCAACAGCCTTTGCAACTTTAGCATTTACCGACAAGTTTGCAATAGCCTTTGCAGCTTCTGATTGAAGACCTTCTCGCCAAGATGTAGCAAGTTTTAGAAGAAGTCGTATGCCTCCATCTCGCATAACTGTTTCGGCTCTTCCACAGTCTATACTAGCATTCTCATCATCAACAACAATGAAAGTCGCAAGTCCTGTTGCCGCTCTCTCTTGGACATCCTCTTGTGAGCTTTGCATTAAACTGAGAAGCAACGCAGCTCCCTGATTCAGCCAGAAATCGTTTAATCCTTGTGAATTGCTCTCTGCAATTCGTAGAAGCGTATGAGAAATGATCCACTCAATCCAACGCATTATTTCATCAATGCTTTTATCCTTTCTTATCAAATCTCTCCAGTATGAAAATATATCCTTTGGTTTCTTTGTGTTATCGGCAAATATGGAAGCTAGCCCATCAAACGTATCGTTAAAAAGAGCAAGCAAGACTTTTCCTTTGAATCTATCGGAGCTGAAACTTTTATCCTCTTCGAGAAATGGGCAGTTTAAAGCACACAGAACTTTCAAGCTCTGCGATGATTTCAACAACCTGGAAACTGCAGTATGGTCAATGCTTGTTCTCGAGACATCCAAAGCGGTTAATTTTGGAAGCTTCTCCCAATTCTCTGTTGCAACTTTCCAGTTCATGTTTGATGTCCCGGCAACAGAGAGGTAGCGAACAGATACCACTTTTCCCAGTGCCTCTTCGTTGATGTTGAGGCAATCTAAGAAACCAAGATCACTGAGCTGTGGGCAATGCTTGGCCAAAGATTCAATTGCCTCAGAACTAACATCTCTCATTCCAGAAAGCCGAAGCTTTATAAGTTTTGGACAGCAAAAGGCTACAACTCTTATAGCATCACTAGTGATCCTCTCACAGAAGTCTGGTCCAAGTTGGAGGCTCTCAAGAGCTTCATGGCGTGCTGCGATCATAGACAATGTAGCATCTGTTATCTTCCTACAATAGTCTCCGCTTATCTCAAGCAGATTCCTTGCTCTGAGATGAATTATGGCATCAGCAGAGTCAACGCCACGAAACCTAACCTTGTGAAGATTAGCACACCTAGTTGCAAGAGAAGCTGCCACTGAAAGATCAAACTTGTGAGCACGAAGATCCAATGAACCCCACAAACAAGGAGAAGCACCAAGGCTTCTCCATGTCCTACAGGTCGATGCTAAGCTAGCTCGATCGCGATAATTCAATCGAGTGAACAGATGAAGCACCGTGTCATAAGGCAACCTAGTCCAATCCACATACTCTTTAACCTTAGGTGCTAAATCCTCATCGCCAAGCACAAGAAAACTTGGTGATTCAACCTTGTTCTTTCCATTTTCCTCCACTCTCTGACGCACCCTACGACTCATAATCTTGATCGGATGTATATATTTTTAGACACTATTGAGCAATCCGCTTGTAGCTACAATGGCTAAATCATCATCTCACAGATCCTACTTCGCCTACAAAATCCAAACCTGTAAAACCAACAAAAAAAAAGATAGAAAGATTTTTAAAAACTCCCCAATTTGGCAAATCTAGATACCCAATGGCTTCAAAACTAATATCCCATTGCTAATTCAATAGAAATCAAATCCAAATAACCGAGAGAACGAGAATGCTCGCCAGTTTATGAGGACAAAACCCCTTGAATTGATAGGCAACGAGGGGACTTAGAGATAACAAAAGCTCTGGCCTTACTATTCGAATTCAATTCACAGAGACTCCAATGGAAATAAAAAGAAAAGTGAAGGAGTGATGATGGTCGGAGAGAATTCAAGAGAAGAGCCCAGAGCAAACTGTTTAACATAGAAACAAAATACGAAAAGGGCATAATCAAAACACCTTAAAGTAATCTCCTTTAGAACAACAGAAGAAGAACTTGTCTTCCTTTATTCCGAGCGACAGAGAAAGAAGTAAGAATTTTGAGGAATTGGGGAATGAGGGTGGAGAGAGACGAGAAGGGCGGTGTTGAAAGAAGAGCTCATATAGGCAAATTGTAATTGTAAGAGAAAGAGAGCATCAATCACCTCCTTTTGCACGGTACATTATATATTACCACCAATTACCATTCCTCTTTTCTTCTCTTTTTTTGAAGGAATTAAGATTTTTTCCATACACTTACCATGTTCTTTGATTAAAATTTTTATAAGTAATTTTGTTTACATACAAGTGTTCTAAAATAAGTCATTTTTCAAACAATATTTAATACCTAACTTACTTTTTTTAAAATGTAATGTTGATTAGTATCAAACATATTAATCAACAAAATTTTCGTTTGTAATACAAAAATATATTAAAATTTGTATATTAATGAGTATAATCAGAGTTTTCGCGGATAAATATAGAGGTTATATAAAAAAATTATTTGTTGAATTTAAATTATAAAATCTACTTCCTCCAGATTTATTTAGTTGTTGTTTTAAAGTTATGCACACAGATTAAGAAAATATTAATTGTATTAGTTTTTCAATATAAAAACATTATTAATTATCTATTTAAACACAATTCAACCAATAATAAAACAAATTGCATAATAAAAATAATTTTTTAAAAAAATTAGTAAATATTCATTGAAAACTGAAAACGACAACTAATTTAAAATAAACAAAATTTTTTAAAATGACAACTAATAAAAAACGGAGAGAGTAACTAATTTGGAATTATTCACATCAATTTAAAAAAATGACGGTCAAATCTTTAAAATATAATGATTATATTTTTCAATCATAAATTTCAAGATATATGTACCTATTTTTTGGTAAATACATAATTTATATAAAATTGATAGATACATAATTAATTTTTCTGATATCTGAGTTTTTTGTTTCTTTGACTGGTGAAGCTGATATTTGAGATCAAATCAATTTCTTAGGAGTATTAACGCATATCATAAATGACATGTGTCTTACACCTTTAATAGTTAAGATTTTATATATAATTAATTAATAGCTTTTATGATGTTTCTTAAATGATTTTAGACTTATTTGTTTTGTTTGAAAAAATAACAATTATCACAAAGCATGAGAGACATGTGTTTTCGCCAAAGAGGGATTTTCTTCTATAAGTTGGGATTGATTCAAAATTAACTCGTAACGAAACGGCAATTGTTGTACCAAATCATTTTAATTTCCGGTTAATTTAGTGTAAAAATCCAAAAAGGCAAAAGCTGTAACAATAGCTTTTTTGTTTTCTTGCTAATCAGAAAAGCGAACTAAAACCAAAATAACAAAGCGAATCACACACTCCTTCAAGTAAGATTTTGCGTACTTTGGGTAAAGGCAGAGTAGAAGAGAAAGAGGCGCATTGTCATTGCTGATTGCTATTAATAACAGCCTCCTTTTGCGACCGGCTTTTAGCTCCATGTGTTTAAATTTCATCGATCACAATTAGCAAAACTTTTCTAAGTATGCAACAGAAGAGTTTTTGACTAAACAAAAATATCCCATCCAAAATTTTCCATATAAAGTTCTGCAAATTCTAGAGAGAAAAAAGTATATTTCTACAACAAAACTCTGACAAATAAACTTTAGTAGAAATCAGAATTATGATGTGAAGACAACCATGAAAGCTTTTTCTTCAGCGTTTTCGATCTGCCTGCCATTTGTATACAGGTTTACCATTTGGATTGAGTATCTCGTCTTCACGTAGCTTACGTTTGCGGCCCTTTTTCTACGCATTGAACGAGTTTAATCAGAGGTGTTCCATAGCGTAAAAACAATACCAAGATACAGTCATATGATTTGAGATGAATGATAATTTTTTTTTTTTTTGGTCAAAGATGAATGATAATTTTATTACCTGTAATTCCTTCTGCATTGACATATCCATGTATAACTTCTCCAAATCTTTTGCCCTGCTCTTCCGTGCCTCGAGATCTCTGTATGATCTCTCCATTTTCCTGTTTTAAGAGATGGAAGATAAATGAGTATTGCTTGTCCATTTGATACCTTCATAAAACATCTAATGCATTTCAAAATACATACTTTTTAATATCTTTAGGAACCCCTATCGCAGAGATATCACTTTTGCTTCTATTTTGTAACTCCAGTTCTCTTGCCTCCTCTCTGATAAAGAAAAAACCAGTAATATAGATCATAAGACAACACAAACTTTCAAATAGTACGGTAAGGAGATTCACATCGAAAGATAAAATTGTGAAAGCTACAACAAAAGTAAAGAAAGGATTAAACTGTTGGGAAGTAACCTGTCTTCTGCAAAGTACACATGTCTACGGCTCGACTGACCCTCAGTACATTGCAGTGATGCAGTAAGCTTGTCAATTTTCTACAAAAGATAGACGAAACAAGAGAGAGAGATGGATAAATACGATTGTAAGCAAAAAGCTCTTGGACGGGCTGTTAATGGGGAAAGACAAAACTTACGTTTTTCTCACTCTGCCATTTTTGGAACACATATCCTATATCTTGGGTCTTCATTATCATGAGCTCTTCTGCACTGTATTTATTTACCTCTTCCCTGAAAACAACAACAATAACTTTGTCAATATATACAAATTATAAGAATAAGAGAAACCATGAAGGTAGCAAAGGAAATAATGAAAAAAAAGGAAAAGAAAAAAAAAAACAAGGAATTTCGATATGATTACTTTGGTCTATGAACTCCATCAAGTGTTTTACTATTGATCATCTTAAAGTAAAACTCATCTGGATTCTTGAATGCCGCCTTCTGCTTAAGTATCTGCAGAAAATAAAGAAAAAAACAAACAAACAAAAGGCGTAAGAGAAACAGGAGAGTTACGATGCCTTGCAAGGTTTCTGAAGCTATTTCACAGATATCAATCAATCCCATACACCAACAAATGCTTAAGGGAAAATGTGTAACTCCATGAACATAAAAGGCCTGAGGTGTCAACAAGATATCATAAGCAGGGATGCTATAGAAAGTTGAAAAGCATACCTTAATAGTCGCTTCCTTTTTGTGGTAAGCTTCAGCTCGTCTTTTATAATCCTTATGCTTCTCGAGGAGGCCATATTTCTTCCTCGCTTGTCTGAAAGATTTAAAAAATCCAAACTTTAATTCACGAGAAACTGGGGAATGAACCAATGAAGAAGAAAGAACAAACACTTACGGTTGAGATCGCTCCTTATGAGCAGGCCGTGGAACAGCATTACGCAGCGACGACATGTTTAGACGGCTTCAACGCTGCAATTACAGTCACAAAGCCGTAGAGTCAAGAGAAGCTACCTTAAAACGTGTGAACCTAATCTAGCCAACTAAACCTACTCGAGTCCATGTGCTTCATTAATTGAAACTGAATCCTAATCACAAGTCTGAATCTAATCCAACTATGCAACATTCTGAAATCTAAACTAGGAACAGAACCTGAATTGAAAAAAAAAAAAAAAAATCGACGAAACGAAAAGGGAAAAATCCAAAGTCTCTCACTTGTAATAAAGGGGAACACAAGAAAATCAACAACGTCAAGGAGAAACAAGAGAAAAGACGAAGTTGCCGAGGAGACGACGATTTTCCGATGACCTGCAACTCGAGTTTTTTTGCAGAGGGGAGTAGAGAAGACGGCGAGCAAGAAGTGTTTTAGGGTATTTTGTGATAAATAAAATCGAACCTTCTGGCTAATACTAAAGGTTCCATACAATTTACTCATTAGCCCTTTCAATCAATTTCGTTGCAATAGTTTCCACAAATAATTATATGTTTTACTAATAGTTTCCGAATGTGACGAGGAGGATTGAACATCTACCTACCGTTCCAAATTCCATTGTATCTGTTTACAATTTATTGATTGTTTGGGGTCTTTGCTAAAGACTGCCAAAGGTTGGGGTAGAAAATATAAAGCAAACGAAATAAAAGATGATGGTAAAGGAGAGAAAAAAAAGTTGGGGATGGCATAGATTTGGAACCGAAACAGAAAGAAAACAAATTCTCGAACGCTTAAAACGTGATCAACCAAGCAACAAAAAGTAAACTGCGATTTTTGAAAAGGTCGAGATTTTTTACATGATCTTTACCTCATCATGAAACTCATAAGATATTTTGCCTAATCAAAACAGATTTTAGCTTTTTGCTTCTTTGCAGTTTTAGAGTTTCACTTTAAGAAGAATGGCAATGAAGAAGGTTAGGGGATGAACACCACCACTAGGAAGTTAATTGCATGTGACATCTGAGTAGAATCCTATTGTCCTCCTCTGACAGTTCTGGATACTTAGCAACTCCACATCGAAAACTTCAAATTGCTTCGAGCTGAAGAAGGTCGAAGGTCCCACCTGGTTTAGAGCCAAATGATTAAGATAGGAACATTGCTTTTTTTGTCAAAAAATATGATCAACGTTAGATGAATATACACGGTTAATAGACTTATGATCTATATTGATTTACATACGAACTTTAAATGTCCACAAAACGAGTAGGCTCAAGCTAGGAACTTCCACTTGAAAAAGATTTTGATAGAGGTGATGGTAATATTCAATTGAATGGTTGAGCAAAAGTTTGGTACTAATCAAGTTTATAGATAAGAGAAATGTAGAGTCAAGAACATTGGTGTAAGATATAAAAAAAATAGGAACTAACCGGCGGTCCCAACTCTGGAGGGATGATAATCCTTCTTCGTCCACCTGGCTTCATGTCACGAATACCCATTTCAAATCCTGCATCATCATATTCCGCAAAAGAAAAATATATCTTCAATATGTTTCCTTTCAGAGAAGATTCTTCAGTTAACATCATGATCATATTACTTTTAGAGGATAAAAGCTGACAAATCTTGCCTGGAACAAGTGCATTGGTTCCCATGCGGATTTTGGCAGGAGAGCCCTGAATATAGGTACTATCTATTCGCCTTCCGGACTCATTGTATCCAATATAGTGAAAAGTCACCTGAAACAAAACATACAACGACATTCAAGAAATGATCTTAACTAGAGATAATAAGTTAACTAATCGAAGATAGAGAAAGTACCTGCTGACCATCTTTTGGGTAATCACCTTCACCAACATTGAAATCCCGATATATGAGTCCTGAATCAGCCTTTATGTAATTATCTGAAGCTACTACCTTAACCTCAAAACCTGCACTATATCAGCAAACAAAACAACAATAAGTTCCAATATTCTTTCAGTAAGAATCTTCTCACTCAAAGAGAAACAGTTTCTAAGGGGGTAATAAAAGCTTAAACCTTCTCTAACAAAGTTGGGAAATTCGTCTGGAGCATTGTTCTCTCTCTGTATCCTCTTGTTCTGTTCTAGTAACCGTCTCTCATCATAAGGGCTCTTAGATTTACTCTTTGCAGATGAAGGTGAATCCGGGAACAAACACGAAGACGAAACCAAAACATATACAAGATTTCTCCGACTCAAGCTGCAGAATTAAAAAAAAAAAAACAAACTTGCAGCTATATAGCAAAAGCAATCTCCAGAATAAAACCAAAACGAAGATAATCATCCCTCAAAAAAGCAATTTTACCTTTGGTATCTTGGTTCTTTACTCAATGAACAACATACCGAGCGTTTACTCCGAGATTGTGGAGAAAGTGATAACGACAGTTTTTCACCTACGAGAATTCACAAGCTTAATCCTATTTTGCCCCAAAAACAGTTTACTACATCGAAATTTCAATGAAATTTCTAAGAGAGAAGAGAGAAAGAGCAACTCACATAGAAATGTAAGTCTCGGAGAGAGAGGATTTGATAAAATCGTCATCATAACTTCTCCGTCCGGCGATTCTTCCAAAATCCCAGTATTATCCTAAGTTCTTCTGCGTTTAATTTCATGGATAATTTCGTTTTACTCACTCTATTTTCAGTTTATTATAGTCTAGACCCAATAACATTCCTTCTGAAACCAATCCATCCAAGTGTCAAACATTGGTCAAACACAGTTGACTTGACTCCGACCATCATTATTCAGTAATAGTAAAGTTAAAAATTCATTTTATTCAACAATATAAACCTCAAACAGATGGGATACTCCAGATTCTCATCAACAATGCATCGATAAATAAATATTACATCAAATAATAATACAAGTAAAATGAAGCAATGGTGATAGTCATCTGAAATGGCTGTTTCTGATAATACCAGTGACTCCTCCTCTAGGTTGTTCACCGGAAGTGAGTTTCTGCAACCGAATCTGTTCTCGGAATTTCGCTATGAACTCACCGGCTTTTCTATCAACTTCGTTATGGTCATGGCTTGCATTGCTCTGGCTTTCCCAAGCAGCTTCTTCTTCCTCTAACGTTACTTGAGGTTGCTCTGCCTCTGTCTCCTCCCTAACATTATCATCTTCTGCCTCTGATTTACCGAGAGTTTCTGAAAATTTCTCCTGGTGTGGTACAATTGATAGCTCCTCTTGCCATTTTCTTCTCGTTTTGGTTCTTCCACGGCTTTCTACTTTAGCTTCTGCCCTGTCATCAGATGAATCTCCTCCATCTGTCTTTAAATCTTTCCCGCGACGATCACTTCTTATGGTCCTCACGGACTTTCCTCTCAATGAAGCTTTAGTAGATGCTCTCAAAGAATGTGATTCACGTCTCGGACTGTTTGATTCCAACTCCTTGTTACTACCAGGATGGTCTTTCTGTCTGGACTTATCCACAGAGTCATCCTCTGTGTTTCTTGTGATGTCTTTCTCCGGCAAAGTGTCACGTTCCCCTCGTGAAGAATGCATTGCACGCCTTGAAGCTTTAGCATTCGTTGGTTGGAACAGTACATCAAGAGCAGGAAAAGATTCACTGAAATTCTCGTCCTTTGCAGAGTCTTCTGCTGTTAGCTCCAAAGAGTCGTGACTCCGTCCTTTCTTGACTCTCAGCTTGCTATGGTCAGCCTCCAATCTTTTCCCGATATTGTCTTCAAACAAATGGTCATCACTCTTTCGCTGAAGATCCCGTCTTCTAGTTGTGGAAGAGGCAGCACCACCAACAGGAGATGAGATGGACTCAGGAGGATAGGATCTGCGAGACTTGTTCCCTCTCCGAGAACTTTCAGCAGTCAATTTCAGTGATTTAGATCCCGTTTCCTTCCTACTTGAGAACTCTGTTCTTCTGCCTCTGACTTTTTTCACCTCCAACTCATTTTCAAATCCCCGCCTTATTACATCTTCCTCTAACAAGGAACCATCGCTATAATGCCGAGAATGTGAGACACGCCTGTGTGTATCATCGGCAACTAATTCTGGCGATGGTGGAGTTAGTGATAGAGACAGTGATGGTGATGGGGGCAAGGATGGCGAAGTAGACCGTGAAGAACCCTGAAGACTCTTTTCCTTGGCCGATTCATCCACATTCAAGTTTAACGACTCTTCAGAAACAGAACGAGAAGGCGAGAATCTGTTCTGAGTGTGTGATGCAAAACTAGTTTGTGACGAGGAAGAAACAGTAGACCGAGAAGACCTCGATTTAAGAGTCTTCTCAAACTGAGTTTCATCTACAGATGGAGGCTGAAAGTTTGATGGATAATTCTCTCCCATTCCCATCATTTCAGGTCTAGACTGCCATGAAACAGGTGAAGGAGGAGCAGGCATGACCTCATCAAAATTCTCATCAGCCAACGACTCATCAGCTTCCCCATTCACAGTTCCATCACAAGTATCAGAAAAAGAGTCATCTTCAGGAGCTGCATTGTCTCTCAAAGCTGACCTTAAACTCCTAACAGGCAAGCCTAATGGCTGATGCACAACGTGGCCATCAAGACCATAAGCAGGTCGAGCAACCACAACCTTAGATCTTCCTTGGAAATACTGCGAGTTCCAAGCTTGTTGGACTTGACTGATTTTACCATATTCACACGATTCTTCCGATTCGGTTTCAACAGCAAAAGACTCGGACTTTCTCTCCCTAACCACCACAGAGTCACGAGAACTCACGTTAATCGAATGAGACTCACTCCTAACATCAACAAAATCACACGAATTCTCTCCTAACTCCTCGTCGAAAACCGAGGAGACCTGGAAGATCCTAGATACATAAGACAAGGAAGACTCATCTACACGGCTCATCCTTAAATCAACGGCGGATTCCACATTCCTACGGCTAAACAAACCATAAGCGACAGCAATGCCGACGAAAAGGAGATGAATCAGCTCCCAGAACTTGGTGAGTACGGTCTCGCCGACGAAATCAGGAGCCTGAGATGGGAACAAGGGCAAGGCGAGGAGGAAGAGAGCGAAAAGAACAGACTTACAGAAGAAACCTCCGGTGGATTTCGACCGAGGCTGCGCAGGGGAGACAGACGGCGGAGAGCGACGCTTGGAGTAGGGATTAGGAGACGACATTGAAGAGATCTCGATCTAGAGTGGGAGAAGGAAGTGTAGTGTTGGATTATTAGGGATTCGTAGGGTATGTCAAGGAAGGAAAGGAGACTTCGAAGCGACGTAAAAGACAGATCTAACAACATTAAAGCTGTAGACAAAGAGTGAGAATGGAAACTATCTGCAACCAACACCTTCAAGCAAAAGAGAAACCAATTAAAAAAAAAAAAAAAAGACAAATTAATAAAGAAGAGAAAAGAAGTTTACTCGTCTCAAAGATCGTTGCCGAGATTTACGGAATTAACCTTGGCATTATTTGCTCAGGCCGTATCATCTTACAATAATACAACAACCTTCGAACACGTCGTCGTTTCGGACATCCGTTGAACAGCTCGACTCAAGTGTCTTTTTTTTTTTTTTTGTCGTGACTCAAGTGTCTAAGTGGTGGTTTTGTGATTTCGTTCGGTTTATTCAGTTATGCGGTTTGAAATCATGAATTTTTTGTTCCTTAGTATTGTCTAAAACCAATTGTTGTTTTAAATTGTTGTTTTCGGTATATATAATAAATTAATAAGATTTAACAAAAGGTCAATGTTCAACGTCTACCCAATGTGCTTTTTTATAAATAAAAAAAAAAAGAAAGAAAACATTAGTGAGCGTGTTCCTGGCAACAAAAAATCTGTTCGTCAACTATATGTCATTGGTTCAAAAAAAAAATTTGACATTTTGAGAGAAACCACGGAAAGCCTCAATCTTGTTAAGTTGTATTGTAAAAGTTGGCCATGTTTTGGTTTTGCAATCATTTACGCACAAAGGGTCCTGAGCAGAATCAATAACAAGTTGGGTGCAAGGGAATTATGTCTTCTGAGTCATCTCAGGGCTCATGCCATACATTCAGTGGAGTCAGGTTGAAAGTTCAGATGTCTCGACAAATCCTTTGAAGACCTAAAATATATTTTAAATTACAATATATTTTTCTGTTCTGTGATATATAAGGTATTTTTTAGCTTTTTTGTTACATTTTTTTTTTCTGAATTTTTCAGATTTCTATACAAAAGCTGATTTAAATTAATGTTTTGTGACCATTTATATCTTTTAATTGATTGATTTATGTTTATTTAGGTGTCTAATAGGGTTTTAATGTAGAAAATTATTTTTCTTTTAACCTAGAATTTATGTACCTCTTATAATCGGCGATTTAAAAGAAAAATATTATATAATGGAAAAAAATAGAGTATTACTTGAAATATTATTATTATATTCCAGGTTCTGCTTAGTTTAGAAACTCAAACTGGAATCGGATATGATTTGATTGAAACTAAATTTGATTGTTATTCGGTTTGTTGGGGATAGAATTAAAAAAAAAAAAAAAAAACAATCAGCTTAGATGAAAATGGGTTCGGTTTCAGTTTGATTGAAGTGTCCACAGAGTCTATACTATAATCTAGCCACATGTGAGTAGGGATGTGGAAGGCCCATCTATTGTATAATTTTGCCTTTCTCACCTCTGCCAACAACTTAGCCATCGAGATTTCTTCTTCGTACCCCTCTCTCTCTCTCTCTCTCTCTCTCTCTCTCTCTCTCTCTCTCTCTCTCTCTCTTTCTCTGTCGGTTGAGATCTTTTGACATACAACAAAAGAAAATCGTATCTTCAGTGTTCTGCAAGAGATTCTAATTAATGGTCTGACTTCGTCTTATGTGGACCCAATAATGTCCAAATACAAACCAAATGTTATGTAACGTCACGTACATGTCTCGATATTCGTATTGGCTAAAACATTTACTTACAATTCACATGTACATGCAAATAACACACGCTTGCTCAATCACAACGCCTTCATTGCTTCTTTACTTTTTAGTCCTAACTCCTAACTGTAATAATCATCTTCACAAAATTCCTTTCTTAAGTGACAAGGAAATATCCTAATTAATTAAAAATTTTAAATAATGATGCTTACTGACATAAGTTTTAATGCAAATGCAATTAACATTCTCATTTGGACAAGACATAATCGAACTCTGGATTTGTTGAAAAATCTAGATCTGTGTGTTTCAAAATCACAATGTATGTTACGATAAAGAATAATAAAAAGGTACATCTTTTTCCCGAAACATGTCTTTTCTTAATCATTCTACAATTATAAAATTCGTAGATTCTTCCATTTTCCTTTACTACAGCTATCAACAGAGATAGACGTTAAAACAAAGGAGACAAGAAAGCAAGAAGAGCATCATGACACAAACTCTTGAAAAGACATTCCAAGATCGTTTTACATTATGATTAAAACCAAATCACCAAACCCATTAAGCTTTAGACTAACTAATTCTACCAAAAAAAAAAAAAAAAAAAAAAAACAGAAAGGAAAAAAATAAGAAACTCCTTTTCTAATGAGAACCAGCAGCAGGTCGTTGCCGGAGAGGAATGGCAGCCCAAGGACTCATTGGCCCCATCGGAGATGATGACGTCATCGCAGGAGGGGCCACCGATGACGACGACGATGTAACAGCGACTCGCTCACAAGAAGGGCACATTGTGAGAGTAGTGGGAGGTTTCATGTGCATGTATAAATGTGGTGAAAGCTTTAAAGCCCTGAGCTCACTCACTTCCTTTTGCAATCTTCGATTCTCCTCCGTTAGATTCTCGCAGCATCTTTTCAGATATTCACAATCTACTTCCGTTTGCTTCAGCTTCGTCCTATACACACACACACAAAACAAGAGTCCAAATGCTTAAACCGAAAATCCAAAATAAACCGTTATCACGATTGTTTTCTATTCTTTTTGTTAAACCGGAAAACTGTCAAACTCGAACTAAACCCTCCTCATTAAGATAAGACACCCATTAAGGCATTAATCCTTTGGAAAAGTCTTCATGGGTCTTAAAGGACAATAAAACATAGCAATAACTAAATAATTTGTTTTTTCTTCAGACAATAGGAAACTACAAAACTACCCTTTAAAGAAATAATTAAAAAAAATTACCTTGCCCTTCGGTTTTGGAACCACACTTCCACTTGCCTTGTTCTTAGATTCAATTGCTTAGCCAAAGCCATCTTTTGCTTCTGCATCCAACACCAATAACAAAAAGTCAATACGGAAAACAAAAAGTCAAATTTTAAAAGAAAATTACAATAACATAAAAAAAAATAGCCACTTTAAAATTACTGAAATACCACTGACCGGATTGAGAGTGCTATGTTCTTTAAAAGTCTCCTCGAGGACTAAAGCTTGTTCTTTAGACAATCGGAGTTTCTTCCTCGAACCGTCGTCTCCGTTCCCGCCACCATCATCATCGTCGCTACCACCGCCGCCTAGCGAGCAAGAAGCTCTCTCCGCCTCGTTGTCTTCTATTACTCTTACTCCTCCAGCCGCCGCCGCAGCCATCAGCTCTCGCTCACTTCTCTTCCCGCTCATCACGCTTGAGACTGTGCTGTTCGGAGACGAGACTCCGGCGTCTTCCTCAACGTCAACCACCACCGTCGATGGAGCTCTGTTCACGTCGATTCCCCGGAGAAAAGATCTCACGTCGGAGTTCCTCTCTGCACGTTACCTCAATTAATTTCTTGATAGACCAGAATCTTGCATTACCACAGGATTACGTGCTTCATCTAAAAGAATAAAGATCACGTAATATCTAAAAAAAAATGGAATAGATTATCGGAAAAAGATCGGATCAGATCTAGGACAAAGAAATTTTACAAGCATAAACATATCATATGATATTCTATATATATGATATATTAACTAAGACTTGGATTCAAACAAGATGACTAAATCATTGCTAAATCAAGGAAAATCTGGAATAAATGGGAAGTACCTGAAGATTGAAACATTTGAATCCAGTTGTTCTGAATCTTCTGAGGATGGCTATAATGGTTCTGCATATGCATGTGTGATGAAGATGGAAAAGAAGCCAGAGGCATAGGATTAAACCTCGAAGACGACTCGTTTTGATTTGAACCTAAACTCAAGCTCAAGCTTAGCCCCAATCCATCATCTCTCTCACCCATTTTGTCAACAACAAACCAAAGAAAAGAAAGAAAAACTTTTTTTTTTCCCAAGTTTTTTTCCAGAGAAAGTGAATAAATGTCTTCCGTTTCTGCTCTCTCTCTCTCTATCTTAAAGATGTTGTGCCACTGCCTCTACACTTGTGCAGCAGTACAGTTTCGAAGATATGGCTTATGTGTGTATTTATATGCAAAAGAGTTATTCAGACAAAGAGATATGGGGTTGTGGGGAGGCTTAGGGTTTCAATGATGACTTGTGTCAGAGAGACCTCTGTTACCTCAATGATGATATATATTGCATAAAAAAACCTGCTTTTTTAACTTAACCATGGTTAAAGATAAATCCAGGAGTTATTACTTTCATCTCACATCCTTTCTCAACCATAGTTAATTGATGAGAAAGTCCAAGTCTCTTGTCCTCTCTCTCTCGTTTGCCGTTTTGTAAATTGTAAGTTGTAACTATTCTTTAAATAATATAGGAACTTATCAAAGCGTTTTCAAAATCTGATTAGATTTAGGTGACATAAAACTTTCCTGAATCCATCATCTGAGATTTTACTATATGTGGATTATCATTAGTACTTACTTATTTCTCTATCTTTCTATTATAAAAAAAAAAAAAACCTGAGTTTTTACAGTGGAAGAGAAAAGTAATTTTGAAAAAAATAAAAGGGATTGAGTTACCCGAGTTTCAAAGTGGAAAAAATGTAAAGAAAGCTCTTTTTCAAAAACCCACAAGCGTAATGGCTTTTTTTTTCGTATACAAAGCTTTCATTACGAAAGCGGCTTTCTCGCTCGTTGACCGTTGACCAATAAGAAATAGGAGAGAGGGATTGAAAAGCTGCGGTTGAAAATAGACCAGACGGTCGAGTCCACGCGCTGGCTAGGGGTTGAAAAAAAAATAATATCATAATAATGAATGAATCATCAGCATCATCAGTATAACATTATCATCATATCATGCCTTATTGTTATCATCATATCTCTCTGAACCAGGCGGGTCCTACGTATCTCAAAGACCACCTTTTTAGCAGCTTTGCTTTAATATGTTTTCTATTTTAGCGTAATTTTGTAAATTACAATAATATGGTACTAGTACTTTTTAACATGTGATAGATAACTTTCATTTATATCCTCTAATGAATCACACTCACTCGAATTTTTTTTTTAGTAATTATGAGATAAGATGTATTGTCTCGTTCGGCTTTGTTTTTTTGTTTGGTTTAATGTTTAGTTAGGCTTACAGTCGATATCTTACAAAATTGAAGTTTAGTTCTGTTATTGAATTAATATATTTAGGTGCTGTTACGATTTGCATTGTTCTTCTATTTTCCAATGCCAAATATGCGATTAGCAAAAAAAGAAGAAGGCGTGAGAAGCACGCGCGAGTGTGGGAGCGTAAGATGGGAGAAAAGAGGCGGTGGGCTCAAAATGGGTATGAAATCAGGAGAGATACGGTGTCGTATCGATAGGTTACAGAGAGCCTAAGAGAGACCTAAACACTGCATGGATTGGAGTTGTCTGTGAATCCAACATGCATTCCCATTCCATGCCTCCTCCTCCTTCATTTATTGCTCCTTTTTCCCAAATGTCTTTTTCTATACTGTTTTTCTTTTTAATATATGTTTTGCGTTAGTAATAATAATGAGTTAATTAATTTGTCATTAATTTCATCTGTCAGTCAAACATAAATAAAAGAAAACGCATGACAAGTGGTGTGTTGGTAGATTTTTTATGGCTGAAGTTATTAGATCTTTTAATTAGCTCTGTTTTATTTTTATTTGTTTTGGTATTGATAATACCATCATTACTTCTGCCTTCAGTCTCTTCAAGTCTTTCAGCAGTTTCACAGACAAGACAGGTCAGCTTTTATTAATTTAATTTCTCAAATGTAACTTAGTACTCCATCATATTTTTGTTTTTACATTTACAAACAATCTAACGTAACCATTCTCTCTCGTTGGTTTCCTCCATTTATAACAGTTGCCTAGATTCTCAGACAAAACACAAAAGCATTCGCGAAAGGAGAAAAAGGCCAAAACCCTTTTTTAACAAATGACTAAACGAAAATATGTGCTCATCTTTTCATTTCGGAATTTGTGACATTTTCAGGTGATTTTTCTCTTAATATTCGTATAGTTTTAGAAGATTAGTAATATTGTATAGTTTAAATACAGTAGTGACATACATCAGCTCTGGGCTAGCTAAAACGAGATGTTTTTATTTTACTATAAAGGTTAATTTAGTTAACAGTACAATGTATTCAATAAAATCTATATAAAATCGATCACTTGAATCTCTTGAAGTAAAAATTTACATAGTACTTAACATAGATTCTGTAATTTTATTTGACAATTTGTATTGGCCGAATAAAACAAAATTGATTACTTTGATCGACCAATATGAAACACTACTGGACTTACCACAAAAGGGGGGAAAATGAGATACTTTTGAAGAAAATCCCCAGTAAATCACCATTGTTTTCATCATTTCCGTACGTCGATGGTTTTTTTTTTACCCATGACTATTGATTATTGAGAAATATCTATTTAGCTGGCTTTTGTAACGAGCGAATATTAAAAAGAACAAAAAAAGAGGGAAGCATAGTAATTCTAAACAAAAACTATAAGGTCGTAAACCGTAATAGATTGTGTTCAAATATGAAGATTATCGTGGATCTGAAACTGAACGGTTCAGATCTCTAGAAAATCGTTGCTATTTAAGCATGTGACTTCAATTACGTAATAACCTCTTTTGTTCTTACAGAAGAGAAAAGGACATTTCACTAGTGTTCTCCTGCCTTATGTTATGTGATTAAATTTAAAATTTTGAAAAGAAAAAAACAAGAAAGGGAAAGAAAGATTCTACCTCTAGTATATATACATTTTTTTTTTTTTGCGCAAACACTTCATTAATTATTGTTATCATTTCTACCCTGTGAAATTAAAAAGAGAAGAAGAATTCGTGGGGGTAGGTGGTAGTGTTGATCCAGCCACGACTTTGAAATTACAAGGAGAAAAATCATTTGGCATTTCGACAGACCACATGGAACAAAAAGGAAGTGGGGATGTGCCGAGAAGGCAGAAGGCAATGAGTCGTAGTTTCATCATTTTTTTTTTATTGCTATGGTGCAAATTAAAAAATGACAAAACGCGATATATAAAGAGATCCAATATTGGAGAAACTTTAAGCCCGTGTTATTTTTATTTGAGTCGGACTTCGTAAAATGAATTATCCTTTGTTTTGACATCTTCAATTTCAAATTTGTTTCTGTATTTCCTTTTAGATTTACATGGCCCTGTGATAAATTCAACTATTAAAAATAGAGACACTTCAAATAGCATATTTGGGTTAGTTTTCAATTTTAGCATCGACATCTAAAGTTTCCTTTGATAGCAACTTTTAGGACAGTACATACATCTATATTTTTTTTTATCAGAGTACATGAAAACCCTAACTAAGAACCGAGGGGGAAAAAGAACATATTAACAACCGAAGAGTTTCCTTGTAAATGTGAATAGTTTTAAGAAATGGGATCCTCAAAATCTTTTACTGAGTTGGTTCCCAAAGAGTTTACAAATTGTTTCATAATTCCGAACATTCAGTAATATTTTCTTTCCAAAGTAATTGAAATCATAGTTTCATTGTTTACTGTTTTTTATTTGTTGGTATGGAGGGTTTTCGAATAATCAATAGATAAAAATTACAGTAAAATGATAAGAATTGAGAGAAGAAATTAATATATTAATAACCACAGAACTTGGGTCGTTTTGTTTTATATACTTTGTTATGCTTTAAAAGGTACATGATTTGAAGTCTTTCAATCAACTGAATTGACTACTACGACCATTACGAGAATTTAGCGATGAGGTGGTGAGACACAGATTGTGGCATCGACGCATCGCTAAGACGATATAGAAGAGAGATACAATCATGTAGTCTCTTTTTTGTTGTTGGTTGCTTTCTCAAATAAACAAAAGCTGATAAAAGATTAAATTACTGATGTAAAGGTTTGTTTTGCTGAAATCAAACTCGTCAATCTTGTAAAATTACGTCAGATGTTTATCTAGTATTTGGTTCGTATAAGGATATTTTATTTACACGTACGAAAGAGACGCGTCGATAACTCGATATCCTCAGACAAATATAAAAGATTATTTACTGATAGTGGAGAGATCATGTTTTACAATAAATAACGAGCATGGGTGTGTGTTCACAGATATTTTCAGACATTAAAAACACCGTCTATTAATGAGTCTATTAATGAAGCGGTATTTACGACATTATTTTTTTATAATAATGATAATGTTGGACCCGAATCAAATACCTTAAAACTTCAGCGTATACAAATCTAGATTCCAAATTAAAATTATTATTTTAATTAGATTTACCAATACATGTGAGTTGGATCCGTTAAAAAATTCATATATATATATCTATATATATATAAACCAATTATGATAGTTGAATGGTTTAAAATTTAAAATTCAACTTTTTTCTACTGTGATTTAAATTATGGTTGCCTAACTATAAACTATTTAATTATATCAATATAGATAGTATGGATATGTTAATGGATATATAAATCAAAGTTATCGACGAGAAATTGTTCTTTTTTTGTTTTTGTAATATACAAATGAAGTAAAGTTTATGTGATTTTTAAAAAAAAAATCATAAACAAATAAGTCGAATATAGGAACCTGGAAAGAAAAAGAAAAAAGTGAGCAGGGTGAGGACAGGCAAAATCTAAGAACAAGAGGAAGTGGAGCTCATGAGAAAGATGCAAATAGAGGTCACGGCGTCACGTGCATGAGCATGTGAGAAGCTGTCTACGTGGCAACATGTGGTCCCCAGTGACCACATTCGTGCGGTGTAATATTGTTCCTCGTCGACCAGACATCCCACTTCTCAACAATCATTTGGACCCATTTCCTCACGCGCTCTAATGTCCGCGTGTACATCACCATGCCTTATTATTATTATTATTATTATTATTATTATTATTATTATTATTATTATTATTATTATTATTATTATTATTATTATTATTATTATTATTATTATTATTATTTTAATTTGAATCTTTTCTTCCCAAACCTTCTTATTTTATGTTTGAAGTTTTGGTTTACGTAATGTGGAAAATGAATATTCCTTATCGTTTTTACCTAAATTTTATAAAGTTAATGTTAAACCGTAAAAATGATGCCTAAATTCTAAAAAAAAACTCTAACCTTCTCAAATAAAAATTTAAATTCGAAATTCTGAACACTAAATAAAAGATAATAATTGTAAACTCTAAAAATATTGTCTCGCGGGGTATTTGGTAGTTTTGACTTTGACGATTTTTTTTTTTTGAATTTGCTATTTTACGGGGGTATTTGGTAGTTTTGACTTCGGCGATTTTTTTTCGAATTTGCTATTTTAGTTCTCGAGTGTGGGGTACGCCAATTTCTACCCACCAATAGTCTCATAACGCAGTTGGCTCGTTAGTTTCAATGAAGATCTTCTTGGCTCGTGATGAAGCTGTAGGCTTCGTGTTCTTTAGGTTTTGAGGACGGCCCTGGAACATGTATCTCGTGGCAACATCAGCAGAGTTTTTAGATTTTAAAGCTTTCCCTTCCCACAGTTTGTTTCTCGTGTAGCCTTTTTCTTGTTTCCTTTTCAGTTCGTTTAGGTTAGATTGTCTTTCTAGTTTAGCCTGCTGGTTCCGTTTGTTGTAATATCTGAATTCGGTTTTTTTCGTTTTTTGCTATCTCTGTAATTTTGTAAAAAATCGAAAATTGATAATATAATCTTAACATTTTATCCCAAAAAAAAAACTCTAAAAATATACTTTAAATCCAAAAATGATGTATTTCCTTACTTTGTAAGAAGTAGACTAGCTACTTTTAATTTAGTTAGTCTTTACTTTTAATTTAATTTAGTTAATCTTTCCTCTTTCCTCTTGATGTTTAAAGATGATGTTGAACAAACAATAATCAGATTTAATATAATGTACTACGTACAAATCATATCAACATTTGTTAACTCGTACAAATTTATAGTTTATTAATTTTTGTCCATATTCAGTGTTGAGTAATAATGGGATCATATGCGTATTTTTTTTATATTCATTTCAATAAGCATGCTGATAGTTTTGTAACAATCATTATACGTATGTTGGCTAAGACCACTTACAATACCATTGTTCTCATCATTTTATAGTTTTTCTATAGCAGCTTTATATGCCATATTTTAAATTAATTTAGTCCAGACTTTTTCTGAATTCCAAATCATTAAAAGTAGAAATTACACCTTTGATGTATGGGGAAAGAAATTCAAACCTTCAATTAATATCTTTCAGATCTAATCCGTTATTTGCCACGGTTTTGGTATTTCAAAAATATTGTATAGTGTTAACGATTTTTAATTTTGTCAGCCAGAAAGTTTCAGGTTAAAATCTGTAATCTTTCTAGATAAAATTCTTTCTAATAGAGAAAGGAAAACTTAGTGATAAATTATGAAAGTTTGGTCATATCATGACTTTAATAAGGAACAAATAGGACGGGGATCCAATGCCAGCCGACCAACAAACCTATTACCCAATAATGAGGTCGTGAGATTAATGTATATGGCATCGTTTAAAATTAATTAGCTTGTCATATTATTAATTGCTCACGTCCATAAATAGTACTATAATATTAATATGTTAATTTTACGTGAAATACTGAATCCGTATCCATGGTCCCACGTTTGTGCCCATCCATGTGCTAAACCTTTTTCATATCTTTCCCATTTCGTTTTCGTAGCCTCTTTTTTAAATTACTCCATAAAACCATTTTCTAGGAATACAACGATCACATATTGACATATATAATCATGTTTTGTACTATTCTGAATTCTCTCAGAATATCAGTATTTAATATAGAGACCCGAATTTGTACTTGTTTTGTTTATCCGGGAGAAATTATACATCGATATACAGTTTCAAGTGTATGAACGTAACGTAATTGACTGTTTTAGCTAATTTGGTTAAAGTGTTTATGGTTTTTTTTTTTTTTTTTTTTAAGGCTTTAGCCAAATTTTGATGGTTGAACTTTGTACCCATTAAACGTAACTTGACTTCAAGTTCACATGGTGCTAATTTTTCTTCTTTGACAAAATAAGTATGAACGTAACGTCATACATGTGTGTTCGCAGTTTACTATTCACATATGGCGTACGCGTACCGACAATATATAAAATTAAATTTCCTAATACTGTTGTTCGATATACATATATAACATAACCAATATATTTATAATTTGCTTTGTAAGTAATTTTTATGTATGTCTTTTATGACAAAAATGAATGCAAGGCTTGAAGATTTGTCGTTAGAAGGAAAGTTGAAGCCTTTATGTTATTAAGATATTTGTAGAAAAGATGTTGTCACTCTAAGGTACATTTTATTTAGAGTATTTAATTATAATTTGATTCAATGAATACTTTAATTAATATATGCAGTTGCAAGGGACAGGAGCGAGTGAAAGCCACGTGAGGAAGGTGTGTAAAAGAGCATGGGTTTAAGCGGAAAAACCGAAAAAGATTTATCAACAAAAAAAAAAAAGAAAAAGGAAATATTTTTGTATGTCAGACTAATCACGTGGGCAGTCACATGATATAACGCCCACGTGTCATACTTAGAAGAGAAAAGAAAAGGACACGTGGTCCTAGCATCTTACCCCCTCGCGCGTGTCTCATTGTCCCTCTCTCACCGGACACCCAATTTCTTTCCCAATCATTTGATGCGATTTGCTCCTTTTTTTTTTCAGTTACTTCCTTGAAATTACGCTTTTATCCTTGGGCCATCACCCACTCATGAGCTTATCAAAGCCTCAATCATGGGTTTGCGTTCTTTACACATTATTTACAGCTGTACTCCACGCGACTCGCACGTGACGTCGTCTCTATCCGCTTAAAGCTAAAGTTCCTCCTCCTTTACACTACAGTAGCTTCTTTTTGGGTTTTGAGTAAACCGGACTAGTAAACAAAATCCCACTTGTGGCCACTAAGATATCATCGAATCAATTTTGTTTGACTAAAGAAAAGAGCTAAAGCAATGGTTTTTTGAGCCTTTTATCGGCCCACTTTAAAAATATATATGCACAACGAGCGTCAACAAAGCAAGCAAACAATGTGGATCTCATCTGATAAAAAAAAAAAGCAAGCAAACAGTGGATCTCGTTAAACTTTGATAACGTCTGCAACGAAACAACTAAATCTGCTTGCCGTTTTGAAGTTGCAGATGTTCAAATTCTCTACAAAGACCAAGCTGAGTTTGTAGATTCCAATAAAGACCATACATGAAAAATTTGCAAGATTGCCATGAGTGTACAAAACAAGACCCCGGCCGATCTATGCTCATTGCGGGTTTGTCTGAGACTATCGTTAGAGTTTTTACATTAATGAAATAGTGGGAAATCAGATAAAGATTTTGCAATTATGGCTTAGAAAATTCGTTTTTCCATGCTGAAAATGAAATGAGTCATAAAAAAAAAATAGAAATAGAAAGAGACGTAGAAATCAATTTTGATACATACGGGACAATTAATCAGGGCAATAACAATTAGACCCACCAATTTTATCTAAATTTTAATACAATATTTATATTAATACACGGTTTTTCTTGTGTATCTGGTTTTTCTGCAGGAGAAACGTTCGAACCAATGTTTAGGGATTGCTGGATGAATCCCATATAGACGAGCTATGAAGGCCTTTTCGCTGGTAGCTACAATGCTTGCGATTGAATAGCTTTTCTCGCTTAACCCTTTGTCTACGAGCCATTTATGAAATCTCAACCTTGGACTGATTCTGTTCTCCAGGTCAAAACAGAGATAAGCTGGAAAAATCTCTAGTTTTTCCAACGAATATCCCATTTCGTCACAAAGGAACCTTATCTTATCTTGTATGCTATGCGGTTGTTGGTTCAAGCTCTTTGGTGCTGATCTTATCAACATGCATACCTTTGAGAAATCGATGCCATTGTTTAGTAGGATTTGGAATCTCTCCTGTAGTTCCATGGCGCTACCATGCACATGTTGTAGTATCTTCGTGGTCATACCGTTTTCCCCAAAACCTATTTGATGAAAGAAATCCAATTTCTGAACATTGTGTGTTTTGTACCTTGAGCGTTGAAGCTTCTCCACGCCTTCGTGATATTCTATGTCTACATCTTCGTCAGGATCCATCAACGAATAGCTAGCGAGTAAATGATGGGCCTCGTTCTTTAACCTATCGAAGATCCTGTCATGTAGATCTAATGCTCTAAGCACATGAGGCAGATTCTTCATTTTGTTTCTACCCAAAACGTACGGGTATTTCTGAGCAACAACATCAACTTCATCCTGGCTCATTCCAAAATGCTTAAGCATTCCCCTGACTGAGATCACCGGTTTCTCCAGATCAAAACTCATAATATCGGGATTTCTAAGAATCAAAAGAGCAGCATCTTCTTTCCCAACACCAAATCTACAAAAAAATTCCGTCTTTTTCACCAGAGCTTCTTCAGAGCACTCCATAAAAAGTGATCTGTTTCTACCCAACAACTCCCACATCTCTTCATTCCCAAAACCCATCTCGTAAAAGACCCTAACTTTCCTGCTAAAAACGTACCAAGAATCCACATTTTCTTCAAATGGATGCTGTGAATCAAACTCTTCAAAAAGTGTCTTCAGCTTAACCAACAAACAACGGATCTCCGCACCCAATTCACCATTGCCACACAGAGTGCGAGGAATCGCTAAACAAATACCAATAACGGCGACCGTAGTGAATCCCACATCTTTCAACTCAAGCAACCTGGATTCAATCTTTTCAGGGCTCAGCAAAAAAACCAACCTTTCCTCTTTATACAACTTACCCAGCTTGTTCCAAGGAAACCCGAATCCAGATAACGCACAAGCTGCATCCAACACACTCCGATCCTCAGAGAAGAAGAATTTCTTCTCAGGCAAATACTCACCAACCTCGCTGTAATCTATGCCGATGCTCTCGAAGAAGAACTCGAACTCGTTAATAGGATGATACCTGAGATGCTTCCGAATCGATTTGGAGAAGGTCGCGACAGAGAAATCAAGCTTCAGTATGAGATTTCGGGTCGAAGCCGAGGCGTTTGTGGCGATGTGTTCGGCGTAAGTGTACGAGAGTGACCTGATGGTGTGGAGATAGTCTGTGATGGCTTGCTGAGCTTGTCCGATGGCCAAAGACTTGTACCTTGACGGAACTCTTCTATGATTCGCCACCGTACTGAAACTACGCGAGATCAGTGCCAATTTCAATCTGACCATGAACATGGTCGATTTGGGGATCAGGGTTTCTCCACCGGTGTGCCTTCACTTCCCGTGCCGTCTTTACGTTAACGGAAAAGACCGTAGAAGCTGAAAATTTTACTCTTTTGCCATTTTTAGTTTCGGACCGAAGGATAAATTGAGCCGGACCAGTATAAATAATATTAAACCGGGAGAAATTTACCGGTTAAGTCCAGATTGCTTCACCGTTAAATTCGGCTATACTCTCTGGTTTTCAGAATTGAAATTGAGATTAGTATTTGCTTGCATTTAAAGCTTTTTTTTTCCTTCTCTGGCCAGCGACATGAAGAGCGAGTTATCATAATTAGCTCCAGCCTCCAGAGATGTTGAAGATGGTGTTACCGATACAGAGAATGACGGAATCCTAACTCAACAAAAGACTCATTTTGGGATCTTGCAGCAGATCGAGCAATGCCTACTTCAAGTTTACCATTTGTGTGGACCTGAACACCAAGAACCTTATTGCTTGAGTTCTATAACATCCGGATAGTTTGACTAAGTACTGTTTTATAAAAAGTCTTGTAAAGCACGCAACTGGGTGTGTGCAAGTCACGTGCGGCTTACGTTTGGAGCCCTTGTGCTCGATGAGGGCAGCGGCTGTAAATCCGACGATCTAGGCAGGGTAAATTGGACATTTAATTTTCTTCTATCTTTCTTTTTTTGGTTAAATCTTTGGTTTGGGGATTCAGCAGTAACATAACTGCCGCTCCCTTCATTTTCTGGTTCTCTCTCTCTCTCTCTCAACATTCGCTCTGTGATTTTCTTTTTTTTTTAATTCTCTTTCTCCTCCGTCATTAGGGCTTTCTACTTCTTTTCGATCAATTGATTCTTAGATGCTCCGTCAATCCATGGCGCTTCCTCCGCCGAACCATGGTTCTGATGCGCCGCCGCGACAGCAGCACCCATCTCCGCAGCCACCACCGGTTGTGAACGTGAGTGAGAGCTCTAGACGGCAACATATTGCAGCTTCTTCGTCGCCGGTGAAATCTCATCCGCTTCATAACTTCCCGCTTTCTGATCTCAGGTGGGCTATGAATCACGCCAATACACATCGGCTCCGCAAACCATCCGGTAGATCTCCACTTCGCGAAGCTAATCCTGGGAAAGGGAATCTCGCCGTTGAGGAGGTGAACGAAGCATCAGGTTCGTCTTCTTTTGAATTGAGACCGGAGAAGAAGAAGGGAAGCGCGTCTGGTGTCAGTGACTCCGCCGCTGATCGATCTGGAACGAAGTCAACGACGGCGGACGGTAGATCGAAGATCTTTATCCGGATCCGCACGAAGAACAACGAAGAAACAGCTGATGTCTCCACCGCCGCGGTCTCCGCCTCACCGACTGATATCACCACCGCTACCGGCGTCTCCGCTGTCCACGTGGCTGATGATTCAGCCGGGCCGGCGATCGATGCTGATGCATCGATTGGTGAACGGATCTCCGATGGTGGTGGTCAGGAAGCAGACGAGTTTGGACCGAAGACTTGGAATCTGAGGCCGAGGAAACCACCGCCGACTAAGAAGCGTTCAATTGGAAACGGAGGTGGGGTATTGAAGAGCTGCAGCGATTCATTGCCGGAGTACAAAGCTCAGGGAACGGTTCGAACAGAGGCAATTCGATCCAGGAACTGTGTGGATGCCAAGATTGCAACGACAGAGAGAAAGGAGAAGAAACCAAGGTTATCGATCGCGCTCTCAAAGTTGGAGATAGATGAGGATATTTACGCGTTGACCGGATCAAAACCTAGCAGAAGACCAAAGAAGAGAGCCAAGAACGTGCAGAAGCAGCTCGATGTAAAAATCTCACACCTCTTTTTGGATTCCCCAATTTCACAACCTTAACCTAACAAGATTGGCTATTTTTGTATGAATTTTTTCAGGTTCTTTTCCCAGGTTTGTGGATGGGTAACGTTTCTCCAGACGCTTACAAGGTCTCAGAACATGCTTGAAAGGTATCACTTTCTGATGAATCCAATTGGATATCTATTTTTGTTTGCTGTAAGTTGTAGTAGAACTGGGTAAAGTGAACTCTTTTCTGAATCTTGTAGGGTTGATTGAGGACGATGTTAAGTTAATCTCGTTGAATTGGCTTCCACTGAAACCAGATTGGGGCACTGAAGAAGCTTTTCTCACAGAATAAGGTATAAAAGTAGTGATTCAATACTGATTGCCATTTGACTCGGACTAGTGTATTCTACTTGGTGATCTTGTGTAGCTTAGCAGCTTTTTGCAATGCTATGACTTGGCCTGTGGAATTGATTTCCATGAAGTTTTTTTTTGTAGCATTTGCTTGCTTGGATGATGTGGTTACATTTGGTGTCTTAGATTCCACACAGTTAGGGATATATGATATCTTAAGAGTTTTGAAGAATTGGAGAGTTCCCAATATAAGTACTTACGTATGAATGACTTCTTTAGGTAGAAGTTTCCCATTTTCAATGTTAATGATTTGCGTCTGGCTTTGTTTGTAAAGAGAGAAACTTTTTTTTTCAAAATTCCTGGTGTGGTCAAAACGATCGAGCTTTATTAGAGTGTAATGATCTGAAGTTGCAGTGTTAACGAGATTTAGATGGAGCCACTTTGTATAAACCTTGACCTCCTTCCTCTCTCTTGTGTTGTGATGGTCCAGAAATGCAATTGGCTCGAAAGCCTTGGCTTCATTTTTTGGGCGTGCTCCAAGCAGTGTGAATACTGTCTCGAGGATTTCAAAGCATCCAGTCCAACTCCTAATTACAGCTTCATATTCGGTCCGGAACCGGTGGCAGTTTGAAATGTGACCCAGACCGGCTCTGATCCAGCCGACTTGTGTGATTTAATAGGCCATTTATTTTTTTCCCGTTTATGCACTTATTGATCCTTTTGTAATTAATTAGTGAATAGAATTTTGATTTTCATTAGCTGACCTTGCAAAGGTGTAAAATTGGATCAGAACCATTTTTCTTTTTCATGATTAAATGTGTAAAAGATCGATATATTGGTCAAATACGAAACAGAAATATCATTTACAGCAATATTTGTAGCGTTTTCCACAAATTGTAAATTAAATCCCTCTTTGCCGACCAATTTTTTTTTAAAAAAATATCGCTCTTCGATGTTCAAACTCGGATTCAGTAAATAAAGAATATAATCTGGACTTTCAAATATTAGAATCGTGCTGCAATATTTGTTTATACTTATAGGAGGACCATAAGCCTTGCTACGTCATCCTATTCATCACTTCCACTTGCTTTGTCTTCTTTTGTTTTATCACCCCTTCATGCAGTAAAACCATAAATTTACGGATCAATAACAATTTTTTTTAAATGTAGCCATTTTCTCAAAAGAAATAAAAATTTAAAATTTGTTTGCTACCTCTATACATTTAGTATCTTTTTGACGTCCACACACATTTTCGTATTTCAACTACTTAATAGCATTTCACATTAATTACAATAATTGATTTTACCGCATGCTAATGCTAATATGCATTACATCTACTGTAGAAAGTTAAAAGATGTAGTTGACCAAAAATGAAGAGAGTCTATATCATTCAGTAACTATTAAGAAAATGGTAACTTCATCCAATAAATTAATATAAAAATTCAATATTTTCATCCAAAACAATAACAATATATCTCAATCAAATTATAACGTTTTAGAGAGAAGGAAGATATCCCATTAGCCATTAAATTGTATTACTCTTTCCATGCTAATGCTTTTGTTTTAATTTAATCGGTCCATGCTTGGTGGTTAATTTCTAACTGTGTTGGGATTATATAAATGTAAACTTCGTAGTAATTTCACAGACTCAAGTAAAACAAAAACTTAAAGAAATTTCTTTTGTAAAAATGATATTCGTCGCAATTTCCTAACGTGGAATAAAATTGCATTTGAAAGACAATAATTCCTTGTATAAATACCTTCCATTTCTACTGGCAAAGAGAACCACAAAAGAAAAAGAGCAATGGAGTCTGCTAAACCAAACATGGATATAATAGGAGGCCACCAAAATGTGATCGTGATGCGTCACGGTGATCGCATCGACGATTTCGAGCCACTCTGGGTTTCAACCGCTGAGAGACCGTGGGACCCGCCGCTCCTTCACGACGGTAAGGTTCGAGCCTTTCAAACCGGTCAAAGAATCCGGTCTCAGGTTGGTTTTCCGATTCATCGTGTCGTCGTCTCTCCTTTCCTCCGCTGCATCCAGACCGCTGCCGAAGTCGTCGCCGCTCTCTCCGCCGTCGATCTTGATCACAACGCTCTATCTTCTAAAGAAGTACCTTCCATCGATAACTCTAAGCTCAAGGTCAGACAACAATTAATAATCGCTCTACGTGTATATTCCATTCATTTTGAAATCGAACCGAAGGTTTGTTATAAAAGTAGTTTTTAGTTTTTTTTTAACTAATGTTGGTGATGTGAGTTGTAGGGCCTAGAATAATTAATATTTACCCACTAAGTACGGATATGTGAGTATATACGTTATTATAGTTAACCTTATAGAATTGATCACTTTGATTGAAACATTTGATGAGATGCTTATGCCTTGTCTCGTCTGCTTTCAGGTAGCTATTGAATATGGATTGTGCGAGATACTGAGCACAGTGGCTATTAAGAGTGAGGTTGCTCCCAAAGATGGGAAGTTTGATTTCAACTTTTCAGATCTCGAAGCTATGTTTCCTCAGGGAACTGTGGATCCTAATGTGGATATGGCTTATAAAGAGGTGCTCTCTACGACTTTTTTTCTTCCTTCTTAACCATCTTCATAATTTCTTTTGAGTATTATTAATCTTGATACATGTATACTTTCCTTGATTCCATTTTGGTTCTGTTTAGTTGCCACAATGGGGAGAATCTGTGGAAGGCTTCAAGGATCGATATGTTAACACACTGAAGGTTCTTGCAGACAAGTATCCTTCTGAGAATTTGCTATTAGTCACCCATTGTAAGCAAGAAAATTATGGCTCTTTACTTTTAACTCAAAAACCGACATCTCTCTAATCTTGAGACCGAATTTTTTTTTTTTTTTTATGTATGTGTGTGTTGGGAAATTTGCAGGGGGAGGAGTGAGTGCTACACTTTACAAGTACTTCAAAGACGCAACTAAGTACTTAGTAGATTACTGTGGTTCTGTTGAATTGAGAAGGCAGATTTTGAATAGTGATGGGTTTGGTGAATCTGTGGAATTTGAGGTGGTTACTAGTCATGGTGTGTCTTTCAAGGACCACAAAGTCCCAATCCATGGTCCTCTTTTAACCCAATCACCGATTTAGCCGGTTTTGTATATGCATATTTGGTTCTACGGTTTGTTTTAATGTAAAATAAAAATAAGATTGTTATGGGTTCAGTAAATGTTCCTTCTCTTCCACAAAATTTACAAAACATACATAACAAAGGTAAAAGACTTATTTTTGTTATTTGTTATGTAACACAAGAACTGTCATTGAATTTTCTTAAGAAATCTCGATCTACAATCAACTCATGTTTTAATTAACTCCACGCAGTGGAGGCCCGGTTGTGCACATATGTTGCATGTATTTTAGCACAGAGCTCACTAATATTTGTTGGGGGCCAAATATAAAATGAAGAAACTGTGTTACTTTCATATGATTTTGTCGTTGATGTAAAAGAAAAAAATCGAAACAAAACTTCTATAAATCTAAGGTTTAAAACCATAGCTTATTCTGTCTATGCTCTGGAGGACCGAATCTGCATGCAGAGTTTTCCTTGTTTATTTATATAATTAATAAAGACCGTTGACAGGAACAAAACTGTTAAATCGAGGATCATGTCATTGTTGCGTGTCGCCCCATTCACCACCTTCATTCTTCAACTTAAATTTTCGTTTGTTTTATTTTATCCACCAATCTTTACATATCCAATTGTATATAATTATACTTCAACGATAGGGTATCATGTTTTCAGTTGGACATATTAGGTAGATATAAATGTAGTTATTTTAGTTTCTTGCAGATTTTGAAAGAAATTAATCGCTGAAAACACCAATAAAGCAAGTTTAATGGTTTCACATACAAATCAATCGAAAGCAAATATTATTTTCGTTTCAATGTAAATGTTTTTTTATAGTAATTTAAAGCATTAAAAATTATTGTAAGGTATAGTATACGTGGTTGTGCACAAAATAAAAATAAAATAAAAATAAAGATATAGTATACGTGGTCAAGCCTCAACAATTTTGTCTCTTAAAAAAGAGTATAGTATATAATATTATAATATCAATTTTGAATATTTGTTTTCGTTGGTCGTACAAAACAAATAAAGATAGCTCGGAAAAAAAAAGGGAACAATAAAAAGTCGTAAACCATGTATACTATAACTTCCAACGTACTCGCAAAAGGCACACCACCACCAACAATCAGAGCAACAATGGAGTCTGCTAATTCGAATACCGATGGCTACCAAAATATCTTGATGATGCGTCACGGTGATCGCATTGACAAAGTCGAGCCTCTCTGGCTCGATACAGCCGCGAGACCTTGGGATCCTCCGCTCGTTCACGACGGTATAGTTCGTGCGTTTCGAACTGGTCAACGGATTCGATCTCAGATCCAGTTTCCGATTCTCCGGGTCTTCGTCTCCCCTTTCATCCGCTGCATCCAGACCGCTTCCGAAGTTATCGCCGCTCTCTCGGCCGTCGATTTCGACCCTAACGCCGTGTCGTCGAAAGACGTCCTTTCCGTCGATAAATCTAAGCTCAAGGTCAGTTTCAGATCCAGATCATCTTCGTATATAGATATGTTGAACTATGTAAGATTTTATGATACTCTCTTGTAATTAGGCCTGAGACTTTGAAATCTCTTCGTGTTGATCAATTTTTTTAATCTAGAATGTTGAGCTAAATGCGAGATAAACAATCGTCGTAATTGTTGTTTAAGTATGATATAAAATAGATAGTTATAGATGCTTCTTGTCTGCTACAGGTTTCTATTGAATTCGGGTTGAGTGAGATGCTGAACACAATAGCTATTAAGCCTGAGATTGCTCCCAAAGATGGGAAATTCGATTTCATGATCTCGGATCTTGAAGCTATGTTTCCTGATGGAATGGTGGATCATAATGTTGATCCGGTTTACAAAGAGGTAGTCCTTTCTTGTTCTGTTTCTCCATCTTCCTTTTCTTATTGGAAGCGAATTGAAGTGTATCTATCAATCTGATTCTGCTTCTTCTAATTATCTCTTGTTGGTTCTGTTTTCAGATGCCACAATGGGAAGAGACTGTGGAAGGCTGCACAGATCGATTTCTTAATTTGGTGAAGACGCTTGCTGATAACTATCCTTCCGAGAACTTGCTCTTAGTCACTCACGGTAAAGCACAACACTCTGGGTTCTGTGAATCAATTACACACTCTTGACTATCAGCTTCAATATCTCTTCTGATAGCAAAGCTGTCTATTGGTTTCACTAAAAGCAAATAGTTTATGATATGCACATTTTCAATGTCTTTGAGTAGTGATTACCTCTTTGTTGGAAATGCAGGGGAAGGAGTAAGGACTACATTTGCAAACTTTAAAGACGTAGATGTGTACGACGTCGAGTACTGTGCTTGTGCCGAACTGAGAAGACAGGTCTTCAGTATAGATGGGTCTACTAAAGCTGGAGACTTTGAGGTAATTACATGTCTTGGTCAAGCTGGAATCAAGTACCATTCTTAGAGCACTACCGACCAATGATCATGTCCTAAGCCAAACTCGGGTTTAGTCAATGCCTCCGGAAGATCATCATGGCATTGGAAAACCGGTATCAAACCGGATACTGGATACTTAGAAACTGCCATTAGCCTTCATTACAAACGGATATATAAAACAAGAATAATATTGTACCCAGTCCAAGAAAATTAAAGGCTGATGAGTGATTCAAACTTTATTTTTAGTTTATGGGTTTGTGGAAACTTTTAGTTGGTTAATTGTTGTATTATTAGCCTACAAAGTTTTTCTTTGAACGAGTCAAATAAAAGATAACTTGACAATATACAATGTATACTGTAGCCATAACCATAGTAAAAGTATAAGTGTAAATACAACTGAAAAAGCAGCCAAGTTATTATACTTGAACAAGTAAAGAGGAATTCTTGTCTGCAATCATTTGGTTCAAAGGTTTACAAGGATAAAATAACTTGTTCAAGTAGAATAACTTACCTGCCTTTTAGTTGTATTTACACATTAAAACAAAAAAGTTTGTACAACAACAAAAAAATGTTCTTCACATATACGGAAAAAATGAGAAAAAATGTTGAGATACGGAAAAGAGATCTTCTAAACATATAGCAGTAGTGGACCAGAGCTAATCGCACAAACCTGATACAGAAAAAAATAGTTATTTTTTTTAACTAATTTATTTTATTGATGATTAAACCGTGATAGTTATTAGTTAAGAAATCATAAAATAACGTATTCCTTTAAATAATAATTTTTTATTGTATTACCTATCAAAACGAAGAAAAAAGTCATTGAAATATACAGAAAAGATAAGATCTCTAAACATAGCCATAACCTGACAAAGAAAAGAAAAATAGTTATTAGATTAAGAAATAAATCAGAGCTAATCGACCAAACGTGACAAAGAAAAATAAATAGTTATTAGTTTAAGAAATAATATAATAACCTATTTCTTTTAAATAACAAACTTTTTTTATTGTATTATCTATCAAACCGAGAGAGAAAAAAATACAGAGATGAGATCTTCAAAACATAACATAGTGAACCAGAGCTAATCACCCAAACCTGATACAAAAAGAAAATACTTATTAGTTGAAGAAATAATATAAGAATGTATACCTTTAAAATCACATTTTTGGTTATTGTGTTACCTAGCAGAACATCTATAGACTCTTTTAATGTATTGGTGACTAAGTAAACCGGTAAATTCTGATAGGTCAAGGGCATCCCAGTTATGTCCAAAATGTTGTCATATCGTAACCAATAGTAAAATTAAAAAACATGTACAATAAATACAACATTTTAATGCCATTAGCAAAAAAGAAAATCTTTTTATTTGTATAGTTATTTTTGATCCTATAGATATGAGATTAGGATAAAGAAATAATTTGTGGACTTCGATGTGTGGGATTGGAGTGGAGATTGACAAAGAATCCTCATTAGCCAATATCAAAATGATTTCCTCATGACTAAGTCTATCGGTTCATTGAATCTAACATGGTATACGCTGGCCATACAAATCGAAAACCCATCTAATAGATCGTTTACATGTAACTTTGTTATGAATCGACCAAACTTCGTTTAAACATTCGAATAAAAGAAAAGTGCATTGTGTTGTGTTGATGAATAAGTGCATTTATTGGTCAACTATATTAATATGATTTTATTTGATGAAGAAGTGCATTTGTGTTGGCAGCAGGTTGGGTTTGTATTCAACTACGCCTCCATTAAGTAATGACTAGACTTCTATTTAAGTGTTAAAAAATGAATTATATGATAAGGACTTATTAACATCCAAATCTGGATTAAGAATGCCTAAAAAAAAGATTAAGTAATCCATTGTATTATCCCATTTAATTGATTTCATATTTTATTAGAATTACCATAGCTTTCTTTCGTCACTTCATTCATCACCACTTCTACGTGTCTAGCCTTTTGTTTTATCATTCAAATTTTTTACGTAATAAAACGCTAAAAATATATTATCCTTTTAAAAGATAACAATGTTAAATTTTTCATTATTGGTAGTCGAAACTTAGTCTTAGACTATGTCGATTACCGACAGTAATTCCATCAGTGGGAGAAAAATCATTAAAATAATACTAATCTCAAAAGTCATTATACATATATCTATCTAAAGTAAAACAATATAGTTTGTACTTGTAGCCTTCGGTAGATTATATCCTATTTTTTTCTAGTAACACAATTGCATTATACCTATTACCAACCAAAGAGTTTCACAGTTTTTTTTTTTAATTTAAAATGGTAATAAAAAAGTAAATAATTTCTTGAAAAAAAAGAAGTAAAATAGTAAAAATACAGTAACGTTTTCAATACTCGAGATATAATGACGTTAAGAAAAAAAAACCATTTTATGATATTTCCCAAACGAAAAAGAAAAACGTCCTTATATATATACTTTTCCATTGTAGTCGCACACCACCAGAGCAAACGAAGAGAAAGAAGAATGGAGTCTCCCAAATCAGACATTGATGGCTACCAAAACATCTTCGTGATGCGTCACGGCGATCGAATCGACAATTTCGAGCCACTCTGGGTTTCAACAGCTGCGAGACCTTGGGATCCTCCTCTCATTCAAGACGGCATGATTCGAGCGTTTCGAACCGGTCAAAGGATCCGATCTCAGATCGGGTTTCCGATTCACCGTGTCTTCGTCTCCCCTTTCCTCCGATGCATTCAGACAGCTTCCGAGGTCGTCGCAGCTCTCTCCGCCGTCAATGTCGACCCTAACGCCATGTCTTCCAAAGACGTCCCTTTCATTGATCAATCTAAGCTCAAGGTCAGTTCATCGGCGTATTGTTGATTCACCCGAAATTCGCCTGTTTTTTTTTAAAAAAAATTGAAGATTTAGGCAGAAACATTTGAAATCTGTTCTGCTCACTGATCACAATAGTAGTGTGCTGATCATTTTTGTTCTTTTAGTCTAGCAAGTTGAGCCGAATTGCGATAAGCATCATCATTCGATGTTGTATATACAATACAATCAGCTGAGATGTTCATCATGCTTGATTCTTCTCTTGTTCTACAGGTTGCTATTGAATATGGCTTGTGTGAGATGTTGAACTCAGTGGCTATTAGGCGTGAGCTTGCTCCCAAAGATGGGGAATTTGATTTCGATATTTCAGATCTTGAAGCTATGTTTCCTGAGGGAATGGTTGACCATGATGTGGATCGGATTTATAAAGAGGTGCTGTATCTAGGACCTTTCAAGTTTCGATTTTTTTTTTTCTTACTTTTTTTATATCCAGTAATAGTTAACTTGATCCCTCGTTGGATCTGTTCAGATGCCAAAATGGGAGGAGTCTGTGGAGGGTTGCAGAGAACGATATGTTAAAGTTGTAAAGGCTCTTGCCGATAAGTATCCTACAGAGAACTTGCTCTTAGTCACCCATGGTAAGCAAGTTTCTGCCTTTTAGCTGTTTCCTCACCCATTTGATTTAACTTGTGAGTATCTGTAAAATGAAAACTTGTATGGATCTTGTGTATCCTCCCACGTTCTGTCTTGATCAAATTTCAAACTGTCTTAACTTAATCGGGTATGAACCAAAAATCTTGTTTTTGTTCTCACTCTCCTTTCTACCTTGGTTTGTGCTTCTTTGGTGAACAAGTGAACTTCCACAGTCTTGATGTTTGTTACCTTATGAACCAATTTTGATGGAATTTCAGGGGAAGGAGTAGGAACCACATTCTCGACGTTCTATAAAGATACAACCGTGTACGAAGTAGACTACTGTGCTTATGTTGAATTGAGAAGAGAGGTCTCAAGTAAAGATGGGTCTGTTAAAGCTGGGGACTATGAGGTGGTTTTGAGTCATGGTCAAGCTGGAATCAGGTTTGGTCATGACCCTGTCAGTCATGATCCTGTCATAAGCCGAACACCTGTTTAGTCAATTGTCTTCAATGTCTCTGTTTCTGTATTTTTGATTGTATTTGAACTGCTTCTGTATGAAAACATGGTTTCAAAGTTTGATTCAATCAAATAAGATTTTATGTTTCTGCTGAAAGAAAAAAAAAAAACACAACTTTCACACTACAGGGAAACAAACAAAAGTTGTCATTACATAAGAATGTAGTTAGATTGTTGCTTGTGAAACCATCTAAAAACGAAGCTAGTTAGAGTCTGCGTCAAATTAGACCTAAACACACAGGAAAACAAACTTCAAGCACAATCTAAGGAGGACTCCGAATTGAATCAACTTGATCAAACATGTCAGCTGGGAAATCGTCAAAGAAAACATCAGGATCTTCATCCTTTGAAACATGTCTGCATCTTCTGGGCGCTGGAGACGGCTCAAAAAACGGCTGAGGAAGAGGGAACAATGGCTCAGAAGAATCAGCTGGTCCAAGTATATCGTAGAAATAAGGGTCGTCGAGTCTAGCCAGAAGCTCTCTGCTTTCTGGAGAGAAAGGGCTAACTTGTTGCTGGTTTGGAATCTGTGACGACTCAGAGAAGAGAGAAGAAGTAGTCTCTGCTAGAACAAGATCAGCCCCAAAAGTAAAAGGCTGATGCTCTAGTTTAATACCCAATTCCGGCAATCTCAAGGTTTCATCAACTTGGTCCGAAGAATAAGGAATAATCTTGGAAGACGAGGAAGAAGCTGTAGTCTCTTGATCAACCAAACCAAAACGCTGTAACACACAAACACACACAATTGAAAAATGAAAACAGAGAAATAAAAATCCTCTATAGAAAAAAACAGAGTGTGTTTCAATAACCTGAGAGGGATTGAAGGATTGGATAGGTTTGACGTTTTTGCCCTTGGTTCGATGAGAAGAAGAAGATTTGGGATTGAGACCAGAAGTGGATTCAGAGGAGTTATGGAGAATCCGAGCGAGACGCTTTAGCCTGCTGCTCCAGAAATTCTTGACATCGTTATCAGTTCTTCCGGGTAAATACGTAGCGATTCTGGCCCATTTGTTCCCAAACTCCGACTGCAACTCAATAACTATCCTCTCTTCCTCCGCAGAGAACTTGCATCCACTGTAACAATCAACGAGAAAGAAAAAAAACCCTAAAAAATTGAAGCAAACAAAAACCAAAAGTGAATGAATGGATGAAGAAGAGGAGGATTAATTAGTGTGAAAGAATGTTAAAAGTACTTTTTGAGATTAGGACGGAGTTTGTTGACCCAACGGAGACGGCAGGATTTTCCGGTGCGTCGAAGAAGGCCTTTGGATCGAATGGAGCTCCAGTCACGAGGACCGTATCTCTTCACATGGTTGATGAGTACTTCGTCTTCTTCGGCTTTCCATGGCCCTTTCTTAACATCTTCCTTCTTCGCTCCTTCCATTTTCTTCATCTTCGATATATTCGGATTTTTTGGTAATTTTTGTGTTCTTCTTTCAAAAAGGAGAAGTTTTTTTCGCTTTTGTAGTGACGGTTGGATGCAGTTATGCCCCCATTTGGCCATTACCCTCCACTTTCAGTACCCCACTTCCCAAGTTTCTCTCGCATTTTCGAATTTGTGTATATTACTAAAATGCCCTCGTCTTATTTATCTGAATTCAAGCCCACTAAAATTAAGCCCAATTAAAAGCGAGCCCGTGTAAGCCCACCGATTTTCGCTCGTTAGTCTATTTACTTATTTTAGATACACATCTCATGCAACATATGCAATTGATGCAATGCAACCTTTACGTGTTTTTTTTTTCTTTTGGTAAAATAACCTTTACGTGTTTGTAATAATTGCTGAACTGTACAGAGATATCAGGTAATTCGAGTTAAGATTGGAAACTTTTCCTACCGAGCAAGAACGTTATCAGATGTATATGCACACACTGACGTATATCAGAATCGGTTAAAGAAAAAAGAAAAAACACATCGCCAGTTATATAGGACTTTGTGATAAACGCTTACCCGGCGTTTTGGCACTATGAAAGATGTCAAAGAAAGAAATAATATTAGCTACGATAAAAAAAAAAAATTGAAAATGTGGGTTTTAATAAGATTGATGGGTTAAATCTCTCAAAACTACTAATAGAGTCTTTTAATTTTCTCAAAACGTGTCAAACTTATTTTATATATTCACAAAATAAGAAAGCACATGACGAACAAAAGTAAATTCTTATTAAATTGAAATGAACACAAAAAGTAGAAGAATCTATCATTACTGTACGATGATATATAAACATAATAAAATGCTATAACATAACCTTTTTCTTACAATTGATACAAGTCGTGAAATGTGGGTTTTTGAAAGCTCCATCTAGTACCTTCCTCCTCGTTAAGGTAATTATTAACATTTCAAACTTATAATATCATAATTAATTGATGTCGAACAGGGTAAAACTAAATTAATTTCAGAATCTATAAAAGTATGTATATTTTAACCGATTTGTAATATGATTAAGGTTTTGGAATCGATTCCATCGTATTTTATCCGGATTAAGCACATGCGAAGATGGCCTATGTATATAAGATAGACATCATTTAATTGACCTCTTCTCCATCTCTCACAAAATTAAGTAAGTAGTCTTTCTTCTTCCTCTTCCTTTGCTTGTTACTCCCATGGATTCATCAACACTTGCAACTCTGAGACAGGCTTCAGATTCTGAAGGCAAGACTGGATCCTCCGATACGGACACAATGGATGGAATGTTGGATCTTGAAACGGGCATGATTCATGAGTTGGAGAAACCACCGGTTCCTGGGATGTGGCGGTTTCCTACAAATCCTAATCTTTGCTGTATCTACAGGGTCCCAGAGTGTCTACGTGAAGTAAACCCAAAAGCATACACTCCACAGTTGGTCCTCATTGGACCACTTCACCGTTCTTTAAGATCTCAAGCTCTCAAGTCTCGTGGAGATATCACAAAGACAAAGTCAATGGGCTACTTGAACACGGAGGCTCATAAGAAGATTTACCTAGCGGAATTCGCAAAAAGAGTTGAAGGGAAGAAGAGAGTTGTTGAAGGATTCAGGAGAATGATCGAAGAAGACGAAGATATGATCAGGGCAAGCTACTCGGAATCAACGGCCTGGATTGAATCTCAAGAGTTCGTGGATATGGTCCTCTACGACTCTGTTTTCATAATAGAGCTCATGTTGAGAGATTCCTCAAGATTGCAAGAGAAAATAGGAGATCCTCTCATGGACGAGCCTTGTCTTGAAAGCACAATCAGAGGAGATCTCATCTTGCTAGAGAACCAACTTCCTTACTTCATCCTCGAGAAACTCTTTGATCCAATCGTCAAAATACTCCTCCCGAACCAGACACTACGCACACTTGTTATCAGCTACTTTGAATTGGACAAGAGCAAGAAGATGAAAGAAGAGACTTCAACGTTCAGACATTTCACTGATTTGTTGAGGTGTGTTCGCGTAGAGACACTCCCGGAGCATGGTGTAGAGGATTGCGGTCCCATAGCCAAAATGCATAACGCGGATAAGCTAGACAGCAGGGGACTGAGATTCGAGGCTGTAGAGCAAGAGTTTTCGGTCGAGGTCAAATTCGACATCAAAACTGGCTCTTTGAAGATACCTTGTTTCTCGGCTGATGACGATATGGAGACACTACTTCGAAATATAATGGCCTTTGAGCAATCTCATTACCCTTACAATGCCTACGTTTGCGACTACATCACATTCCTTGATCTCCTCATCGACACCGAGAAAGACGTTGACTTGCTCGTTGAGAAAGGTAACACTAATCATCCCTAGATGTTGTATTTTGAGCCCAAATACTAACTTATACGTGTGTTTTGATATTTGTAATAAAGGGATAATAAAGAATTTGCTAGGGCACCATGGAGCAGTATCAATGTTAGTGAACAAGCTGGGTGTGGGAGTGATGGACGATGACTCTTGCTATTCTAAAATCGCATCAGACGTCATCGATTACTACAGTGACAGATGCAATACGTCACGCTCCATCCTCAGGCGTGTGTATTTCAGCAACGTGTGGAGAGGGACAGCCACCGTTACTGCTGCCTCTATATTGCTATTGACTCTCATCCAAACGGTGACTTCCATCATTGATATTATTCACAAGTGAAACGCACTTTTGTTGTCCAATTTCACCTCCAAATTTTTTTTATGTCATCCTTGTTCATATGATGATGTAGCTTCTGCTTTCTCTTTCTCAAGAAGAAGTTGTCTTACCAATCTATGCTTAATGATCCAAACTGATTGTGATGTTTCTTTTTTTTTTTTTGGATTGTGATTTTGCACATTTTTTTATTCTGATAGAGTACTGCATTGTATCCTGAAGCTCTTTTTGCATATGACTCGTTGATTTTGGTACCCATTTATATAAAATTTTGGCAATTCTTCATAATGAGATTGAACAACACAAGTTATGCTTTGTTGTGTACATATCATTGATTGATCATTATAGCAAACTAAAGATAGAGCAGTGAACCTAAAACTAAATTTAAATTGGAAGTTTGTGTAATCCCATCGATCGGAGAAAAAACATGAAACTAAAGGAATGAATATTCATAGTTGATTCATAAATTAGCTAAATAGTAATAATAATTTGTAAATTAAGCAAGTAGGAACAAGAAAAAAAAAAAAAAACTCAAAATTTCATGTGTAAAAAATTACAGAAAATACAAGAACCGGTAGCAGCAACTAAAGACAATCGCTCCGATGCATTAAGCAGGTCTCCAATCTACCGGAGAGCTAGTCCTTGGATCGTCTCCGGTAAGAACCAAGCTCGAAATCGTTCATGACAGATCATCCGCCTCTGCAAAAACCAAACGCTGCGGTTTATCAAGAGACAGCCAATCTTGGTTTGAATGTTTGTACTGTACTTAGAAGTTAGAACCCCTAAAAATGTCGTACCGGTGATTTGCTTTTCCGGTATTTGAGGAGTAATCCCCAAATTGGTTCTAATGTTAGCTCCCAATTCCATCGCATCTTGGACCTGTCTTGTGTCCAGCAATCAATTGGATCAATCTCTCTGATATTTGCCAAAACAAAGAGAAAGAGATCAATGATTTAACAGACTTCATGAACACTAACCGTGTGGATCCCCGTGGCGCTGAGAAATGCGACGGAGGTGGTGGCTACCGCGCCGACGAAGAGTGATGCGACTCCGAAGGCTTTTAGCGGCATTAAACGAACGTCACCGGCGTAACCTCTGCGAATACATCTCACTCCCCACATGATCTGGGCTCCGCTTCCCATCGCCCACCACCAGTGACCCGATCCATCCAACAAACTGCTCTCGCCGCCGCCGCCACCGCCACCGCCACCGGCGTCGTTCTGTTCCTCCATTTTCGCCCCCGTCGTTTCTTCGGAGATGGTGAAATCCGATTTTGAGATTCCTTTTTCGTGTCGCGATCGTTGCAGGTTTCCATAGGCTCGAGTTTGGGCTTACGGCCCATATTTGTCCTTGAGGCCTTTTTCGTGTGAGATCTCCGGTCCAGTCTTCTCGGCTCTTCTTCTTTCCAATATCCAAATATAAGTCATTAAGGTTTTACAGAATAATTTCAGTTGACGAACAGAGGAATGCCATGGGAATATAGGCCAAGGAAGAGGAAGAAGAAAGGTTGTGAATGTACCTTTCAAATTGCTTCTTAAGGGAAGATATGTACATATAAGCCATCACCACGAGCTCGTTCAAAATATTTTACTCCTTTTTTTTTTTTTTGACATCTATTTTTCGCACCCCTTTGTTTATTGGCTTATTATGTTTTACAGAATTGTTTTTACTGCTTCTGGTTTAACGAATAACTTAATTATCATACAAGTGCACAATAAAGTTTATTATGTCAGGTTGAATATATAAAAAACAGAATAATTTATCATGCCAATAATATTGTTAATTTTGTAAGGCGCTATATTTGGGCGATATTTGTAATCATATATAGTTCGAAAACATTTCATTAAGGCTGACCATCTCTGTTGGATGATAGTGTCACTACTCACTACGTTAAAATAATAAAAATATAAAATATTAGGTCGGGCCAAGGGAAGATTTGGCATGGCCCAGAAAAATGCTACATTCAACCAATTCTGGTCATCATTGTTAAATGTATACTCGGATTCATGTATGTGTTTGTATTTTACATATTATAGTTATAATAATCTCCTCACTTGACCTCCCCTTCCGGCGTCGGATATACGACAAAATTTCACTCTGCTTGAATTGTATTTTAGACTTTTTAGTTATGTGTTTTTCTACTAAACTCCTTTGACAAAAAAAAAAAAAAAAAAACGCTCGGCATATACAACTATGATTAATCTTCAAAAAGTTTATCCTATACTATGTTTCTGTTTCTGTGTATAAAATGTTCTCTTTGGATGAATATACAGCTCGGCATATATTTTAGTATCCCCTTGTGGAGAATATAAAAACGAACACATTATACAGCAACTATTTCTTCCGTGTCGTATCAAGTTGATGTTTTATATTCGTTGTTCGTACCTATTATCTTGGTATTCACAAACAAATGTTGATTTGTAGCTGTGCACTTTTCAATTAAAAGTAATTAACGGTTTCTTTGGCTTTTTACTCGACAGTTAGTGTAACTAGAATATATATGTTTTAGATCGCCATATTTTTTTCTTGATACTGACAATCGTGATTGTTTATTGTCAGTCACAGTCTTACTCTTCTTTCAAATGAATATTTATCAATGTGAGTTTATGAATATTCTATATCAATAAAGAGGTGACACTCGATAGTACTCAATTTTTCATCATTCTCCCAAAACAACAACAAAATGACAAGATAAATGTGTATACATATGTTAATAATGAACAACAATAATGATGGGGTACATTGTTCAATGTTTTCATTAGAAAAGCTGTGTTTATTTTAGTAATACAAATTTTATCATTAATCATATTAAAGTATTTCTTAGTTATAGTGGCGCCGAATGGAAAAATACAATATAAATGTAAAATATACTCCTTTTTTGTTTTTTGTTTTTTTTTTTGGCTAAATTTATATACTCCTATTTGGCATACATGTAACCTTGCAATTAATATCCAGAGTCCAGGCCTAAGCGTATTACTAATAACTTTAAATCTAGACCCAGCTCAGGTATTCAATACATACTTAGTCATCGTAGTTCAGTGTAATATAGTTCTGTCAGTTAAATTTACACTATAGAACAACATATCCAAAAGATTCCACTAATAAAAATAACTTTTTTTTAACGGGCCTTCTTATATAAATAAAATAATGGTTACAAAGGGGAAATTAGAAATAACTTAAAGTAATACTAATGTATTTAGCATGGTTGAATTAAAGTGTCCGCTTACAGAGCCGTGCTTAATGAACAAAAAATAAGGCATTTGCTTTAGGCCCCTTTAATATTAAGCAAGTTTTAGGCCTCTAATTTTATATTTTTATTTAGTATATTGGTTGGTGTCCAAAAAAAAAGAAAATTAGTATATTAGTTAATATATATTTTTGTGGTTGAAAATTTATTATAAATTAATAAAAAGCATCTTATAAAATAATATTTAAATCTGATTTACAATTTATATTTTTTAGAAATAATTAGAGCAAAATGGAAATTTTTTCTTGTTATTTGTCTTAGGTCTCTAATATTCTAAACACGGCACTGTCCGCTTAGTAACGTGATTCTCGTGGTTTGAAATATTTTATCTAATTGTCTGTTGTTAATTAGAAGTTAGAACATACAGATGCCAGTTAACTGTAAAGCAAAAGAGGGTCAACATAAAACCTTTTTACGTAGTAGAGAAGTCTAAAAATGGAGAAAATAAGAGTAGACACTCTACAAATTGATTATTATGACGTCACACAATCCCAAGACACAGTTTATTGGGTTATGAAGATGACGTGCACGATCGTTGGTCCATGTATTAGGCTCTATTTTTAGAATATCAATTTATCATATACTTAATCTGTTTCATGATTTTCTAAATATTTACACATAAATTAAGAAAGCTATAAATACTTAATTATTTAATGTTTATTTTTGTAATTAAGTTACTTTTACAACTAATTTCATTATTTTTATTATTACTTTTTCTTTTCTAACTGTGCATTAATGGAGTAAAGCAACATGCATTAATATTATTCATTCAATTTAAAGAAGAGATATGCATTAATTAGATGTAAAAAATCAAATATTATGAAACAAGAAAAAAAACCTAGAAAATCAATTACTCATTCTGTTCAGAATTAGTTAATGTTTAAGGTTTTTGCACACAGATTAATGATGCATTTAATATTTATTTTTTCTACACTAAAAAATTTATCTATAATTCATTTAAATATTATTTAGCCAATAAGAAAATAATTTGCAGAATATAAAAAGTAAAAACAATAAAAATTTATTAAGTTTTACATTGAAAAGTGATAACATCAAATAATCCTGAAAAAAAAAAATCATAAAACATCAAATAATTCTGAATAGAGGGAGTATAATGAAACAGAGGAAGTATCAATTAAGAAGACAAGTTTATTTCCATTTAATTTCACATGGGGTAAGTTATTCGCTGAAGATGGTGGACAGTAGAATGACAATCGGGACCCACCTTATTACTGTCATGTTTTTTCTTTATTATATAGTATGAAAACGGACAAAAAAATAAAAAAACTTGGAAGAATATTAATAGCAGCCCACTTCAGGGTGTAACAGATACCTTGAATTCTCTCTCGCTCTCTCTCTCTCTAATAATGGAAAAACAAATCAACATAGAGAGTAGTGCTTCCGTTATAACAACCTCCACCGCCACCACCGCGACGTCTTCGTCGGAATCTTGGTCTTCCTCCAAAAGATCGTTAGTGCAAGACAATGAAGCCGACGGCAAACGGCGGAAGAGGAGCAACGATAAGTGTCAGACGACGCCATATAGAGGAGTAAGGAAGAGGAGCTGGGGAAAATGGGTGTCGGAGATTAGAGAGCCAAAGAAGAAATCGAGAATATGGCTTGGCACTTATCCAACGGCTGAGATGGCAGCTCGAGCTCATGACGTGGCGGCTTTAGCCATTAGAGGCAACTCCGGTTATCTCAATTTCCCTGAATTATCCGGTTTGCTTCCTCGTCCGGTTAGTTCCTCCCCCAAGGATATCCAAATCGCAGCTGCCAAAGCAGCAGAAGCCACGTGGCGAGAACCGGTTCATGATCATGAGAAAGCCAAGCGGCTCATGGGAACTGATGAGCTAAGCCATTCCGAGTTGTCCACGGCTCAGTCGTCGGCTTCGAGCAGTGTTGTGTTTTCTTCCGACACGTCGGAGACTTCAAGTACTCATGATAAAGAAAGCAACGAAGAGACTGTGTTTGATTTGCCGGATCTTTTCACCGATGGGCTGATGAACCAAAACGATGCGTTTCGTTACTACGACGACACTTCCACGTGGCATCTTTATGAAAATGATGTTTGGTTTCGGCTCGAAGAGCCGTTTACTTGGCGGAATAATTAAAACCACCCTCTGTTTGCTTTACTAACGTACAGTTTTTCCAATATGGTTTTCTACATTTTTGAGTATGTTACTACGAGGTTCGTTTTGAATAATTGACTGTAATTTGAAATTCAAGTAATGTAGAATGAATATAATCATGAGTGGCAGTGGCAAAAAACGTAATTTAAAGTAAATACACTGAAAAACAAGAAGGCAACGTTTGTTGATGGTGACACTCTCAGTCTCAGTCTCTCGAGCTTTTAAGTCTTTTTGTATTTTCGTTGGTAATTGGCCCCTAGAAGGCTAGACTTAAAATAATCTTAAAGCACGTAGACGAATTTTGACTTCGAGAGCCCAAGCATCCACTAGTTTATGAATGTTATATATCAATATCTGAACCGGGATTATTCTCTAGTTTGTGTTTGTTTTCTACAACGTTATTAATCTATGTTGTTATCGACGACGACACTCATATACATCCTAGTTTAACTAATACTCATATTCCTAAATAAATAATTTATAATAGGGTTTTCATCACAACAGAAATCAAGAAACAGTTAATGTTTAGTTATAAATTCATAAATTTCTAACATTAAACAGTTCTCAATATATAACTATACGAATCAATAAAATCAAATTCATATACTTCATTTAATATCTTTGAAGTTCACAATTTACTAACATCATTTAACAAAAAGTGCATAGAAATATTTTAAGCAAACATGTATTTGGTTAGATATAAGCATATCCTAGCTAGCTATCTTAAGATTATTTACAATATAATTGTAAATTTACTCGATGAGATCCCAATCCGGCCGGTTCTCCTAACTAATTTATAAAGTCCTGAATATATAAAACATATTTCAAGTAATGATAGTGAGCTTAGCGCAGGTATACTATATATGTATATGTCATATTTAGTTTGTGCATAATTGATGAGACGATGATTGCGAAATTGAAAGTGAAGGAGAGACAAGCTTTTTTTAAAAAATTATCGCTTTATTTAGGGTGGGAATATAACATGACTCACATGTTCATCTTTGCATTCTTTTCTTTCTAAAGTTATAATAAGCTAATGTATAACCTTTCACTTTTTTTTTTCATTCCTCCATTTCTTTAAATTGCGTAAAAGGTGAAAGGATATATGCTATAACAATGGGAATGCTTTTGCCCAACATCTTACTTTCTCCACTGTTATGAGGCATAGCAGGACTGTTTATGGATTCCCAAACACATTCATTGGATCCGATACTAATTTTATATATAAAAGTTGTTCAACTTTCTCCATATGTTTGACACATCAGCATTGGAGAAGTGGATACTTGTCACTTAAAATTTAATATTAAATTTTAAAACACTTAAAAGAATATAGAAAGTTTGTTTTATTAATTGACTCTTAACTAACATTTATATTAATGTTAAACAAAAATTTATGTTATAACTAATTAAAAATATTGATAGATATGTATTTAATTTTTATATAACTGTAGATTACTTAATAATATTCATGATGTATTTTAAATTAATTTTGTTAAGATTATTTATAATAAAATACTAACAAATAACAAATGAAATGATGATTATATTAATTTTAATTTTTTATTTAATTGACTATTAATTAATATTTTTGTAAATGTTGAACTAAACTTTATGTTATAACTAATTAAAAATATTGAGTGATATTTATTAATTTTAATATAATTTTAAATTATTAAATAATATTCAATATGTATTTTAAATTAATATTTTTAAAAAATTTAGAATAAAATATTAATAAGTAAGTAAATAACATAAAAAATAAAATATTAACAAGTAAGTAAGTAACAAGTGATGATTATATTAATTTTTATAAAAATATTAAAAAATTTTGAAAAAAATTGAAAAAAATTACGTGCGGATATTCAACAAGTGGTAATAATAATAACAATGCATATTTGAATAGAATCGTGAAATTCTAACAAATTACAAAATCAAATCCTTACCTTTAAAAATCATTTGTTAATCTATATCTCCTTTAGAATATTTAATCCAGGTACCATATAATGTAAAAACCTAAAACGAAACCTAGAGAAATCAGAGATTTGAAATATAGATAAACCAAACTTCATTCGAATTTGATTCGAAGCCTGAATTTGACTCCGGAACACACAAAAATCATTATTAAGAACAAGTTATATTCTTAAACACATACAAAGCAACTTTATAGGCATATATATTTTATTTTATTTTGCTCAAGAGAATTTTATAGGCATACATGCATATTCTTTTGGTAGACTTATGAGTTTGTTGCGGGCACTGATCAAGAAACATATAAAGATAGTGGAAGTGGTAGTGAGATCACTATCGATAACATTATTTCTACATGCATATTAAACATGTCGTGTAATTGGTGTATACTTGTTCTACTCTCTCATGATGTTAGGATTTGAATTGAATGTATATTTACAGAAGTAATTATGTTTGTACTTTTACCATTTGGGGGGGGGGGGGGGGAAAAATTTGATTATTTTGTATATATTAATTTACAATAGCTATAACCGTTTCCACACGAATGACTTGACTTTGGGCAAAACAATAAATGAAAACTTACAGATGACAATTTTACAAACTACAAGGAGCTAATTTCGTCTTTTGGCATCTTGCGTTATGCACAGAAACTAGTCCAAGAATCATCATAAAAACAGATTAAAAATAAAGATATATATTACATGCGATATATTATTTGTTGTTAAAGAGAACATGCGATCTTTATCTTTGGAATACAGTGGGCAAAAAAAAGAAAAAAAAAAAAAGAAAAAGAAAACAAGCAAGCGGAAAGAAGAAAAGTGAAAGCCACAGCAGAAGAAGAAAATAATGAAAGATTCATACTGTTCACTTAATTAACTATTTCCTCGCATTTAAATCAAAAGAACAGGAAAAGAAAAAGAGAAATCTAGGAAAGCATGTGGGGGAAAACTAAAATTGCCTGTGAAAATAACGAACTCACAAATTAAAACCAATTGAAAACAATGGTACCTCAATTAATTCCATTATAATAATTTTTGTTTTTGGTCTGAGTAATGAAATGATTAATAAGCCAATAGAGCCAATTAGAACATAATTTGAACATTTCTATATTTATAAGTTGTCTCCTGCTCTAGTCCATGTGGTTTGTGTGTTCGTGAAGCAAACATAAACATGTCTAAGATCAGATGTATTGTAATTTTGGTTCTGAGTTCGAGTACCAACATTCGTCTCCTTCGTAACGAAGTATGAGTAAACAAACTGTAAAGTAATTAAGATGACAATGATACAGTCATACAGCCATATCTCAGTCACTTTGACACATCTCCATGACCCCTTCATTGTTACAATTTGATAACTTCTTTGCTTTTGAATTTCTGGTGATCCTAGAATTAGAGATCAAGACTTGAAAACTCTCCTTCCTCTATCTTTTATACTATTCCTCCAAAATATTTGTGGTTTCTTTTACCACTACTGGAAACGACATATGTCAGATACCACAAAAGGGCCAGACAATAATCTCTAATGGGCCGGGCCTGGAAATTGAAGAACCCTAAATTGTATTCTGGGCAAATCAAATTTCTCAGACGTCGTTTCACCCCCAAAACCTCGTGCCAGCACCGCCGGAGGTAAGAATTCTGCGAGAAGGGAAAAAAAGAAAGAAGAAAGTTGAAGTCTTTTCTCATCCATTTTCTCCAATAGGTTAGATATGGTTTTAGTTCGCCGTGTTGATTCTAGCCCTAAGAGGAGGAGATGTTTATTCAATGGAGTGTTTAGTTTGCAGGCTCGATATATTGTATTTGCGCAAAACTTTAATTTTTTTGGTTTTTGTTTTTTTCTGAATTCGTGTTAGTAGTCAATAGCAAATAATGGAGGGGAGATTGGCTAATATGTGGAGGTTGACCGTGAACGAAAGCAAATTCGTGGAAACGGCGTTGCAATCTGAGCTCAGAGTTGATGGTCGTGGGCTTTATGATTACCGCAAGCTCACAATTAAATTTGGAAAGTAAGTGCTCTTTACTTCTTCACATTCCATTTACTTTACTCTTCTGCTTATGGATACCGTTTCTGTCACTTTGGAGATTTCTAAGCTTTGCTGTTTTGAGCTCAGTAGAGCTTCAATTTTTATTTTTTGTGTGTGGGGTTTTGTGAGAACTTTGGATGAGCTTGTAATCTTGTGTGTGAATCAACAGAGAATATGGTAGCTCAGAAGTTCAACTTGGTCAGACTCATGTGATGGGTTTTGTGACTGCTCAGTTGGTTCAACCGTACAAAGACAGGCCTAACGAAGGCTCCCTCTCTATCTTCACTGAATTTTCTCCAATGGCTGATCCATCGTTTGAGCCAGGTCGTCCTGGCGAATCTGCTGTGGAGCTGGGCCGTATTATAGACCGCGGTCTAAGGTAAATTCCCTCTCCTTTGGATTATCTCTATTATACTAGTTGTTCTCGTTGGATTAATGGTAAATGGGTCATTGTAATGGTTGTAGAGAAAGCCGTGCGGTAGATACAGAGTCACTCTGCGTTCTAGCTGGAAAGATGGTCTGGTCCGTTCGCATTGATCTTCACATTTTGGACAATGGAGGGTAGGTTTTATTGGCTACAGTACTTCTCCTCTCCTTGATGTTCATTGAAAGTTTTGGTTTTTTTAAGATGGTGTGTTATGTGTGTTTTTAATCACTCGTTCTTGTAAAGGAACTTGGTTGATGCTGCAAATATTGCTGCGTTAGCAGCGCTCATGACGTTTAGGAGACCTGACTGCACTGTAGGAGGGGAGAACAGTCAAGACGTGATCATACATTCACCGGAGGTTAGTCACATTTTTTTCGGTTTGGAGGAACTTGTTAAAAGCAGTTAAGGAGAGAAGGAAGCTCTCAACTTCAACTGTGTGTTCTATCTTTGCTTTGTCTTGCAGGAAAGGGAGCCACTTCCGTTGATAATACATCATATTCCAATAGCCTTCACGTTTGGATTTTTCAATAAAGGCAACATCGTGGTAAAAGATTTGTGTTTTCTATTGAGAATCTAGTTTAGCTATTTTTTCCCCCTTTCTTTTTTTTTCTGAGATAAGAAACGGGTTTTGTGTTGTGATGCAGGTGATGGACCCAACTTATGTTGAAGAAGCGGTTATGTGTGGGAGAATGACTGTGACAGTCAATGCCAATGGCGATATATGCGCAATCCAAAAACCGGGAGAAGAAGGCGTGAACCAGAGTGTAATCCTACATTGCCTGCGTCTTGCTTCTTCAAGAGCTGCTGCAACAACTAAGATAATTAGAGAAGAGGTAAAGGTTGCGAAATCCAAAGCATTTTTTCTTTTGGCTAAAAACAAAAACACTCACATTTTGTTGTGGTTTTGTTTTCATGGTACAGGTTGAAGCATATAACCGTGAGAAGAACTTACAGAAGGTGAAGCGACATCCTACTATGGCTAAATCTGAAGTTTCTGGACCAATGGTAGTTGTGAAGGAGGGACACAAGAAGTCCACCGCAGATCAGGAAAAAGCTGCAGAGAGATCTCGGGAAGACGTCGAAAGGTTAAACCTGTCTTCAGTCGAACTAAAAGGCAGGAAGAAACAAGAAGCTGCTGCCTCTCCTGCCAATTTCAAAGGCGGTCCATCGAGTTGGTAATCATCTCAATCGCTCATGTTCTGTATTTCATCTACCGGACATCTGATTCTTTTGTTATGGAACAAATTTCCAGGGATCCTTACACGGAAGCTATGGATGTTGATTCGCTGAAAGCTTCTCTTGCTTCAAAAGGTAAAATAAGTTCCTTTTTTATTTGGTTAGCTTCTTCCTTCTAATTTTGTCTCTCCTAGAGAGAGAGATGAGGAACTGAAACGTGTTTTGTTCTTGTCCAGGGGCTTCTCCCGTGACGAAGTCACCGATCAAGAAAAAGATGGACGGCTCTGAAAATACGCAGAAAGATGGTGAGAGTTCAATGGAGGATCTAACCGAAGATTTAGGGAAGGATGGAGAGCTGACACTCAAAGATGCTGTGAAACCTAAGAAGAAGCGAAAAACAAAAGCAGTGAAAAAGGTCTAGTGTTTTGTTTATTTTTGGTAGTGAGCACTGAGCACAAATTTATTTTGTCCTTTGTAAGGAAATAGGAAAGACCAAACCAAAGCAAAAATAGATTCCAGGTTTAATGTGTCCCAATCACTCGTTTAAACCTATCTTCTTCCCTTGAGACTCTGGATACGGATTTAAGGTGAACCTATTTTTCTGAAAAGTCAAATGCTTGTTAAAAATTTAGGATAATCAGGAGCAAAAAGGCAATATGTAAAAACGTATATATATCAATCAATCTTTTTTTTTTTTTTTGAAAAAATCTTAAAGCCATAGATCATGTATTTTACCCACGTTCGTTCCGCCGTCACTCTGGCGCAAAATCTGTATCGTTGTGCTTTTTCTCAGATCCAACGGTCTCAATTACTGTTTCCCTTTTATTAAATTGTGACTGGAATTTTCATTTCACTATAAACTAGAATTCTAAATCTGCGCGCTCGTACAATATTATAATTAAAACTATATTAATAATAATTAGTTATATATCTTAATTTTGAAAATGCAACAATGACATGTATTAAATGCAATTACAGAACAATCAATAAAATTAAAACTACATAACTAGAGACAAAAATTTAAGATTTCTTTTTCGAGTGTAATATGTAAGTAAACCATTGAAAGTAAATCTCTTCTCTATTTTTAGAATGAATTATGGAGTCTAAATGAACTCTATTTTAAGAGTGGAATATGGAGACTAAATGCTTTCTCTGAGTTTGATGGGAAGGTCAAGATCAGGTTCAGAAGGAGTCAAGGGAGAGAAGTAAGTATCAACCATGTCCTCTGAAACTTTCTCCAAGCTTGGTGGATCCCACTGCACAACACCAATCTCTATCGCTTAAACCTTAATTATATTATTAATCTCTTTATAATGACGTGCTACAGTAATGGGTTAATGAAGAGATTAACAATAGTACAATACCTTTGGTGCCTCGTCCCTGTCTATTAGTCGAGCTCGTACTCCCTTTCACCATTAAGAAGTTACTTATCAAATCACTCATTACTTACTCTGTTTCGAATGTCCAAATTTGATCTGCCGAAAACTCACATACCTCACAAAAATTGCCTGAAAAACTTCCGATTGTTCCTTGTAGCGACATTCTATACTCTCGAATCAAGCATTGATCAAGTGTTTGAAATCTTCCTTCTCGGATCTATTGGATTCGGTTAAATAAACTATATATAAGTCGAGAAAAGGAAAAATGAGATCTTTAAAGATGTTTACTAACAAAGTCAATTGTGAACTTACAGATCTCAATGCGACCTTCAAGGACAACGGCGAGGTTTCTTTAAGCCTACGTAGAGTCGTAGTGCACCATATGTCTTTTGTTCTCCCAGCCTCGGTTTCCTGGCGAAAACCGTTAACCGAAACACCATTACTTCTAGTGACTCGAGTTGGTCACACTAGCCGAAACATTTGTACAGAGACTTACCAAAGAATCAATAATTTCTTCCACTGTGTCATGACAGAAGCATTTTTCAAGTAAATCGATCCTAAGAAAATTCGGGAACAAAACAAAACTTAGAAGCTAATATGAGAAGACAAAGCAGGGCTTTCTATCTCCAGGATAAAGGATAACAAACCTGCGAATAACACCAGTCTTTTCTGGATGGGCAACTTCTGCACATTTTTCTAAGCATGTTTCAACAACAGAAGGATCATCAGTGAGCAGCTTCTTGAGCTGTTCTTCCAATACAGGAACCTCCTGTTGTTGGAGAACAAATCATCACTACCTAGCATGTAAGATAAGTTTGATGAAAAAACAGAAAAAAAAAGCTGATTGATGTCATCTATATTACCTCGCTACTAATATAATGTGTCGCAAGGCCACATGCCAACATTTCGGCGCCACTGAGCTTCAACCCAGTCAGACCCAGATACTCCCCTGCATATACTCTATTTAATCATCCGTCCTAGAGGAGCTAATTTTCAAGGCCGGAATCAGTCCGTGACATAATGCATACTATGAAATACGAAAATTTTAAAGAGAAAGAAAAGCAAGTTGGGGTAAGTTGGTAGTTATCAGCAGCATTTCTTATTTAACATCACTGTTGGATCAGTAATTTCTATGGTAATTATCTAGAATAATTTGTTCGGCAATTGATAAGACTGTGAAATGACAATCCTAGAGAGAAATAAAGCAGTTCAAAACATATCAAAAGCATACCTAAGCGACCAGGTAAGTGGGAAAGATTAAAAGAAGCGCCAGCATCAGGATGAAAACCAATGACTGTTTCAGGGGTAGCAAAAATCTACAATATACAAGAGCTAGTTATTGCTTGTTCCATGAAGCTCGACAAGGGAACAAACAAGAATCCAGCTAAGACGACTAATTGGAAGGAGGAAATAGATGGTGAAAAGTGGAGAATAGCATATAGAGGAAAAGTACATACAGTTCTATCAGTAGCTACGCGAAATGTCCCAGGTATCGAAACTCCAGCTCCGCCTCCCATGGTTACACCGTTAAGAATTGCCACCTGCATACAGAGAAAACCATGGTGTCATTTGTGTGTTTTGGTGACATTATTATTGCCTACTCGTTGCAGAGTCAAGGATCAAAAGGTAAAGAACACTTACATGTGGCTTTAGATATGTGCCTAACACGTATATAAAATTATACAAAGTCCAGAAAAACTCCCTAATAGCATCCGGGCTACCTACATTGAGTTATGGATAAATAAGTGAAACAAATCTGTGAATAGGGAGAGTAAACAAGATACCGTACAGGCAAGACTATTGTGCCTAGCATAATAATTTCCCAACCCCAATACGTATACCAAGACTTAGTGGAGCACAAAAACTGGCAAGAAGTAGATTATTCATACTCCCTCCCATGCCATCTAATCTTCATGAATAGAAAAAAAAAACTCCCTTTTTCAATCCTACTAGTTTCCTAGAAATCAAAACATCAGAATGCGTACTGGAATTTCCTGTACCTCTCTTTCTTAAATGGTAGAGAGACACAATATCGCCACCAGCACAAAATGCCCTTCCACTCCCCTTCAACAGACAACAGTTCAATGAGAAAGAGTTTAGGAGCTTTTTCACCTATCAAACACAAGTAACGTCGATAGAAATAAAGAAGATGGAGAAGCAAAAATGTCTTGCACAAATCACCTTCATCATCACGAGCCCGATATTTGGATCTTCTTCCCAATTCTTGTAAAGCTTCTGCAACCTAACTCCCTATTGGACAAAAAAAGACAAATCAATGTCAAATAAACTTCTCTAGCCACGAAATCACATCTATCAGAACCAATAGTCAATGTACCATACAAAACCGGGAATATCACCAAATTCAAATTTGAGAGAGACAGACTAAAATATACAAATCTATTACGGAAATGAAAATCCAGCCTCAAATATACTAACAATGCTAGTAAAGATACAAGTATATATATATATATAAGCATATACAAACAGGCGCAAAAAGTAGAGAAGACCATGTGAGTGCTGAGCGCGTTAAGAGCAGGTGGTCGATTGAGAATCGCAGTGCGGCAACAACCGCTTCCTTCAACGAGAACCTAATCGAAAATTGAGCCAATCATCACTTTTTAAGTTCCCGCAAACAGATAAAGGAACGATGCAGCGAATAATGATGACGACACGAACCTGGTTATCAAGATCCTCCGTGGTGACCTTAACCGAGCAGAAGCTTCTCCGATAACCGAATCTCCATAGCTTATCTCGAACGATTCTCGCCAAAAATCCTTTCGCGTTATGCATTCTTCTTCTCCTTCTTCCTCTTCGTCTTCTTCCTTTTCCTCTTCTTATTTCTAAAAGCTTAACTCTACTCTTATTTGGCAAAATTAAAAATGGCGGATCATTATGTGTCGTGGCCTCGTTTATCGGCTCCGATCCCACAGGGCAAAACCCTCTCGACGAAATAGAGGTTCTGGATCGTCTTCTCGGATGACGTGTCCCTGCTCTTGTGGCTGATGGGCCGATCCGAATCTAAAATTAGTTCACCAGATCCTTTAATATGGGCCTTTTGTTTACCAAGTCGCCTACCATAAATAGCTTTACATTTTTTTTGTGTTACTCTCGTGACCTCATCTTGTCTGTTTGTAATTCCATTTTTATCAAATCAACCCCCATTTAAAATATTTAACATATTCGTCTGTTAGTGTAGACTGTGAAGCAATGACGATCTTTTTATTTTATTTTTTGAAAAAATGTTAAATTACATATGAGATTCTAAAGAAAATAATATGAAAGGAATATGATTACATCTAAAAACATAGAGCCTGGGCTTTTAGCTTCCTTCGAATATCTATTGTCTTCCTCGAGCATCGAACCAGGTGACCTTCCCTCCATGTAGCGAAGATCCCCAGCTAGTTGAATGACGATCTTTTTAACTCATAATAATAATAATAATAATAATATCATGAACTTTTGAAAAAAAGAAGCATATGTAGCAATACAACCAAAACAAAATCATGTGATGTATGCTTTCCAAATAAAGGAGAAGGAGAAGAAGAAGTATAATGATGCCATTGGACAAGTCACATGTTTATCAGTTGCTTAAGCGGTACTAGCTTAGTGGCAAAAGGAAATTAGAAAGTAGAAAGGACGTGGAACGAATTTTAGTGGCAGAGAAAGAAGGTGGCAACTTTTAGTTTTCTTATATCATATTTTATTATCTTTATTATTTACTTTTTACCATCTAATTTAAAAGATTGTATAAACACAACATCGGACTCTTAGATTTTTGTAGCAACAATATTTGTCCGAAGATACAAAAATATTGATCCTAAAGGCAGAAAGACTTGAAAGCGTAAAATGCATGTCAGGTTCCACGGATTATGATGCTAGTAGGATCGACGATCAATGAAATTATGAAAATCAGCACTGATGATGAAGTTGAGCTACAGTGGTCATGTCTTCATCACTTGCTATATGTGCACGCGCGATATGATTGAAATTTATATGTAGATTAATATCAATCTGTATCGTTAAACCTTAATTACATTATAATGATGTACTTATCATACAGACTACAGTAGTGAGTTATTGAAAAGATTAACAATATCGTTGGTGCTTCGTCCTTGTCTATCAATCAAGCTCGTACTCCCTTGTCACCATTAAAACATAACTCATCAAATGGCTCATTACTCTGTTTTCAATGTCAACTGTTTACGTATAGAAAACTCGCATACCTCGCAAAAATAACTGGAGTTATCATGCACACTCCCATATGCCATTTAATCTTGATGAGCAACTGGATCCTATCTAGCTTCTCAGAAATCAAAACATCACAATGTATACACGAAGTTCATGTAACCTCCCTTAAAATGGTAGCGAGACACAATATCGCCACCAGCACAAAATGCCCTTCCACTCTCCTTCCACACACAACAGTCCAACGAGAAAGAGTTTAGGAGCTTTTTTCATTTCTCGAACACAAAAGGAATGTACGACTAGTCCACTAGAGAAGAAGACCAGATACCAGTAGTAGTTTTGGCATTAGGTTAACTATACTAATTTTGGAATTAGTTTAATGAGAGTAGGAGACTAATTTTCTCAAAATAAATGTTACTATTGTTTGAAGGGAAAAAGTATTAGGATAATCATATATAGACAGTCCCATGGCATCTAATCTTCACGAAAATCTCGCGTTTTTTTTTTTTTTTTTTTTATCATATCTATCCTCCCATAAATCAATCAATATTATATTACCAATAGTACCCTTACTACTTTTAGTTGTTACTCTTGTAGTCTTTGTACCAATCCTTTATATTCGGATATTTCAACGTTTTGGTGTCGTGACGCAATGACCCCGCTCTTTTTCTCTTTTTCTTTTCACCTCTTTCTTTGGTAAAGCATCGACAACATTTTTTTGTTACTCATAATATTATCATGAACTTGGAAAATTCCAAAATTGTCATGTGATTATCTGATGTATGCCTCTAAAAAAAGAAAATATGATGCCATTCGACAAGTCACATGTTTATCACTCGTTTAAGCGGTACTAATTTAGTGGCAAAAGGAAAAAAAAAAAAAAAAGCAAGGACGTTGAACGAATTTAAGTGGCAGAGAAATAAGGTGGCAGCTTTCAGTTTTTGTTTTATCATATTTTACTATAATTTGCTCCAAAAGAGGAAACAAGACAAATGGCTAGAGAAGATGCATTAACTTCTCCTGAAGAATCTCAGCAATATATGTGGATCGATGTTCGTGACACTGCTTTGCTTGTGACTTAATCCATGTAATTGTGATAATCAGATTGGGAACTTTCTTTTAGACTGCACACGGTGAGTCCATGAACAGCTAAATTTGTTTGGATCTAAGTCGAGTTTATGCAAAGCAAAATCACCATGCGAATTTCTAATGGTCATATGTTCAGTAAGTTTAGATTTTATATTTTGATTTGCTACATTACCAATTAGAGATGTTGTCAAACAGAAATGGAGATAAAGAATATGTAATCACAGTTTTGAATTTATATCATTTCTTTAGTGGTTCGTTTTTTACTAAGACTATTGATATGACCACTCTTGACTCTACTAGTTTTGTACAACAACTATTTCTGTTGATATTTTAAATATTTGTGTAAGGATGATGAATATATCGATTTGATCACTTGAATATAACTAACAAAAAACCCACTTAATGTACAATAGCCACTCGGAAAATCTATAGCATATAAATCATGTGTACTAATGAATAATGGCTGAAGTCTCCTCGCAAAAATTACTGGAGTTATCATGCACACTCCCATATGCCATTTAATCTTGATGAGAAACTGGCTTTTTAATATGGATCCTATCTAGCTTCTCAGAAATCAAAACATCACAAATTCACAATGTATACACGAAGTTCATGTAACCTCTCTTAAAATGGTAGCGAGACACAATATCATGTACTTGTAGAAACAAATATTTTGTTTTGTTTTATATATAGTCAGCTGATTTACAATGACCAAACTATCAATCTTCGGAACATGTTTTCCATGTTAATCTTGTGTTTGTTGTATTATAAGTCGACAGATGATTTACAATAACCAAAACTATCATCCTTGCAACATGTTTTTCCATGTTTAAAGAAAACTTAATCTAATAGTAGACTATAGTGGCTCAAACGTAGGTTTAGCAGAATTCGCTCCATCTATAGTATTTAGATAACACTAATTGGTTTTAGAAAATTAAAAAAAATAAACAACGATCGTTATCAATGCAAGAAAACGATGTTAGAAACTTAGAATGATTGTTAACTAAGTAGCCTGCTTTTAAATAGTGTCATCAAATGCCGAGGGATAACAACAACAAAATGCATAGCTAATTGACCAATCATTTAGTCCAAAAAACTATAATTTTAATTAAAGCACTCGCTAATTGACCAACCATGACATAAGTTACATTGCTTCTCACACTCTTATATAGCAAAATCTACGGCACCCTAATTATATCTTACATATACATATGTGTCTTATTATCTCAGATCCTAATTCGCTCACGATAACCCTCTTAACTCGTGGTTATTTCGAAAACATTACTAACACATGACATCCTTGAGAAGCTTGTACCTGCGAGTGGCCGGTCTAGGAGAAGGTACGCCGGTTTTACCCTTGTCGGCTGCTGGAGGAATACTACTACTACTTGTAGTAATTTGGTTAATCTCTTGCTGTTTAATCTGGTGTGCTGAAGAATATTCGGACCGGTACGATCTCTTGGACGATCCACCGCTAACACCGTGCTTTGCTCCGGTTCGACTCCTTGCTTCGAACTGACACCAATCGCAGATCTTAATTGGATCAGCTTGCTCTTTGTAATAGCTACTACAGTACCTGTATCAAAAATTACCACATATATGATGAATTTATATGTATTATGTATTTATGGTAGTTGTTGAAGCATTACTTGTTTGTTTTGGGCCTTTTGTCACACATCCTACATATTCATATACATGATTACATGATATGTGCATGCTTGTGATTTGATGTATGATGATCATGTTTTAAAATCGATACAGTGAATGCACGTGGCACGCAATCTCAGCGTCCACTGCGAGTTAAATCTATTTCTATGTTGTTAATATGCATGATCATGATGATGATGATATTACACATATGGTATAGAATCTATAATAATACAAAATATATGTAGATACATACGAGTGTTGATAGCGGTTAAGGCACTTGCTGCAATGAAAGAGCTTTTCGAAGAAACCCACATCACCACACATGCAACATACTCTTCTTTCGAGATCCACCATTTTCGTTTTCCTTATTTAGCAGACGATGGAGAGAATATGAAGGTGAGGATGAAGAGAGAGAGAGAGCGAGAGAAAAAAAAAGGAGAATTGATTCTGAAAGGAAGGAATGGAAAAAGAGTATAAATGGGTTATTAATCTTATATTATATTCGCAAGTCGGTCCATAAGTAATAATAATTTTATAAAACCAAGGAAAATACATTTAATAAAAATATATAATAGCGTAATAAGGCGGGTAGAGACCGCAGGTTGCTTTGCAGTCGTTTTCAGTTGAGCTTGGGAGGTGGAGAAACAAAGAACCTTAAAATATAAAAATCGACTTATAGAAATGACTATTTTATCCTTGCAACTTTGTTTGCCATTTATAATCGGCTATAATTTTCGGGGCCTTTTCTTTGTCCTTTTCGGGATTTCACGAAGAGGGAAACTTGTGGGATATCATTTCTTTGACTTTTTCTCCGTATATTGAGAGAGCGTGACAGACACTCTCGTTTGGTTAGAAGCCTCACAAGACATAAATCACAATTTCCATTTTATTTTATTAATTAAAAATTAATAAACGTCGTAGTTGGTGAAAGAAAATCTGATTTCATCATGAAAGTGAATTGCATAACCAACATAAAAATGTATAGCTGAAAGTGTTGAAAAACATGAGATAGAAATCTAATGGTTTCATTGCCTTTGTTCCTAACGTGGATAATTTTGGCCTTACGTGTTTTGATTTTTGGCTTTGCTCTTTTGCTTTTGTTGTAAGTTTCTCATGCATTTATAAGTCTTTTTGTTTTTTCTCGGCTTTGTTCTTCTTGTTTGAGCGTTTGATTATGATGTGGTACTGTACCACAACTGATTTCTGTAATCGTCCACAGTAATTTTCTCATAAATTTTTAATATTGTGATCAGGCGAAAGACACACAAAAAAACACTAATCGTATCAGTCTCCAAGATTTGTAGTTTTTTGTTTATTTTCAAATAAGTTTGATCACCGTTTAATTTACACGGTATATACAGTAGTATGGTTGTGTAATTTCAACAAAAAATAATAATTAATTCGTTAGAAAACTATGAAAAAGAGCTGAAGATATCTTTTTTTTTTTGACATCGAGCTGAAGATATCTACTTTTATGAATCCATGTGTTTATACACATATGCACTCACAGGATAATAAATTTGAAGAGAGACTACGTACAGACTAGTCAACTCATTCAATTTCTCGTGCATAACATTAAATTCTTAAATAAACTTTTATCGAATCCTAAGTCTTTAGTTCGTTTACTTTCTATACCAAAGTCGTATAAAATAAATATGACTTATGAAATTTCTAAGCAACTATTTTTTTTGTTTTTTTTGTTAAAGGGCCTTTCTAAGCAACTATTTTACCCCAAAAAAAAAAAAAAATCTTAGCAAATACAAGATCGAAGTTGATATTCACATGACCGAGTAAACTAATCTTGTTGTTTGAGTTGCATCACACCATTTTTAACTCTCTATTTAACTAAATCTTGTAAAGCTATGCTTTTTTCTATAACAACTTAGTATTAAATTTCGTGTGCCATCTAAATTTATGCAATTGCGTAATTCGACGTTTGTAAATGTGATCGGTTCAAGTTTTTGGAAAATTTGTGTTTTATCAAACTGAGACACGATGGTTTAGTATAAGTTGATGAAATAGAACCCATGTTTTTGGAGAATTTATATTGCTCTTGGATGTGTATATATACATATTTGGAAATGTAATTTTGATGGTAAAACATATTTATAGAAGGAAAAAAAACAGCCAATTCGAGAATCATGCTATGATAATGCCAGTCAAACTCTGACAGCATTTTCCAATATGTTAGCCAATTCACGCAAGAAAACAAAGAACACATCTATATATTTTTTTTTAACGACAAGAACACATCTATATAACGTGTTCATACAAGAACAAAATATCATAAACCCTAGGCTTTAGCTCAGGTGAATTATTTAGCTTAAATAGTTTATATCTGAAGTCAAGATAATTTTGTGAAAAAGTTGAATGTAAACTTACAGATACGATCCTAATTAGAACATCATTTTTTAGTTTATGATTCAAATATAACTTGTGTACATTTTTCATTTAACATTTAATATCCCTAAAATTCTGAATTGATTATGGTCAAAGAATTGTTGAGAGTGTTTAACTCTTTTTTCTTTTGTCAATTATTTACTTTCTCTATTTTGTATACAATTAATATATAGATATATATTTAGTTTTATCTTATTTCGGAAACCCTGTGTATATAGATAGTAGGAGTTCATTTGGTTCAAAAACATGAACGATCGATGTACATTGTAGAGAACTGCTAAACAAATAGTTGACTTTAGATTATACGTGGTTACAAGTATGAATCTAAAATCCAACAGAAAAATCAGATATCAATCGTTAAAAAAAACAGTGAAAAGAATCAACTGATCAGTTACCTCTATCTTGAGTTTTTTTTTTTTTTTAATTAGAAAGATGCCTCTATCAATTTTGATAATTTTTTTTGCTATACAAATTTAAAAGATAAGTTGATAGAGAGATACACTGAATAAATTTGAGAAAGTAGGGAATATTCATAAATCCCTCTTAGAGGCTAAGTATGCGAGAGAGGACATATAGATAAATTTTAGATATGGACATGAGAAGGCTCTGTTCCGTGCATCCCTCTTATTACCCTTTAAGGGGACCATTTCTCTGAACACCTTTTTGTCCATTGATCTCAACCTTACACGTGTCCATCATATCCGCGTAACATCTGCGTATCGAAATATCGTAAAAGCTTAATGGCGTTGTGTTAACGGCAAGTTTCACTACAAGTCACAGCGCGTGTGGCCCACTCTCCCAACCCCCGTGGCACCAAATCGGCGACGAATGGGTCCGGCGAAAGAAGTATCGAGTCTAGTGATCGTTCACCCAATTCCTTGTGTGGGAACCACATTCACACGTCATCATCTCCATCCCATAAGGCATTGGCACCATCCATCAATTCGGTCTAACATATTCTAGAATATATTTTCATCAAAATCTACATTTACTTAACCTTAACCTAAAGGAAATGATTCGATTTATTATCTATCATAATATTTTTTGAGCAGTACCAGCATATTAGTGGATTGGCTGGCTCGACGGAATAAAGTTCATAAGTTGTATTAAAATCTAAACAACAAAATCTGTTTTATATTTTCTGTTTTGATTTCGCAAATGTTACCGTAAATGGGTTTTGAAGTTAAAGTAGTGCTGCAATTACAAAATCCCTGAATCTGTTTCAATACATTCAAAAATTCATAATTTGTAAATTGTGAAAGGGAAAAATATGTTTTTATGATCAATAAAAAAGTAAGTCAAATCCAGGCTAATCAGAGGATAGAGGAAGCCACTGTAACCTGAAATTGGATAATACCTTGAAATAAAAATTAGAATTCGGAAAAGTAATCATAGTACATGTTGCTAAAATCAAATACATTGCGTCATCCTACTTCATCAATAATGGAGCTAATTTTCATAAATGGGTTTTAGACCTAGACTTAACGGCCCAACTCAGTTCCTTAACTCAGATGGTGGCTTTTTGAAATTGTTGTGGCGACTGGCGACCGCCAACAATAAGGCAATTAGGCCACTTAATTAGTCTATAAAATTCAGGGTCACATTTGATATTTCTGTGCAAATCGTTTGTTTCAGTTGGTCAAGTACTCAATTTTTTTTCTTATTTTTGTTACTCTCTTTTTATCACTGGAATTGTTTTTTTTTAATTTAAATTAATCCTGAAACTTGTTAATCAAAGAAAAGAGAACTTATATACATGGAATAGTTGTTTGTTGATGAAAACTTACAAAAAGCAAGCAAACAAACTGGAATAGAGAAGAGCAGAAATTTAGTAAGGGAAAAGACTTATTAATAGTGGGGGACCCAACAAAAATATTTGACCGGAGGTAAAACAACTATAATGCTAGGAGTATTATTTATACCAAATTAAAAAATATTAACCAAAGTTACCAAACCATCCGAGTCCATTCACATATCTATATATAAATTAAGTTTTTTAACCGCCAAAGTCAGAAAAGAACTCCTAGTCTTTTTTTGTTTGCGTAACCTTTTATTTAACATGAAGTCATGAACCATATATTTTATAATTCGCCTCAAACCTTTCTAAATTTATGAAGGATACTGATCTGTTTACTCCATAAGACCGAATTTCAATAGTTACGTACCGGTTCATCCAGGACCGATCAAGATCAAATTTGATTGTCAAATTTTCAGCGAACAGCAACATTTATGATGGTTATCCGACGGCGTAAACGTTTTACGGCACATGTTTTTGTGCCAAGCATTTTTTGCAAGTGGTCGTTGTCGCAATCTATGGAAGACTAGGCCCCACGGCCCATAATTATATTCACAATACAAACATAAAAGCCCACTCTACATCATCTTCTCGGAGACCAATCTTCGAAACTGTTGACTATAAAGCTTGCGATCACTAAATCATCGACGTGTACTATAGTACTTTGGTGCAAGCCTTTGGCTGCAGATTCCACAAATTTAATGAAGATTTTTCTTTTTGATTGGATTACAATGGCTGAGTGTACGTCACTAGGAATCAATCTTTTATTTGTGTTTAGTACAATATATCTCTAAGGTTGTTAACACAATATCACAACTTAACTACTTAAGTGCAATTTATTAAGCACTGATACTGTTTTACGTTTATTAAATTAAGCAACTACGACTACTTATTCCATTATTGAGTAGCCCATTGATCAGATTCGGCTCTGATCACTAGCTATTGCCAGTATCTATTATTATTGTCTTTTAAAATCCTGCATAGACGTACAAAGTGCTTTCGAGAAAGCGAATTTTAATAACAAAACATGAATATGTTCCAGTGGCGGAGGGAGCATATTGGGAAGGGGTCAAATAACCCAGGTGAAATCCAAAATTTTTTTAATATATACTTGTATTTTTATTAAAAAAAAGATAAAATATGATAATTTATTTAAATAACCTCTGTAAAATTTATTTATAATACATTATAAACTAAAATTGACCTCCGTAATTTTTTTTTCTAGCTCCGCCACTAATATGTTCTATACACAAACTCATAACAATTTATTCGTAATATTAAACAAAGGGGGACAAGAAGGACAGAGGATGAGCATAAGGTCATCATATTTGCATGTTATTCGTCAGAAGGGTAACATTATCTCAATTAAATTAATATATGGTTATATATTTACTTAAGAGGTGATTAAAGTACGTACTCTAATGAGTTAACAACAAATGAAAGAACATTAGTTTATCATTATGGGCACATGAGGTTGCACGTGTTTGCTTTGGGATCACCGTCGTCACGTGATTCAAGAAGCTAAATGGAAAAATGGAAACAACAAGGAATTGTTGAAGTTGAGCCACGATGAATGATGATGATATTCGAATGTGTTATGGAAAGAATTCACCCTGGGCAAAAAAACCGAAATCGAAGAACCGAACCGGAACCGAACCGAAATCAACGGTTCGGATCGGATTTGGTTATTGCCTAAATACCCGATGGATCTTGTGTCTGATATCCATGGATCTCGGTTCGGTTCCGATTAATATCTGAAAACCGAAATACCGAACCGAATACCCGATAAGTTTTTGGGCTTTAACAATTTTTAATTGGTCCATAAAAATTTGTTTCCACTCGTCAATTTTATGAGTCCAAGCTGATTTTCTTTCAAATCCAGCCCATCTACACATGATGAAACACACTTAGACGAATTAGGGTAAAAAAAAAACGACACTCTCTAATCTCTCTTTAATCTCTTTCCTTTCTTCTCAAAACCCTAGCAAAATTAGAACCGAAAACCTGGAATCCCACACTCCCACAAGCGGTCGCGTATCTTCGTCGGCTGCTGTCTCTGTGACGTCAAAAAATCGATCGGAGGTAAGTTTCCTTCACTTACTGTTCATGGTGATAGTCGAAATAGGTTTCTGAGTAAAAATCGATTTGGGATTTCTGATTCTTAGGGTTTATTAGTTCGTCGACTTCATTTCCTCTTTCATTTTATCGTTCATACAACAAATTTATGTTGATTGATGCTAATTTCACATCGAAAATCGATTTGGGGTTTTTTAGGGTTTTGAAAAATTTGGGGTTTTCTAATTCTGCTTGTTTTATAATGAAATTGACTTCATTTCCTCTTTGTATATGTGTTAATTAAACAAATTTCTCTTGATTAATGTTCTATCCTAATCAAAATCGATTTTGGGTTTTTAGGGTTTTAAAAAATTTGGGGATTTCTGATTTCTCTTCTTTTATAGTGAAATTGAATTCATTTCATCTGTGTACATTCGTTTATAAAACAAATTGGTCTTTAAAATTTGAGTCTCATAACTTGAAATGGACTTAGGTTTTAATGGTTAAAATCGAATTAGGATATTATGTTTATGTTTATGTTTTACAATGTAAATGACTTGTGTGTGTTTATTGTGTGTGTATCGTGATGCAGATGGATTCTAATCAAGACCCACCACTCAATGATGAACAACCGGATATTGCTATGGAGGATGAGATACATGAAACTGATGACGAAGTTGAGACTCCTACTTCTGCTAACAAAGGGAAAGGGAAAGGGAAGCAGAAAGCACCTGGGTCTAAGAAGGGTAGAAAGAGAACACGGTCTGATGTCTGGAACCATTACACAAGAATGAAGACTGATTATCACAAGTGTAACTGTCATTACTGCGGGAAGGAGATGGCTTGTGCATCAACATCGGGGACCTCCAATCTAATTAAGCATCTCCTCTTCTGTAAGCAGCATCTGGCGTATGTAGCTGCAAAGAAACCAGATGATCAACAACAGCTAGATGCAGACAATGCAGCAGGTCTCCAAGTGTGTAAGGTTTCTGATGCGGCGATCAGAGAAGCTTCCAACGAGATGCTTGTGTTAGGTGAGCTGCCGTTGTCCTTCGTAGACAGTCTGGCCTGGAGGCATTTCTGCCATCGAGTTAAGCTGCCGAAGCCTCACTCTCGGAGGACTGCAACTCGAGACATAGTGGAGATATACGTGAGGAAGAAAGCTTTGTTGAAGAAGTGGCTTTGCGCCACCAATCAGAGGGTTTCCTTGACGACTGATGTATGGACTGCTCCCACCACAATGGCCAGCTACATGGTGATCACTGCTCACTTCATCGACTCTAATTGGCAGTTAAAGAATCTCATCATCGGGTTCAAGCATATATGCGATCACAAAGGAGCAACCATAGCTGCTGTACTGCTGGAGTGTTTAGCTGAGTGGGACATCCGGAAGATCTTCTCGATCACAGTAGACAATGCAACAGCAAACTCAAATGCAATGAGTTTGTTTAAGGACGAATTCATGTTTGTTGCTGACGACTCACTTGTGCTCAACGGTGACTACTTACATGTGAGGTGTGCTACTCACATACTGAATCTGGTGGTGAAGGATGGACTGCACGAGGTGGATAATAATATCGCTGCAATTCAGAATGGTGTTCAGTTTGTAAGGTCTTCTACACCACGCCTGATGTCCTTCGAGCTGCGAGTTGACACGGGAAAGATGACTATAGAGAGTCTCTCTATTGATTGCAAAACGCGATGGAATTCAACATATCTGATGTTGAATAGAGCCATGGACTTCAAGGTGGCGTTTGAGAAGATGCAAGCTGAGGACAAGTTGTATAACGATTACTTCAAGGAAAGAGTAGATGGGACAAAGAGGATTGGTCCGCCTCTGGAAGCAGATTGGGCTGCTGTGGACAGGTTACTGAACTTCCTCGTCATTTTTTACAATTCCACTCTAGCTCTCTCTGGTACTAACTCACCTCGTGCTCACAAATGCTACAATGAGATGGTAACCATTGAGAGGAACCTGATACTGCTGAGTATGGATTCCGATGCAAATCTGAAGTCCAAAGCAGCTGCTATGATTGCCAAACTAGGTAAGTACTGAGATCCTTTTGGGTTTGATACTGAAATGAATCGGATGCTGATAGTAGCTAGTGTGTTTGATCCGAGGAACAAGATGAAATTTGCTAAGCTCTGTTTTGATAAGCTTTACGGGCCAGATAGTGCAATAGTTATTCAGATGACCGAGTCAACCCTCGAAATCCTACAGAAGTTGTTTGATGAGTACAATGACAGATATGGTGGTTCAGGTATCCAACCTCAAAGTGGTGCATCTAGTTCTGCTACGGCTTCTTCCTCACAGGTTAGTGGTTCGTCAAATGGTGCATCTAGTTCTGGTACAGCTCAGAACTTAGGTAGAAATAGAAACCGTAGGTTGAACATGGCTGGTCGTACTAGGTATGAGAGAATGGATTTAGTTTACAAAGAGTTGGTTCAGGAAACAGGGTTTCAGGAAGTAACCACCGAGCTTGAGTTATACTTGTCAGAAAATGTGGAAAGTCCACATATATTTGAAGGAACTGAGTATGATGTTCTCTCGTGGTGGAGAGTTAACTCCCACAAGTTTCCAATTCTGTCTCGCGTGGCAAAGGATGTACTTGCTATGCAAGTGTCGTCGATTGCTTCTGAATCTGCATTCAGTACAAGTGGCCGCATCTTGGATCCAAGCAGGAGTTGTTTGACACATTACACCATCGAAGTCCTCATGTGCACTGAGCAGTGGCTGAAGTCTGAGATACGTATGGATAGAAGAGGAACTATCACCATTGAGCAGCTACTTGATGAGATTGAAGACCAGGATGATCTTCAAAGAGGTAAGTCATTCTATCTGTTTACAAGTTTTTCTTAAAACTCTAACATTGCCCTTATGATTAATTCTTTTATACTCTACAGAGTTTGGGGATATGAATCTCCAGAAATAAAAAGTGAATGAAATCTATGTTTCATGACCGTAACTGAGGTAAGGACTAAGGACTATATGTTTTACTCTCTTGTTTTTACTTTCACTTATGTTTTACTCACTCACTTATGTTCTCTTACGTTGCAGTTTCATGCCTTAGTCTCGGTCCTATCGGAAGACAGAAGTTAGAAGATCATGAGGTCTCAAGTCATTGATGCTTCTACATCATCTTCTACTTTTGTTTGGCATCTATGTTTTATGTCTTAGACTCGAACTTGTTCTATGTTTTAGATGCTTCTGCATCATCTTCTACTTTCGTTGGGCATCTTTTGGATTATAACTTATGTTTTCTGAACTTTTGGCAATTTAGACTTGTGGATTTGATGATTTCTAGTTCATGGTTTTTATTACATTTCGGTTATTTCGGATACATTTCAAATATTTTTGTCATTTCGGGTCTAATTTTCGAATTTCGGTTCTCGGATATCCGAAATGTATGAGAACCGAAATTATTCGGGTATTTTGCGGTTCTGATATTCCAATACCCGAACCGAACCGAAACCAAAAGTACCGAACCGGAACCGATCCAAAATCCCTTCGGTACCATTATGGATCTCAATTGTCCTTACTCGAAATATCCGGAACCGATCGGATCCTATCCGGAACCGAACCGGATACCCGAAAGCCCAGGGTGAGAAAGAATAATCAGAGATAATTATTTCACAGAAAGAGAATAAAAGAAAGAAGATGGAACCAATACGAAAGCGCCTGACTGAAAAAGAGAGGCTTTGTGGAGGAGATGACTGCACCGTACGTCGATGTACTCTGTGTGTAGTTTTCTCAAAGATGAGTGAGACTTACAAGGCTGCACCATCACAGGCTGGCCCCACCAAGCACCGTCACATTCCTCGCTAAAATCACATAATTCAATTATTCTATATATATATTTTTTAATTCATATTGTGTGTTACTTAAGTTTACGGATTTTTTTCTGCTTTTAAATAAATTTTCGATGATAAGTAAATAAAATTTAATCTAAAATAGACCAATTTGGTATTGTATCGTTTTTTTTCTTTAGTTGGTTTTTTAGTAAATCCTATCTCTCCAACTAAAGGTCGAACACAAGTTATTTGTTTCGCAAGAAACACTATACAAAGTTTACTATGTAACTTTTGCCTACTTGCGATTTATAACTTTTTTAAAAAGTTTTACAACGAAAACACAAAAATTATATAGAGCTCTATGAAAGGAACCTTCTGAGTGAGACAGAAGAGGCCAGCTGGAAAAACTGTTGTCGGTAGTTTAAAAAAAAAAATTGAAAAAACATAGAATACAAACAACAATTTTATCTCCGTTGGCCCTTCCTCTCGTTTCGTGCCATATGTTTTAGAAATGAACGTCCAGTAAAGTCGAACTGTTTACTCTTTAGTATATGGCAAACGCATTATTATCATACTACTCCATAAGCGATTGCAATATTTGAGTAATTTTTTTAACTGCTTATCATCCGCCAGCTTTTTTTGTTACCTTCTTCATGGCTTCGTCTTCTTTTATGTACTTTAAGATAAAAAAATCTTCTTCTATCTTACGGGCATGTGAAGGTGCGAACGGTCCCCACATGGGGCCACGTGGCTTTAGTGACTTATCTTTATTTTTCACTGGTAGCTATTTTGGTGTAGTAATAAAATATTTTTCTAGCTTCAGAATTTCTATATGTATATTATGGATAGGCCAATAATTAAAATTGTCGGCATCTATCATAAAATAAATCACTAATTTATCTGCCGAATAACTCCTTTTCTTTCTTTTTTACACGAACAACTCCTGTAACACAAAGAATTATTATTTTTGGTTAATAGTAGCCATCCAGTCTGATTGGATTCGATATCATAAAAACTTATCATGAATATATATCTATTACTAAAAGAAATCTTTTGTAAGGCTCTTGTTAATAATATAAACTAGTTTTCATTCCTTTTTTTTAAGATTTTTAAATTATAATTATATAGCAAGCATGTAGTTACTCGAAACAAGCGAATTGAAATGAACAAAGGAAGCAAAACAACAATTAAACTGTATTTACAAATACATAACTACCATTAAATTTTAGATAATTGATTCTACCCTTTTGAATGACATAATTTCGTTGTTCTTTTCTATTAAGATTTGATCAATGGAACGAACATTTGTGAAATACATTTTAGATCATTTACAGTAAGCTTATCCTGCCCTGCGGACGTTCATCAATTTACATACAATTTGTCTTTTGTGAAGCGCCTTAGAATTTTTATTGCATATATGTATTTACTGATCCGACCACATTAGAAGAAACAAAAAACAGTCAATGTTCAAGGCCTTGCAAATCTCATATACTCTACATATATCTGGCTTTCGAATTTCGATGCACAAACTTTTTTAAGAAAATCAACAAAAATGCATTTCACCATCCGGTTAACCTGTCTTACCAAGGACCGTAACCATATTATCGGTGTACAAGTACTTAATCAAGAATCAAAATCTTGGAATGTATAGTATATATGTGCTATGATGCTATCTTGGTTTTATATGTATATATATGATGCCTAAAATGCTAAGATCACGAGTTTAAAGATAAAAGTTATAATATCTTGTCGATAAGATTGAAGTTTGGACCATGTCGCTGGAATTCCAAATCCTTGAAGGTTTGACCTGCCTCATTAGAGTCAGATTCGAAGATATGTTGCTGTTGGAATATATATATATATATATATATATATAATATTTTTTTTTGCATATACACGTAATTAATGTGTATCCTAAAACCTTACTCAAGTTTTCTTTTCTTAGAATAGAACCAACATATATATCAAGCAGAAAAAAGGGTATATCTACGAAGTGTTATGATGATTGGCGGTGCTGCATAAAAATTGAGCACAAGATAGAGAACTAAGAAGCATATGTATGATTTATTTTTAGTCGAATATGATAACAATGTTCACAACAATTGGTTCCCCGTTTTTATATCATGCATGTGTCATGTACATACTAGTAATTATATAATTGGAAAAAATAAAGAAATATATACATGTAGAAGCAAGGAGCAATGCATGACAGAGACATACGAAGATAAATTATATACACAAAAAGAGGGCCATAGGAATTTATAGAACCAAAGTGCAATGCACTTCGGATCGTCGGTCGACTCATCTCCTTGATTGTCTCCATCCATTTTCCCATTTCCCATTTCCCACTATTATTATTTCATATTTTTCAAAAATAATGGAAAAATTCACCACTAGTAGATAAAGAAATGTTGTCAACGCAGTTTCATAGTCAACTTATGAAAAAAACGCACTACAGTAGTTAGATGAAGCAATTGATTTAAAACATTTGTGTATGCTCTACTCTACAAGAATCGAAATCTCACTTCAATCTCGTTATTGTCTGTAAGTTTGATGACAATTGCAAAATATGTTTGTAAGCACAATCTCTTTCTTTTTTTGGTAGTTTTTTATAGAACGGACCAGAACATACAACGAATCCGTTTATATAGTTTCCTTTCATTGCTTTCTTAAATTCATAAGCTAAATCTATAAATCTACAAGTGTATAGTCTCACTGTGACAGAGAGTGTAAATAAATCATACTTGTTTATATACTCCATGAAAACAAATCGATCGCTTTTTGGATATAGATTGCTCTCAATCAACCAAAGCGGGGTTCTCTATAATATTTATAAAATTATATCTCGGTTGTATATCGTATAAATACACACTGATTTTGTTTGGCTAATTAGTCCTATCAAGTAATAATATTTTGTAAATTAGCACATGCATGTTCAAAGAAAATGTAGACAAATTAAATAAACGTAAAAGGGAGTGCTCAGGTCAGCCGCGGTGCATAGTAACTCTATGCACGTTCTCGTCTCCGTCTTTTTCTTCACTGCTACTGCTACACAGTAAGTACCCACTCTCTCTCTCTATATTAAAGCCCTGAACCAGTGACCACATACTGAGTGAGCGAGTCCGAGTCTGAGTCAAAGCCCGAGTCCAACTTTGTGTGTGAGAGGAGAGACCCGTAATAACTAATAATGGACGTCTACGGCTTATCTTCACCGGACTTGCTTCGTATCGACGACCTTCTCGACTTCTCCAACGACGAAATCTTCTCCTCTTCCTCCACCGTCACTTCCTCCGCCGCTTCCTCCGCCGCATCTTCGGAAAACCCTTTTAATTTCCCCTCATCCGCTTCCAATTCCTTCCACACTTCTCCTCCTCCTCTCCTCACCGATTTCACTCACGATTTCTGCGTTCCCGTATGTTTACAATACAATTCGATTTCGCTTGATTTTGATTGTGAATTTCTGGTCCGGCTTTTGATTTTGGGTAATTTTGTATTCTTTTTGCAGAGTGATGACGCAGCTCATCTCGAATGGCTATCGCGATTCGTCGACGACTCGTTCTCCGACTACCCAGCGAATCCTTTGACCATGACCGTCAGGCCCGAGATGTCGTTCACCGGAAAACCCAGAAGCCGACGATCAAGAGCCCCAGCACCTCCCGTGGCCGGAACCTGGGCACCGATGCCGGAATCCGAGCTTTGTTACTCCGTCGCCAAAACTAAACCCAATAAGAAATTCGAAGCCGAACCCATGGCGGCGGATGGAGGCGGAGCCAGACGCTGCACGCACTGCGCGTCGGAGAAAACGCCTCAGTGGAGGACGGGGCCGCTCGGGCCTAAAACGCTTTGCAACGCTTGTGGAGTTCGTTTCAAATCAGGGAGGCTCGTGCCGGAGTACAGACCGGCGTCGAGTCCGACCTTCGTGCTGACTCAGCATTCGAACTCTCACCGGAAAGTTATGGAACTCAGGCGACAGAAGGAACAATTAGAATCGGCCGTCCAATTTCCGCCGTTTCAGCCGCAATAATAATTCGCGTTTGCGTCTTCGTCGTTGTGGTTTGGGGTTTTCTTTCGAGGGTTTTTGAGTCACGAGTTTGGTGACGTGTCGTAATCATAACGGCGATGATCACGTGACCGACGGAGAGCTAAGGATTAAATATCAGTATTAGTTTTAAATCGAACTCTGCTGCTAATCACGTCATTAATTTGTTAGAATTCATTTGAAATATTTTTATTTTTTGGTTTTTCCCGTTACTCGTTATATCATTAGCTGCATTTAATTTTCTCTCCCTTTCAGTTATAAAAGCCTCTCAACTACCACTATTGACTCTGCTTTTTGTGACTTGCGATATAATCATATATATTCCTATATTCTGGTATATCTTCATGCATACATCACGAGGCGATTCGGTTTAATAATTAGTTAAAGAAACGAAATTCACCTTAGTCGTATTAAATTCACTTTGCTCCTATTTATGTTTAGGTTATCAAACCAGGCTTTATTGTCTGTATTTTCAGTTTATTTCCTTATATTATACATCGGGTTAGGTTTTGGTTCAAATGGATAACATCTACTGGCTTATCTACTGGCTTAAATCCGCAAAAACATATCTTCGAATTAAAAAATATCTAAACCAAAAACACTACCATACAATAACAATCTAATTTGGTTAATATTTTTCTTAAACCACAAAACGGCTAAACAATAAACCAAGAAACAGTAATATAAAAGGACAAAATTTCCAATGTTTGAGATGGATGAATTAAAAGTAACTAGATAAAAATACCACAGTTTTGAGCCACATACCACCACGACACACTCACAGTACAAGGCTGCAAATCTTATAGCAAATGCTATCTTATAGCAAATGCTGATAGAATGAGTCGAATTTCAAAGTGTGGTCCGTAATGATGCGGCGTTAAAATGGTGATCTCATCGATAATTAAAATTGTGGTCTTTTGTGCATTTTTAAATCATAAAGCATATCTAAAAGGAAAATTTAAAATAGAAATTCCGGGAAAAATCAAAATACTATTTGAAAAATATTATTTTTTGCATTTTTCTCTAAAACGTTTTATATATATATAGGCCATTAAGGAGATATAATTATATGACAAAACTAATTGTTTTTAATTAAAAATATTGTTATAAAAACCTCTCAACTTTACAACGATTAGGTTTTGGTTCAACTGGATACCAATCTGCAAGCAAATTTACAATGACTGCTCATCTGCTAGCTTAAATCCGCAAAACATATCTTCAAATTAAAAAATATCTAAACCAAAATCACTAACATACCAAAACAATCTAATTTGGTTAACATTCCTCTTAAGCCGCAAAACTACTAAACAAAAAGCAAGAAACAAGAAGAGAAAATAGTATAAAGAGGAAAAAACTTCCAATGTATGGGATGGATGGACACTATTCAAGAGAAACAACAAAAAGTCAAAACATGAATGATAAAAATCTAAACAAGTAAAAGAAAGGTATGACATTTCTTGTTTGTTCCTCTTCATTTGCTCTTGACAAAGTAGAGCTTGCCCATGACATGAAGAACAGCAACGAAAGCAATGAAACCAATGCTCATAATAAGAACAACATTCGGAGAAATCTTGAGACCAGGTGCGTCGTCTGTGTAGAACTGAAGCATTGATCCGGCTGCTCCTCCGGATGCTCCACCACCGGTGCTGCTGCTGCTGCCGCCCTTCCTCCTCCGCATGCTTGCAGTTGCAGCTGCACTTCCTCTCTGCGGAGCTCCACCACCAACCATTTTTTGCTTCACTTCTTGTTTTTAACTACGTAAAGAATACAGATATATAAAAAAATGGAACTTTTAGAAAGAATGAAGTAGAAATATACTCATTGCTAAATCTAATTAAGTTCTACATGTCATATAAACTTCTTCCAAAGCTGAGATTATTGTGTAATCCGCATCCCCAACCGAATATATCTAATTTAACATGATTGCTCTCCTAGTAACACAAACCTAGAAAGATTTGAAATTCTGTGTCAGTCAATTTAGCTAAACCCAGATTAATATTCAGATTCAAGTATCATTCTTGATAATTTGATCCATACCCATTCAGAAATAAAGGTTCATCACAACCGGAAAAAAAACAAAAACTAGAAAGCATCTGGATATAGCAAAATGTTTACAGAATTGTGGCGAATCAATACACCAATGATATATATCATCCCTGAATACGAGATTTCTCAGATGCCTAAACAGCATTGGGCATGCAGATCAAGAAATCGTCTCATAATCGGAAATTCCCACTCTTAGCTAGCGAAATGAACAACTAAATTAGGCAAACACACGCGATCAGGTTACAAACCCATAGATCTATAGATTCCTCGAGCTCAAACATTACGAGATCAATGGATCATAATCGTCGTGGAGATTGATCCACAAAAACGGATTAGAGATCGTATAACCATTCGAATAAAAAGAGTTTACCTGATTCGGCTTACAAATTTCTGATCGCGTCTAGATCGAATTTGTTTCAGGCTTGGGCGTAAACGACCGCAATTCGCACTTTTGCAGAATCTTACTCTTCGTTTTATGAATGGGCTTAGTCTGTTCTAAGGCCACGCAGCTCAGTCACGTTAATAGCCAATTGTATAGCGACACGTCTTCCTTTTAATGCAAGACATCCAATTTGAAATTAACACGTGGATGATAATTCATAAGAAAAAAAAAAACAGGATAAGAAATTACAGTAGTTGGAGAAAAATGAACTTGTATAACCCACTTCTTTGTTGCTAACAAACAACTTGTTATGAAAATCCGCTTAAGCTTGAGCCCAAGCCCAAGTATATATTTTCCATTGCTTGAGCTAGGCCTGTTGACTACTGCCTAACTTCTTTCGAAGGATCTATACAGTATAACACTGATAGTTTTTGAAAATTTGAAAAACAGAAGGCCAAAAATTACAAGTTTACTTACAACCACTTCAATGGGTTTTATAAACAACGTACACATTGATTTGGCCAGTTTGGGAAAGCTGAAAAAAAGGTTGCGATGTAAAAATGTGTTATATTGACGGTTCCTAGTTTCTACGACCAATAGCTTCTATATTTACCAAAGCAAAAAATAATATAATAGTTAATATATAAATAATCCTATATAGACCAAGAATTTAACAAGAGACATCTAGATATTCAATATCATGTTTACGTTTTCTAAACATATATACTTACAAATTTGAGAAAAGTAAAAATGCATACGATTATGAGTAAAATGTGCACCGTTATGGCGATAGCCGATAAGATATATATTCATTATTTAAGACTTTAATGGTAGGTCATACATGTACATATATGTATGAAGTCGTAATTAAAGGCAAAAATATCCGCCGACGGCGACATGGCTCCACACCGAAAAACTTTATTATCTACTAATTATTAAAAGATACTAGTTTTGTATCTTAATTTAGCATTCACACGGGTTTCATAAAAGTAAATAAGTAACCACTAACTGAGGAATCAGGAAACCAAGAAAAGAGTACAAATCCCTATGTGTGGATTAATTAAACTAAGTTTGAGTTTTAAAAGTCATTAACTGAGGAAACCAAGAAAAGAGGTGAATCATGAATGAAGTTTCGCGAGACGTACGTTCAAGTAACTACCGTAGTACGTAGCATTTTAAAAGCATATTATTATAGTACTGAGATTGAGTTATGTAAATAAGCGTGTACGGTCACAATGCTCGACAAAATGACATAAAATAAGTGCTGTTTGATAACTGATTATCCATTATTTTACCCAAAAAAAAAACTGATTATCCATTAGTTATTATTCTTTTTTTTTGTTCAAACATCCATTAGTTATTATTCAAATCTGAATTTACAGGGGGGGATTTCTTCGATTTCAAACAACACTTACATAGCTCGTAAACTCACCATCGATACTACTGTGTAAGCATATATAGCATAAACAACATAAACACAATTATATTGATCATTCTGCATTTTAGTTTAGCGAATTTGCAAGATTCTTTTACGATTCTTGTTTAATATGATTACATCATTATATATAGCCAGTGACGGAACTAGGAACAAAATCTACCGGGATCCACAATAAGTTGTAATACATATTATCTCATAATTATCAAAAATGACAAGGGTCAAACCATTAAAAACCTAATCAAATTGATCAAATTACCACTACAAATATATGCTTACATAACAGAATTTTAGAAATGACAGAGGTCAGCTAACCCCCTGGTTCTTCATTGGCTCCGCCACTGTATATAGCTACTGTTATCAATTGAAATCTATGTTTATATTTCACTGTAGTGACACAATATTATCATCATTAAAGATTTAGAGTCCAACGACAAAGGTAGAATCCAACGACAGATAGGAATCAATGGCTTAAATATTTAAGTTTAAATGTTAATATATGTATATGCATATGTATACGTCGCACAAAACAGTACACTCCAACAAACTCAGTATGTATAGTTTGTTGAAAAGTAGAAATAACATAAATTCTTGTCATTCTAATAAATATAGTGTAGGGATAGATGTCAATATTTAATAGTATAAGAAACTAAAAAACAAAAATATTTAATATAAGAAGACAATGACGCATAAGTAGTTTTTTTGGACAGTGCAATTGCTCTTTTTTGTAATTGTAAATTTTGCTTTTGCTGACGCTTGTCTTGTTTGTTTTGCATTCAGTAATTTCATTAATGCCACAAATCTATTTTTATTTCAATTGATTTTACTGATATCAAGCGATTGATTTACATTTGATGAAACACAGAAGAAATCCAGTATGCATTCCTACTACAATTCATTTTATAATTAAGTTATATTTATGGATAGGTTAGTTCGTACGGTAGTGGTAGACTGGTAGCTACTTTTTCGACTTTAGACCATTTATTTCTTATAGTTTAATAATATGTTCCATATAGAAGTAGAATATAAGAAAAAGTAGAATATTGTTTCCTACCGAATTTAGTTATCCTCACAAAAATAAAATAAAAAATGAAAAAGAATGACGTATATAGTTTCTACATCACTACATAAACTAGGTATTTCCATAAAGACGACAGTACTTGATATATCGATAATTTGATATGTCTCAAGGCAATATATGCGTTGCACATGCAGTGTATTCTTGATAGTTACAAGTATATTATACCTATCTAGACGGTGGGATTTTATAGAATTATGACCACTATATTGTGAGACCGGGCATTGTTGGCTTTGTGTCTTCTTTGAGTTTTTTTTTTTTTTTGGAAACAAGTGTTTTCTTTGTTTACTATAATTCATTCACATTTATATACCATGTTTAGCAAATAAAAAAAATTCAAACTGTAATTTTTGTAATCTAATATTGACTTGGTATGTGACCCATGACTTTAAAGTTTTCATACGATAAGTATTCAATCCAAATTGAGAAACTAAATTAACACCAATTATATGGAAGAAAATGATGTACGAATTAACTGAAATGGATCTGATTCTATTAAAAGTTTCTGTTTATTGTAATCGGACATCGAACTAATCCTAAATTGAGATGAACATAGCTAATCATATCAGAAGAATGAAAACTTGTCCAAAAGGAAAGAAAACCTTGCCAATTGGATCAACTGTATACTCGATTGGACTTTAATATAAGTGACTCTTGATATGATACGTTATAATAAGGTTTTAAATCTATTTTGACTAGGAACAAACTATGCATATTTTTCATTAAAAGTTTTTCAACAACAACTTTTTAGATTAAAAATATAAGTGTAAAGTGGTGTAAAGTGACTTACGACATTTATATTAAAACGGGAAAAGGTGTATTATTCGAAAAACTACAAAACCAACTAAAATTCTAAAATCTTTACATTTTACCAAAAAAAAAAAAAAACTAAAATTCTAAATCCAAATAGAACGTAGATCTCTATAGAGCAACCGCACGTGTGGGTCGCCTTCTGGTATTTCAAACATTGCGACCAGGGTTGACGAGACTCACACGTGTCATCAGGTGAGGCTCGTGAAAATTAGTAGCTAAAACCTCTGGATGCCCGAGAGCCTTTCAGCTTAGCTGACTGCGATTTGCCTTCACCAAACTGTCGGCGGAGACTCTTTGTTTAATGTGATTTTTGGGATTTGATTACTTTGAAACTTTTAAGCATCTTTAAATAATGATTTAAATTTAAATACATCACTAAAAGAAAATGCTTAGCTGTTATATCTGTACGTTGGCTTACAAAAGGGAGACACACAAATCTTCTTAATTATTTAATTTTTCTTACTTGTAGTTTGGAAAAAAATATATTTTTTTGCTTGTTTTAGTAGTTTCTTTCCACCTTCCAGATGACTCCAAAAATCGATGTCGTTTCTCTTTCCCATAAAATTCCATATGAAAAATTCTTCCAGATGTACATATTTATATATATTTTCGGTCTAGTTTATTTACGTGTTTCAGACATTGTACTTGTCTGTTTGTGTTTTTTAAAATATTGCATCTATTTCAGACAAAGTAAAAACTGTTTAATTCATCCATCTGTTTAAATATTTGATCTCCCATATAACATAAATTCAACCGATGAATAATTGACGATCAATAACTAAATAACCGATGAAAATTTTTTCTTAAAAAGCAATATGATTGATAAATATTAATTTTACTAAATATATACGAAAAGGGGCATATAATCTTTTATGATTGTATTGCTTTGAAAACTTAGTATCTGAATTTCGACCCAAAAAAAAACTTAGTATCTGAATCATTACATTCATTTAGTTGTCTAGAATTATTGATAAATCTTATAAAAAATGTGACGAATCAAAATATTATAATCTAGATGCACAAAATTAAATCCAAATTTTACAACATCATTTTCTCAAAACTTATTAACTTGTTCAACGTGGATTACCGAGATCCGAAACAGAAATGTTTAAACATAAGCACCAATTTATCGATAGTTTTGACCTACCGTACATTTACGAGTGTAACTAAACTGGTTTTATAATAAAACATTTATTAATATTATACGATTTAACACACACGAAGGTTAGTAACTGACATCTAAATAAAGTAATAATTATACGAAAAGAAGAGGAAGGTACCTAATCAAAATGCTTTATACTATATAAACCTCAACTAAACCTCTCTCTTTCACTTCATCTTCGACTACATCACCACAAATCATCTCTTCCCCGTCGATCAAACTTTTGAAATTTCCAGTCGAAACAAAAACTGAAAACTAATGGCGGTTTCGAATTCTCTAACTGTCTCTCCGAGAAAACTCCGGTCTGATCTCTACTCTTATTCCAACCAAGACAATCCCGAGATACCTCTTGTTATCTCTGTTTTATCGTCTCTGATCGATCGAACTCTAACTCGGAACCAGAGGATTAGCCGGAGAGCCTCGCCATCTTCGTCTTCCTCCGCCGCCGGTTGCAAAACCCAGATCTTCGATTGCCGTGAAATCCCCGATATGACCATCCAATCGTACCTAGAGAGGATTTTCCGGTACACTAAAGCCGGTCCCTCGGTCTACGTGGTGGCTTATGTCTACATTGACCGGTTCTGTCAAACCAATCCCGGTTTTAGAATCAGTCTCACCAATGTACATCGACTCCTCATCACCACCATCATGATCGCTTCTAAATACGTCGAAGATTTGTAAGTCGAAAGAACAGCTTCAATTTTTTCCCATATATTTCTTTTTCCCTAAGAAAATCAAATATTTTGTGTAAGTTGTGATTTTTGTTCCAAGAAAGCCTGTCTTACTTTAAAAATACATTAAACGAAACTCACACTTTGCTTGATTAGATTAATTTTTCTAAATTGGTTTCCTTCTCTGTTTCTCAGGAATTACAGAAATTCATATTTCGCCAAAGTAGGTGGATTAGAGACAGAGGATTTGAACAGATTAGAGTTAAAGTTTCTGTTCTTGATGGGATTCAAGCTACATGTTAATGTGAGTGTGTTCGAGAGTTATTGTTGTCATCTTGAAAGAGAGGTTAGCTTTGGAGGAGGTTATCAGATTGAGAAGGCATTACGTTGCGCCGAAGAAATCAAATCTAGACAAATGATCGTTCAAGATCCTAAACATCATCATCATCATCAGTTTGCTCGAATCTTGTTGTAGACTAAGAAACTCTGTTTTATGTAGTCCTAGTTTTGTCGTTTTGTGCTTGGGGCTTGACTTTCTGACAAATTTGTTGGTTAGAGTTCTTTTATTTTTATATTTTTTTCCTATGGTGATTGATGTAAATGTAAATATAGATGCGTAGAGATGAGCAGTGATGTAAGTAAGTATGAGCATTGCAGATTTATTTTCTATTGAAATTGAGAACATAGTTTCATGCAAATCTATGACCTTGCATTTATCTAACCGAGAGACCAGTTTTTTCCTTTCAATAATTTGGAATGGAAATAAATTAAAATCGAAAATTAGCAAAAAAAAAAGAGAGTAAAACAAGTATTATTTTACTTAGAAGTAACTGCAACATGTATAAACTCATTGTACCTAAAAGAGACAACCACGTAATATTTACCTTTTTTTTTAAATTTGTACCCAACTAATTAAAAAATATCCAAGTTGCTCATTTTGTCCATAAACAATAGTTAGATGAATGCCAGAGATAGGATTCCCGTGCTGATTTGGTGTTTAATAATTGATTAAACGGTGGGTTACAAAGTTACATTATTATCAATGGTTTTAAGTTCTCTTGTTTTTAATAATGATATATTGTTTAACTTTATATGTCCATTATGTATGTGCACCAACTTTTCTTATTATAAGATACTATAGTTTCAGATTAATTGAATCTTTCTCATCTTTTGGATATAGGAAACAATGATCGTGTTTAGTTTCCCACATAGTCTTGGACTTTAAGACCGTTTAAAGTGGTAAAAGAAATTCATTGTCAACGTTTTTTCTTGTAGAAACTCACAAGTTATCATCGTGTCTTTCATTCTTATGCGAAAAATAGTACGTAGAAGACCTTTACATTTAAGTTAACTAACAGTAATGTTGCCATTTGTATAGGAATACAGAGTAATGTTTTTAAATTAATAGTGTAGTGTGGTTCACGAGCATTTACCTAACCAAAGGCATCGATCAATCATTTGGCTTAATCCTTTGCACCAAATATTTTAAAGAATAAGATTAGGATTGATATGTTGATATGATGTCTAATAATTGCCTCACCATAAGTATACACACTAAAATTGTATACCTTGACTTTGTTATATTTGATATTTTAATCATATGCTTAACCTCTACCTATGTAATGACTTTTTAAAAGTTCATTAAGGAACAATCTGGCTCGAAATTCCACCAATTATCGGACGTTAATTGTATAATCGTCAGATATGTGGGTTTTCTCATTTTGTTGAAATGGAGATAAATTACTATTAGTCAATTTTTCATAGCAAATTAACTCAGACGGAAATTAGCTCATTTGGTGAATTTCAGTGGTCGGGTCAGGGATGGTGGGCTATATCCTAAAGGGATCGAATAAGTTTTAACGGAACGAGTATGTGATGGTCTTTTTCTTAAGTTTGTTTTCACAATAATACAACCTAACATTACAGAATTCTTTTGATTTATGAGACATAATTTTGAGTGCTATATTTACATTATTGTGTTAAAATAAAATTTTGTCGTCTAACTACTCAAGATGTTGAATGCTAAATTTATATTATGGTGCGGTAAAATTTAATTTAATTTAATTATGTGCATATGACGATCAAAAGGTAGGATTACATGTTCGTTTTTTGGTCAAGGATTACATGTTCGTTTTGTTTTACAATTATGAAATTTACTAAAAAAGTTCTTTAATTAACTAGGCAATCTAAAACTATATAGAATGACTGGTAAAAAGAAATGGAGAAGTAAATTTAACATTCATTAAAAAAAAAAAAGAAATGGAGAAGTAGTCAATTATTTGTTGCACAGATTGAATTTATCCCATCTCTAACGATCAATATATTGAATTTATGCCATCTCTAACGATCAACATACTGAATTTTCATGTTTGGTTTGTTTTCATAATTATGCAGTTTAATTAAATAATTAGACATTTTTAATCCTAGTTCTGGTTCTTGCTTAACGATACAGAGATTGTAAGAAGACGACTACATACAAATTTAGATGACCGTTGCTCTCCGCTTCATCTACGATTTGTTGAACAAAGGCACTGTGATAATGTGATTCTTTAATGAGAAAAAGAACACATGAATAAACCAAAGAAGTAAATGGAGAACATCAAAAAAGCTTCAAGATTGATTTACGAATATCAATGAGTATTTGTTCTTTGATTTCTGCAGAAAATCTGCGAGGCTTGTCTAAGCCAAACTGTATTTTTCTTGTAACGTCTATTTTTTGAACTTCTTTATAAGAGAGACTCTAACTCGTACTGTGTAAAATTTGACTCAGCGATTTTTTTTCAACTGTTTTGAAATTATACCATCCAGCTTAGCTTAACCAAAAGTTATCTTGATAAGATCAAACTGAAAGTGTTCAAAAGCTTAAATATATTTGGGTCTAAGAAACCCAAACAAACCCATATTGCCCAATAACAATGGATTATCCAAGATACACTATATAAATATCAATATATCATGTTTGGTGATATTACAGATAGTGAGAAAAATTCTTTTACAAACGCATTTTATGAGGATGTAAAAGCTATACAAACTTTGTGGTTGAAGCGTAACCTCTGATTTTGTCATTTACTTTCACTTACAAGTTACTCCCCCCCCAAACTCTATGTACCATCATTCTGGCCAAAAGTTCACAACATATGCAAATTATGAGTAGTGTATTCCAGTCGGAATTATCTCTTTGACAAAAGTTTTAGAATAATGAAATCAAATGTTATTTTGAAGTTTGAAGATATAGATTTCCAAAAAAATGAAGTACGTACGTATATATAAGGCTATCTCATCATATTTTGTAGTCTGGTTTAATCAGAGTTTGTAACTAGTCTTTTTTTTTGGTGGTTTTAAGAGTTTTTACCTGTTTTGAACAAACTCATTTTAGCGTAGTTGTGCTTTATAAATATAGACAAAGATATTTAAAGCCAAGAGAAAAAAAATACAGAAAAAACCACTATTTACAACAAAGTATTTACTTGATCCTCAATATAGAAAAATGAGCAATTCAAGAGATGCAGTTGATGTACGTATACGCGTACACTAGAATGTAGAGGAATATAAAATTTAATTTCCAAAAACTAACAAAACCTATTACTGTAAACTAACTCCTTGTATAGTTTGTATATCTCATTAAAGATATCCTCCACCGTTAAAATCAAAATAAACCTTTGTTGAGCGATAATGGTTTTGTTATAGTTTCTGGTTTCTAAAATAACAAAACCTCATCAAATGTTCCCAATAACCTTTTTTAAGATTTAGTTTACCTAAATTTTAGGATAACTATAATTGTTGCCATTTTAGTAGAAAATCTAAAAGCTATTTAAGTTCATTTTTTCTCAAAAAAAAAAAAAAAAAACAAAGAAACCTTCATCCTTTCAAGAGACATGGCATTTTTTTCAGGCAAAAAAATTTGCTTTATCGTTGCTCTCTTTGCAATCTCATTGAAGCCATGTTTTTGCACGAATACAACCCGCTGGAACACCGCCGGAATCACGTGGTATGGCGACCGAGAGGGTCCTGGCAGCACAGGTAATTAATTAAACCATTAATTGTTCCATTAATACAAATAATTTTTTTTTTTTGTAAATTTACATAGGGCCGGTTCTTACAACATATACAATATACAGGAGGAGCTTGTGGATACGGTGATGCAGTGGCAAAGCACCCGTACAACTGTATGATTTCAGCCGGAGGACCTTCATTGTACCAAGATGGAAAGGGTTGTGGGACATGTTATAGGGTATTTGATTATATTTGAAAACTAATTGAATAATTGAATATCATATTGTAATGTACAACTATATATACTAACCATAAGTGTATACGTAATGTTTATATGTTATAGCTCGTATGTGACCATCCGATGTGCACGAAAAAGCCGATCAAGGTGATGATATCGGATGAGTGTCCCGGCTGCACGAAGGAAGCGGTCCATTTTGATCTTAGCGGTAAGGCCTTTGGTGCATTGGCCAAACATGGCAAGGCCGATCAATTACGTAACCTTGGAGAGCTAAAGGTTAGATACAAACGGTACGTATTGTTGTTAATGCGCTTCGTCACACAAACCGGTTAGGTTCGGTTTGATAAGGTTTATTTTAGATAGGAAATATAATACCAATCTTTATGGGTATCGATCTTAAGCCAATTATTATAAATTTTTCATACATTAACGTTTTCTGGTTAACTGATAAAAAAGTTCCGTGATGATGCAGTGCATGCTGCAAACACCCTAAGAGTAAAATAGCTATTCATGTCGACGCCGGAGCAAATCCGTACTACATGTCGTTCGCCGTTAAATATGCAAACGGTGACGGAAACTTTGCCTGCGTGGAGATCCAACCTGCCGGAGGAAAGTACCTGAAGATGGAGGAAATGAGATCGGCCGTTTGGAAACTTAACCCCGGCTGTGCATTGAAAGGTCCGTTCAACGTCCGGCTTACCTCCGCCGTGACCAAAAACGTGCTCGTTGCCAAAGCCGTTATCCCGGAAAAATGGAATCCCGGTGCTATCTACCACTCCCTCGTTAACTTCGCCGTTCCTAAGAAATCGGTTCACAAGAAATCCGTTCACAAGAAATCGGTTCACAAGAAATCCGTTCACAAGAAACCCGTTCACAAGAAACACAAATGATTAATTCCTTCAAACGAATTGTAATGTTTGAACAAAACATGGGGCTGTATTGTCGCAACTGATGATAGTAAATTATTTTGGAAAAATGTATTTACGTTTATATGGGCTTAGAGTTGTAGGCACTTGGCCTTAAAAGCCCATGATTGCTATAAATCTAAACCGGTTTGGTTTAACTTTCAATGTTCAACATAGTCTTTATACCGGATCGGACCAATTTAGGAGAGGCGTTAAGTGGTTTTCATGTGAACGAAAGGTAAGTGATGCACACATAACACAATCAGCGCAAAACTACTTTTTCACAAGTTTCGTAAAGAAAGATTTCTCTCAAGTTCACTTAACAAGTCTTTGTTGTAAACTACCTAACTATATAAAGATTTTTGAGGTTAAATGGTAAAACCGCATTTTCTTTATTACACAGATAAGAAAGGAAAATATCTATTTCAAACTAAATTGATCATAAATAATTAGAGGATGCAGTATAGTCTTTCACATAGGACAGATTTTATATATATAGAAAGATAAATGTTTGGCTATGTTAATGTTTTCGTTGCAAAAAAAAAAAAAAAAACTCTAAATTGGTAATGGAATTGCCAAAATTTTGGAATCTTGACTTGTTCTTATTCCTAGCACAACGGTATTTTTCATATTTTTCTTCTAACTAAGAAATATCCAAATTAAAAGGAAAATAAATCATAATTAATCATACGTGGCAATTGTTATGTTTAACTACATTGATTCTATGCATTTAAGCTTAATTCATAGGTTATAAAGTACTTTGAATCTGGTGTGAATAACTTGTAAGATGGTCAAATCACATTGAATTGAACCTGAATATTATGCTTTCATTAATAAAATTTCACTTGGAATCGTGTTTGAAACTAATTTCTTATTTTTGGAGAGATAAAGTTACTGGACGGTGAGGGTAAATTAAACAACCATCATTGGACTAGTACGTGGCTGTCACGTACTTTAAACTCACAGCAAAATGATGTTAACATTCTCTCCTTGCAGCGTTTTGTTTTAGCTGGTCCGTTGTTACAACAAAATCCCCTCCTCAAGACTTTCGTACAACAACGATTGAAATACCGACAATACCCTTACAGGGTTTCACGTAAATTAATTTATTTTGGGCACAGATTAATTTTTAAAAAAAACCCAAGCCTAGAAATAGACCAAAGCAGCTGCGTTGCGTCTGCTATTTTGGGTGTTGTTTTGGGTGTAAAAACAGAAAACTTTTAAACTATTTTTAGGACAAACTGAAATAGAAGGGTATATTGGGAAGTTCGATAGAATAGTTGCAGAAACGGGCAAGGCTCGCATGTTACATTGTCGCTTCTTCAACTTCATGCATACGCTTTAATTAGATTTTTGTTTTTCACTTTCCGTTTTCCAGATCAAAATTAAATTTAAGTTTTGTTAAACAGTAAGAGAGAGATGAATAAACAAAATTTAATTTAGTTGTTTTCTTGAGAGCGTGTTTTTACACAAATATTAAGCCTATTGGTGGAGAGGAATGCTTGTAGATTCCACTTCTCTCCACTTTTTCTCTTTTCTTCTTCTTCTTCGTCTTCTTGCTCTCTCTATTTGTTATTGAAGATGGAAAGCTACAAGTGTAGATTTTGCTTAAAGAGCTTCGTCAATGGAAGAGCTTTAGGTGGTCATATGAGATCTCACATGCCGAGTCTTCATAAATTTAGCATTGAAGAAGAAGAAGAAAAAGAGGAAGATGAAAGGCCGAGTCAACTCAGCTATGAGACTGAGTCGGATGTTTCTTCGTCTTCAGCTGAAGAAGAAGAAGAAGAAGAGGGGAAGATAAATGATGATTCTAAGTTTGCTTTTACCGGCTCTGTTCTGCTCGAAGACGGTGAAAGCGAGGCTGAGTCGTCGAGGAATAATCTTAACCTGACACGGAAACGATCCAAGCGAACTCGGAAACTCGATTCGTTCGCTACGAAGAAGGTGAAAACGAGTCAACTCGGTTACAAGGCCGAGCCTGGGCCCGAGTCCGAGCCTCCTCACAGCTCGGCTTCTGATACAACAACGGAGGAAGATCTCGCCTTTTGTCTCATGATGCTCTCGAGAGACAAATGGAAGAAAAACAAAACTAGTAAAGAACTAGTGCTGGAAGAGATCGACACAGAAGAATCAGAAGGTTACAACAAATCGAGCAAGATTAATCGAACAACGACGAAAGGGAGATACACGTGCGAGACTTGTGGGAAAGTGTTTAAATCTTATCAAGCATTGGGTGGGCATAGAGCAAGCCACAAGAAGAACAGAGTTTCCAACAAAACAGAGCAGCGAAGCGAAACAGAGTACAATAATGTTGTTATTGCTGTTACTGCAGAGAAGAGAATCCATGAATGTCCGATTTGTCTAAGAGTTTTCGCATCTGGACAAGCACTTGGAGGTCACAAGAGATCTCACGGAATCGGGAATTTGTCTGTAAATTATCATCATCATCAAGGTCATCGAATCGAGTCTGTGAAACAGAGATTGATAGATCTCAATCTTCCTGCACCAACCGAGGAAGACGAAGTCTCTGTGGTGTTTCAATGAATGCTGAAAAAAGGTAACAGACTTTGCGTGATTCGGGTCGTCCAAATTTTCGTAAAGTTTGAATCTTTTTTTTTACTATTATAATTTTTTTTTTTGGGGGTCGAAGTCGAACTAGAAAAATATAATAATGTTTATTTTAAATGCAAAGGAGGCTACTTTTACATGTTCTAACGCCGATTCTTACTTTTTGTATTGGCCTCACGTCGTGTTGGCCTAACCATATCAATCAAAGAACATTCAAATAAGCTTCTACTTAGTTTTTATGTTATTAATGCTTAGTAAATGTTTAGTAACTGTTTATGTTGAATGATAATTTTAGGACTTCTTGCTTCTACTTTGTTATTGAAAGCTACTACTGCTAACAGTGCCCACTTGACTTATCTCTTTCTCTTTGTGTTAGAGTTAGTCAAGCCTCTAAATAAAACAAAATCATTTTAAAGGTCCAAAGATATTTTAGTCTAGTAGTTAAAGAAGACGTTTCTTTAGTAAAGCTCTACTTCCAACTTCCAACTTAATAGTCCGGGTACATTTTTACCAACCACACAATTTTGCAAAATTTTGTTCGTGTCAATCGCTCGGCTATACCAAATTTTGATGACAAAAGGTGTTAAAAAAAAATCCTTAATTTAGCAAATTCTTTGGTCTAGTTCATTGTGTCGTGTTTTCCATCAGATAAATAATTTATTAAAGATGATATAGACTTGGTTGCATAAGTAGATTTGCGTTTGGTCTACCACAAATGTAGAATTATTCTTTGAGTATACTTTATTCTTTGCTTATGACTCGAAGCAAAACCCACTAACTTTCACCACCCAGTAGAATACAATACATTTTGATTCAGAGTGGTTGTATCCAAGTAATTGCAATCTTGACTAATCTCACACTAATTGTTTGGTGAGTGAGTACAGGGGATTTGATGAAACTAGTCTCCTGAAATCATTTCATCTGATGAGATTATTTTCCAAACTTTCGAGGCATTGAAGTGTTTGAGGTTGGAATGAAAGTACAGCGAGTGAGGAAAAACATATTATAGAGTTTAGTAAATGAAAACACTTTTTATTAAATGCATCTTCTCTGTCTAAACTTGCGAGCCCATTTGATGCCAGCCGTTGGTACAAAGATCCTGAGACTGACACTAACAACCTTCACTAATATTCGTCTATGAAAAGAATAAAGCAAAAGCAAACACAAATCTTCAACCAAAAAGAATTATAAGTAATACGATTAAAAAGTTCTAGTTTGGTCTACTCAACTTATGGCTTACTTCACAATTTTGTTGCTGTTGATTGGACAAGCACTCATGCTTAAGAAAGATTAAACCGGATTAAGACGACCTGAATATCTGATTTTGTTTTGGGTTTTACTTTTATATATCTCTAAGAATATCGTGACTAAGTTCGATCGCTACCGAGAGGGAAAAAGATAATTGGCTTACTTGAAAGAAATCTCCAAAATCACATGAACAATAGTGAACATTTAATCTGTTAGCACAATTTTGTAAAAGATTAGGATTAGAATTTATAGATTTTAATTCCATAAAAAGTATACTTTGACAAAAAATATTCCATAGGAGTATGATAATAATTTTATTAAATAACATTAAAAAAAAACAAAGGAGACAAATCACATTGGGTGTGCTTTAAAACATAGAAGCACAAAGAAAAGATGTTTGGTTGGGCGTGATTAAAGTGACTCTCTGACTCGATGCACCAGCTTGAGCTTCAAGTCCTCTTCATTTAATTTCCTTATGTAGTCAAATGTTTTATAGTGCTTTTCCTAACTTAATTAACTTGTTAGAAATTTTACGTTATTTATCGGCATGAGAACAAAATAATATCACCAAAAAACATTGACTTACACGTAATAACCAAAGCGTATCTTCGTTTTTTTTTACAGCTAAATCATACTTGGTCAACTGATTCATAAATTATATTTCAAGAACTTTCACCGTTTACACTGACGATTTTAGTTGTTATTTCAGAGAATTAATTAACCGACTTGACTCTCGAGCTATAGACCTGTATTGGGCACGTTAATTCACACTCTCGACTTGTTATTTCAGACCTGTTATTTGATTATTTCACACTCTCGACTTTAGACGCCAAAATAATATTTAGTTTTACACTCGACTCTCGAGCTATAGACCTGTATTGGGCTTTATAATAAGATGGGCTTTATAACAAGAAGGGCTTTATAACAAGATGGGCTTTATAATCAATCGCAAGCTCTTTGTGACTTTGTTCCGGACATTATTATTTTTGCATCCAAACACGTTATATTCAAGTTACTTTCTCTGTTTCATTCAGAACAACTCTCCGGAGACCATAGCCAAAGGATCTGGAGCTTTTTACCTGTCTGCGATTCGCCGGTGAGTTTTGATTTCATATCGATTTCTGTCCTCGTTTCCTTCTTGCTTTCCAGATAATTTATTGTAAAACTGATCGGTATAGATTATGATAATCGGCTTCAATTTTTTTTGATAATTTCCATCTTATGCTTAAAGCCACTCCAACCCGTAATGAATAAAAGTATGCGTATCGATCTAATTATAAGAAACGATTCAAGATTCTTACTCGTTAATTGAAGAAGAATGTAAGTGATAACTATTTCACTTACAGGTTTTGATTCTGACTTGTATTGATTTGATTTTGATTAGCCGATTTAGTATTTGCTGCTAAATCGGCTAAAATACTAGTAATGATAATGGCTTTTAGCTTGTATTACTATTTCTCTTTAGAAGCTAAAAGCTATTATTTTATTTTTATTTCTCTTTAGAAACTTGTATTACTATTTCTCTTCTCTTTAGAAGCTAAAAGCTTCAAGCTTTCATCTTGAAGTGTTTGCTGTGTCCACGTATTGTCTTGTTCCTGATAATTTTGAAATGTTCTGTTATTTTATGTTAAGAACAGATAGTTGAAGCTTTTAGAGACTTCAATGGTGAGCCAAGGATTGGTGTCTCTTACAAAGTCTTTATGCACTATGGCTCCAAGAGTCCGCCTCAAGAATCCGAAGACGATGCAGAACCTAAAGACCGGACCTTGTCATCTCCGTTTCAGAAATCTCCGTGTCTTGTGCACAAAACTGTCTCAATGGGAACCATCACCTTTCATTCATGCTTCTGCAGAAGAAGCTGGTGGTATAGTATTGGAAAAAACCGCTAATGTGTTCGAATCCATTGTATCAGAGGCTGCTGAGGAAGAGAAAGTAGATTCAGCGCAACAACGGACTAACTCACAAATTCAGGTTCTTAAATGGCCAATATGGATTTTAGGTCCATCTGTTCTCCTCACAAGCGGTATGGCACCTACTTTATGGCTTCCATTGTCATCGGTTTTCCTCGGTTCCAACGTGGTTAGTGTACTTTCGTTGATCGGTCTAGATTGCATTTTCAACCTCGGCGCAACCCTTTTCCTGCTAATGGCTGATTCTTGTGCTCGTCCTAAAGACCCATCACAATCCTGCAACAGCGAACCACCATTTAGCTACAAGTTCTGGAATATTTTTGCACTCATAACCGGGTTTCTCGTCCCAACGCTACTTCTCTTCGGATCTCAAACCGGCCTACTCTCTTCTCTCCAACCCGAGCTTCCTTTCATCTCGTCCGCTGTTCTCCTCTTCCCCTACTTCATTCTCCTCGCGGTCCAGACATTAACAGAGATCCTCACATGGACTTGGCAATCACCGGTCTGGCTAGTCACACCAGTTGTCTACGAGGCTTACCGAGTTCTGCAACTGATGAGAGGGTTGAAACTAAGCGCAGAGGTGAACGCACCGGTTTGGGTGGTTCATATGCTTCGCGGGCTTGTCTCTTGGTGGGTTCTGATCTTGGGGATGCAACTCATGAGGGTTGCTTGGTTTGCTGGTTTTGCATCTAGAAGAACAAATCAGGAACCAGAATCTGTTGCTTCTAAGTAAAGATAGATAGATGTATCTTCCGTTTATAGCTTTCAAGTCATGTACTCATTACTGTATAGTTAGCTTTTAGTTGGTGATAACAATAAAAACATATTCTTTATGATTTATATTCGATATTCCTCTTTGCATTAGATGTTAGATTTTAACAGAGATCCTCACAAGGCACTGGCTGTCATCGGTCTGGCTAGTCACATCAATTAGATGTTACATTAGAACAACAAGAAGTCAGCCGCAATCTATTGCTTCAATGTAAAGACCGATAAATGTTTCTTCCGTTTAGTTTTTGAGTCAGAACAAGAACGATTTTAACTCTGTGAGTTGGTTATAATTAAAAAGAAAAATCAAAAAACATATTCTTTATGATCTTTTTGTTTGTCTGTATGATCATATTCTATATTCCTTTCTCCTTAAAGTCAGTATTTTTTTACGTTATTTTTAATCAGAATGGATATATCTAACTCTGTTAAATCAATACAATAAAACATAAGTGTTTGACACCTAAGCTTTTTCAGGTGTTGGAATTTTAGGTAGGGGGCGTGTTGACATGCAAATTTCTAAAAAAATATAAAAGATACTGTAATTCAAGAATTGTAAAGGAAACCAAGAAACCAAAATCATCGCCAAGCATACAAACAATAATCTCCAGTTTACTTCATACTCAAAGAAGGTGCATAGAATTGTTGGCGAAGTATAAGGGATCAGGTGAACTAACACCTCCAGATTATTAGCCACATTTAAAACTCTAAAAAGCATATGATGATTCATCTTCTTCACAAAAGAAACATTCCACTTCGGGAGCCAGTTTATTTCAAAATTAATAGAGGATTCGCGTCGGACATGTTTCTCACAATAACCTCAATAAGCAAAATTGGAGTGCCGACGAGATCATCTTAAAAACAGAGAATAGAGAATAGGGTTTGTACGCCTTTAGAGAAAGGTGTGATCATACAACAAAACAATTTATTATTTATAGATTTTCAGTTTCTGTAAATAATTTATAATTTATTAAGCTCCACGCAATTTTTCCTCTCCCAAATATCTCATATCAGGATTTCCAGCTTCTATAAATAGAAAAATATATGGTCTTTAGTAAATTACAGATTTTGTGCACTTATGAAATGAAGAATACAGCATATTTTCAAAAACAGAAAATTTGGAAAGAAAACCAAAACACTATTTGATAAATAACTTCCTTGGCAATTTTTTCTAAAATGTTCATATTCTTTTTTTGGCCATTAATAGGATAATTATATGACAACACTAATTTTTTTTAGTTAAAAATAATATTTTAAAATAAAAATATTGTTCTAAATTTTGTTTCTTAGAACTATTAACTAAAAACTAAATTTGTTATCCACAAATAATTAAAAAAATTATGATCATCGGCCGTGGTCTAGGCCACCTGTCATATAGACCAAACATATGAATACATTATCATTTGGACAGAAACACCAAAGTCCAATTCTACATACTAGCATTATTCTCTCGCTATAAAATGCGGCAAATTTTATAAATGAATGAGATCGATTTAATTGTGATACAGGAAAAGCGTGAGTTCTGCTCATAAATCTTCTTCGCAACATTGTTGCCCAAAAATTTTGGTCTTGTTTGAAGAAAAGCCAGATCTTATTGAGACCCCATCGATCTCAAAAGTTGCAAAATTCATGTGAAGTTATAATTGAGTGAAACCTCTGTGAAGCCTTGGAGATGATCTCATGTCTCGATTTTGGAATCCTTGCGATTATATCAAACATCAAGTTATCTGCGATATCATTGTCTGCACTATCTCACAAATTAAAATTTAAGATCACAATTTTGTTGAATAAAAACATTACTAAAACCATTATTTAATTGTAAAATTTGCTAATTAGAATCTCAAAAAATTCATCACTAGTAGTAGTAGATAAAGAAATGATGCCAAAGCTGTTTCATAGTCAACTTATGAAAAAACATGCTAGTTAGATGAAGCGAATAATTTAAAACTTTTTTTAAATAAGATTCAGGACATTTATGTTTGCGCTAGTACTCTATAAGTTTCGAAATCTCACTTCAATCTCTTTTTTTGTCTGTAAGTGTGATCACAAAATGCGAAATATGTTTATAAGCAATCGAGCAAAGTCGTCATTCGGCTTGGCATTATGTTGCTCCATGATTCGCCTTGGCGTTATGTTTTTTTTTTTTTTTAAATCTAATAAAAAACTAGTGTTTTCCTTATGATTCTTATGTAATTGGAAACATTAATATCTTTAACTTTTGGATTTTCTACTAAAGAAAACCTAACTTTTAGGTAATTAAAACCTAATATCTTTAACATTTTGGTTTTAATATCTTTAACGGTTATGAAATCCTGGCAGTGGCAGCACAGGTAATTTTATTTGTATTGAACATGTAAACACAGCAAAAATAAAATTTTGAAAATACTTCTGAACATGAACATGTATATTTTTGAATGTTATTTAGCATCTTAGTTTTAAAACATTTAACCACATTCTATTGATTAATATTAACTAATTGAAATATATTATATACTCTATCTCTTAATCCTATAAACTCTAATTAATTTTGAATGTTATAAGTTAAATTAATTACTTTTTAAACTAGTTAATTTTTTTAAAAAATTACATACATTATGGTTAACCCTCCGCAGTCTAGTTCTTAAATTTAGGTAAATATGACAAGCAAACTAAAATTTTGAAAAATATCTCACAATGAGTAAATTAATCCTTATGAAAAATTTAATATTTTTATTCAATACAGTAAAAAAAAGAAATTAACACTCATCACTCTATTTCTAAAGTACATCATTACATTCTACCCCTAGATGAATATAATAAACTAACTAAAACTACATTCCATAACAAATTCCAAAACTCTAACCTTAAGCCCTAAACCCTAAACCCTAAACCCTTAAGCCCTAAACCCTAACCCTCAGCCCTAAGCCCTAACCCTAACTCTAAACCCTAAATTCTTTTTTTTTTTGGTCAAAACCCTAAATTCTTTAATTTGTATATTTTTAATGTTATCTAACATTTTAGATTTAAAACATTTAACCACATTCTAACAAGGTTAATATTAACTAATTTAATATATTATATACTTTATCTCTAAATCATGTAAACTTTGTATAACTAAATTTATTTTGAATGTTATAAGGTAAATTAATTACTTTTCAACTAGTTATTTCAAAAAAAAATTCATACTCATCATTAATTAGTTGGATAACTTTTATAAGATCTAAACTTTTTGGATAGTTAAGGACAAGTAGAAACCTAAACCTTATGTGGTCTCGTTACTATATTCATATAAGATGTATTTATGTATTAAAAAATAATAACAACAAAATTCAAAAATATCTCAAAATCAGTGAACTAAAAAATTCAATTTTATGAATAAATATAGTGACTAAAAAAACTAATTCTCCTTATTTTATTTTTAAAAGACCTATAACTAAATTTATTTTGAATGTTATATGGTAAATTAATTACTTTTTAACTAGTTATTTCAAAAAAAAATTTATACTTATCATTAATTAGTTGGATAACTTTTATAAGATCTAAACTTTTTGGATAATTAAGGACAAGTAGAAACCTAAACCTTATGTGGTCTCGTTACTATATTCATATAGGATGTATTTATGTATTAAAAAATAATAACAACAAAATTCAAAAATACCTCAAAATCAGTGAACTAAAAAATTCAATTTTATGAATAAATATAGTAACTAAAAAAACTAATTCTCCTTATTTTATTTCTAAAAGACCTACCATCATTCTAACATTAGACTAACTAGTTTTGATTGTTATTTTGAAACTTTATTATTTTTCATCAATTAATATTAAAAATTTTATATACATCATGGCTAATATATATATATATGAGGGCTTGTGGATACGGTGATGTAGTGTTCAACTAATAAGTGTGCCACGTGTCAGCCACTTTTTGACGGAAATCTAACATTGTGTATGTATTTTCGAAAGGTAAAAAGTTCGTATATAGGCTGATTTCCCTCTCTTTATGCTGATATATATGCTAAATGGCATATATTCTGCTTGTTTTTGTTCTTTTTGCTTTTTCAACACTTTTGGCAATTTTTTTGCGTATTCCTTTTGAGTCTTGAGTGTGTCGTTTAGATCTTTTAGCGCATTTTACTATTTTGATGTTCCTAAGTTTGTGTTATTTCTGCTTTTTTTACTAGTATTTTGAATGTTCCTACGTTTGTTTTATTTTCTGCCTATTTTCGACTATCATTCCTTCGGCTTTCGGCTTTTGACTACAACTTCGCTCACTCACACGCATATCTGTGGAGCCTATACATACATCCATCTATACCTTCACACCCTCTACATACACTATACAATCACACCCTATACTTTCATACCCTATACATATCTATACATACATCTATACATTCACACCCTATACATACATCTATACATTCATATCCTATACATACATCTATACATTCATACCCTATACATACATCTATACATTCATATCCTATACATACATCTATACATTCATACCGTATACATACATAATAAGTTCACACCCTATACATATCTATACATCATCCATTTTCATCTACACCATCTATACACCATTTTCATCTTCTACATCCATGTATCTTTATCAGGAAAAAAAAAGGAGATACAAATATTGCTATATTATAGTCTGGTCAACTTCAAAGGCTGGCAAAGCAGAAGATGGAAAACGCTAGGCACGGTGGTCTTACGATATTTTTTCCCTTCAACCTCTGCAAAATTAATAAATTAAAATCAGTCTTCATTACGATCGGTTTTTCTGTTTGTCAATTTTGGTACATGCATATGTAGTTACATAAATATCAAAAATCATCCAACTTTAAACCCATTCTTTCTTAGTTTTTCATTAAAAAAATAACTTAATTCTATGTTTTCTTAGACAGAACATACATTTCTAGCTAAAACCAGGTTATCAAACACACATAGCTAAAAATCAGTTTTTTGAAAAAGCTAAATTGGATTTACAAAAAAGAGAAAAAAGCTAAAAAATCAGTTTATTAGCTAGTTTAAGTAAAGACATAAATAAATATAAATGGATTTAAAACAGAGCATTTGAATTTTATGTTCAACCCCGTAAAAGATGTTTAAAAGATGAAGAACAGGTAATCAAACTAACAAAAACAAACTAGAGCAATTAGACCAGAGTATTTTACCTTGTATACGGATGCTTATGTTTGGTTCTCTGGGCTAATGAGAAATATAGATAAGTTTGAGTGAGAACACAACTCCAGTGGAAGAACAGAACTAAGAAGAAAAAAAACATATTGTGGTCAAAATTTGTATGAAATAAATCAAGTAAGAGGATTCAGATTTTTGACCGATGAAAGGGAGTACTTATAGAGAGTCATCATCTGATTTTTTTTAATCAAAAAAATTATTCAACGGTAAAAAATGTTACCGTTGCACAATGTTTATTTTGTTCTACTGTCAAGTCAAATCAAACAAAACGTTGGAACAATATGTTACCGTTTCACAATGTTTAGATATTTTTGCTATTAAGCTTTCGTCTAATTCAAAAATTCCAAATATTGTATTCTTAAAAGTATTTGAAAAGCAACAAAGATTTATTGTCTCTCATTGCTTTATTACCATCACATTTCTATATTCATACTCTAGTCTAATAATTTAATGTTGTCTAATTCCTCTTCTTCTTTTTTTCTCTTTTTTACTTCTCCAGTTATTTTTTTTCAGCTACTATATAATTTCTGAACTAGTTTTCTCTTAAATAAACTGGGTAAGAAAATCAGTTAATAAATCATGCGATGGACTAGGAAAAGAGATTGAAAGAGACAATGTAGAAATTTATGGTCTATTTATTTAAATTTTAGATTAGATATGATGGTCTTTTATTTCTTTTCATGTTGTCCTTTTGTATATAGATTTTGACAAACTGAGTTATTTAATCTGTTAAATTGGATATTCGGAAATTCGAATCAGAAGTTTCAAAATGTATAATTTTTTGTTTTGATTTTTTCTTCTATAATTGTTTGTTTGATTGTTAGTGGTTGGATTGTTGGCTTTTGCACTTTATTTACTTGTTATGGACGGATAATGTAAATTAAAAATTTTTCTTGTTTTGATAACGTCATAATGTTAGTTAGGTGTGCGTTTGTACGACAAAAAAAAAGTTGTGTGTTTGTGATTCAGTAAAGCGTTTGCGATTAGAGTCCGTTTGCGTCTCAGATGAAAGAACGATCAATTTCAAAGAGAAAGGCGAATATGCCCTTGGGTGGAACAAGACAAATAGCGATGTCCCACTTTCTTCATTCGATCTCTCTCTCTCTCTCGGTCTTCGACGACTGCTCTCTCTGTACCGGAGACGGCGTCACGGGACGAATTGATTCGCCGGTATACTAATTTTTTGTCGTTTGAACGCCAAATCGGCTTTAATCTCAGGCGATCCGATCGAAATGAGTAACAGCGAGCTTCTCAACGTCGAGCCTCTGGACCTTCAATTCCCTTGTAAGCTTCTTTCGATTTTTTCGTTAATTCGCATGTTTTCTTTCCCAGATCTAGATATTTTCTGAGTCACGGTGTCAATCCATTTTCACAATTTTCTTATTTGATATGATTTAGTTGAATTGAAGAAGCAGATCTCTTGCTCTCTTTACTTGACGAACAAGACCGACAATAATGTGGCCTTTAAGGTGATTATTCTCATATATGATATACGAATTTTCAGATCTTGTATTGGGAAATCGTTGTGTTTTATTACTTGTGTTTTTGAGGCTTTTATCGGTTGTGTTTTAGGTTAAGACGACGAATCCGAAAAAGTATTGCGTCAGGCCTAACACTGGTGTTGTTCTTCCAAGGTCCACTTGTGAAGTTCTTGGTCTGTCCTCTGATTTTTTTCTCCTGATATGGATTGTGTAACTGGTTCTTGGATTAAGGAATTTGATGTATCCTTTGTCTAGTGACCATGCAAGCTCAAAAGGAAGCTCCTTCCGATATGCAGTGCAAGGACAAGTTTCTGCTTCAAGGTGTAATTGCTAGTCCTGGAATCACGGCAAAGGAAGTTACTCCTGAGATGGTACTGCGTTTGCCATTGTTGATTTTGGTGGATAACGTATAATCACTGTTTGGCTAAAATCATTTGTTTATTTTTCTTCTAATGAAACTTTTGCAGTTCAGCAAAGAGGCTGGCTATCTAGTTGAGGAGACTAAACTGAGAGTTACCTATGTTGCTCCACCGCAACCACCATCACCGGTTCACGAAGGTTCAGAAGAAGGTTCTTCACCAAGGGCCTCAGTTTCTGATAACGGACATGCATCTGAATTCTCTGTAAGTTGTATATCTCTCAGGTAGATATAACATTTCCTCTTTACTTATTGTAGATTTACATGTGTTTTGTGTTTGATTTTAGTTTCAGAGATTTAGCGCTGACAAGGTTGAGCCTCTAGAAAACACATCTGAGGTATTTTTCACTATTTCTTATGAGCGTCTTTAAACCATTAAAACTACGTGTAATTAGCTGTTGCAGTCGGGTCTTTTTTCTTTTGAAATGTTAGTGTGCTTGCTTTTGCGCTGTTAAAAACCGTACCCAGTAGTTACAACTTGGGAGCTACCTTTATTGGAAAGTTGGCTTTAACGTCTGATTAGGCTGAGAACTTTTTCTTTGTGTTGATTAGACTTTTAGAAGCCAGCCTCTCAAGCCGCCCATTACTTATTTATCAGTTTGTGGATGCATCTGCATATTTTTTTAATCTGCTCGAAACCACTAGCTCTTATATTTCTATTAGAGCTGAATTTTGTTTGATTTCAGGCAAAGGCTCTCATCACAAAGCTAACCGAGGAAAAACAGTCTGCCATTCAACTGAACAACAAACTTCAAAGAGAACTGGTAAAGAATCTTCACTTGAGTCATCCTTTTTTTTTAAGTCTCAGAATCTATCCTTCACAGTGCTTTTTCATGGTCTTGAGAAGAAGGCCAGTTCATGGGTTTTGAGATTCTTTTACTTTTCACAGTCTTCGTGTAGATGTTGTTGAGTTTGTTTTCTGACGAAAGTTTTCGTTGGTCTGCAGGATCAGTTGAGGCGTGAAAGCAAGAGAAGCCAAAGTGGTGGTATCCCTTTCATGTACGTTCTTCTGGTCGGACTAATCGGTCTAATTTTGGGATACATCATGAAGAGAACTTAACAACCCACCTGAGCTTTTTCTCCCACACCGCCAACGCCACGAAGAAAGGAACAAAAAGAAACAGACTTTTAACTCGTTTTTCAGTCGTCGGACATATACTATTTTCTCTCTCTGTATTTGACGAATTCACCTTAAAAGAAGGTGTCTTAGAGGATTCGTGTTCTGGTAGTGAAAATTTCATAACTCAGTTTGCTTTGTTTTTGTTTCTTATTTTATAACTTTTTTTTATTTGTAATCCAATGACTCTTGGTGGGGTTCTTTCTCCGCAAATTCGTCTTGTTTTTTATTTTATTTGTTTTGTGACCAATTCATCTCGTCTAAAGTCAAACATCTTCATTGGGAGAAACCAAAAATTAATAATTACAGAATGTTGCAAGACAAGAAATGAAGAAAAACAAAGGTTCCAAGTCCTAACTTCTTCGGATCGGTTTTTGGTGACCTAACCAAGTCAATGATTAAACGAGATGCGGGTGTCAAAGACTCCGGTTCACTCATCCCTGGACACGGTAATTACCCGTTAAACCAGGCCGATATGAATTAAGCAATGCCCTCTCTAACCGGTTCATTTGTAATTGCAGGTGGGATATTGGACAGAGTTGATAGTTACATTTTCACTGGTGCATTAGCCTACTCTTTCGTAAGACTTCATAATGTTTGATTATGTGATAAATCCCAAGAAACCCATTATAATAAGTTTCAAAAAGTTTGATTAACGTTTGCATCACTGACTCTATAAGTTTTTTTTTTTTTGATAATTAACAAAAAAAAAAAAGTACACATGTAAATTCGAGCCTATAATTTTATCACATTAAATATAGGTTTAATAAAAGTTTGTTACAATAATTTCCTTTTTTTTTGACATTTCCTTAAATTCCCTTATTGCCAAACAATGATTGATTCTCTAATATTGTATCTCTAATTCCAAGAGGGAAAAGGATTATTATTATTTTTATTTTTGGAAAAGGATTATTACTCGAGTATAAATAAGGAACATAAGAGAGGAAGCGAAGCGTGATTGAGATTTTTCAGAAGAGATTAGTCCTTTGTCTTGTGTACCATGGCCAAGGAGGCACCGTCGTCGTTTTCGTCATTGCCAAACGATATCGTTTTAAATATCTTGGCCCGCGTGCCGAGACGGTTTCACCCAAAACTCTGTTGCGTCTCCAAGAATTTGGGGTCTCTCGTACGTTCCTCTGAGCTTCGCAAAACGCGGTCTCTCCTGGGAAAAGATCGCTTCAACTTCTACGTCTGCCTTGTAGATAGTATGGCTATGGATCTCTCATATCAATGGTTCACTTTAAGTTGTGGTAATCGTCGTTTGGTCTCCGTCCCGTTTCCTTCTCCTGATCCGTCGCTTTGGCCGTACACTTCTGCTGTTCCGGTGGGTTCCGAAATCTACCTTGTTGGTGGCTCGAGGTTTATGTGGATCCTCGATACCCGGTCTGGACAGTTGCGTCTGGGTCCAAGTTCGCCTGTAGGCAGCAAGCATGAAGGCGTGGGACTCGTTCACGACAAGATTTACGTATTTGGAGGAACGTGCGAAAAAGAATGCTACCAAGATATCCAAGCGCAAGTGTTTGACTTGAAGACGCAAACTTGGCTAATCGCGCCAAATCCGAGCTTGACACTGGCACACTATGTTAGGCACGTGGTAAACCCGTCCCTAGGCAGAAAAATTTATGCCGTGGGTAGTGGTTGTGAGTCTTGTGATTCAATCATAGTTTATGAAACTAGAGATGGTACATGTGACAGGATTATAATAGACGATGAAGTCACCAATCTCGAGATGTGTGTGGTAGACAATGTACTCTACATGTATTACCAATATGTTGGGTTAATGTGGTATGACTCTATGGCCAAAGAATGGAGATTGGTTCATGTTCATGGTTTGAAGCTCGGCGATCGTTTCTTAAATCATCTCGTAATGACTGAATACGATGGTAAGCTGGCGTTTTTTTGGCAACAAGGACAAAAAGATGAGATTTGGTGTGCCATGATCGCCTTGTATGGGACTAGTCACGTTGCCATTTGGGGCCGGCTCGAGTGGTCTGATTGCATACTTTCCCAAGTCCCCTCTCACTACTACATCCTCCATGTTGTAGCTTGTCCGGATTATTAACAATTTTTTTCTTATCATCTATCCATCCATAATATGGATTTTGGATTATATATATATATGTATATATTTATATCCCATGCACAAGAGACTAAAAAAGCCCCTTTTTTTTCTTTCTATTAGTAATATTTCTCGATTCTAATCAATTCTTCAATCACTTTGTGGTGAAAAAAATCATCAAATGCACTTGCAGCTTCCGTATAACAGAAAAGATATTTGTTTCTTGGACATCAAGAAACAAGAGGCCTCCGGAAATACAACAAGAGAATCCTTGGCAGTGGCACTCCTTGGACGATTTTTCTTCTTCCGGTGCCGTCTCCTCCTCGAGGATCATATCTTCGTGTAGATGTTGAGTTTGTTTTCTGACAAAGATTTGGTTTGGTCTGCAGGATCAGTTGAGGCGTGAAAGCAAGAGTAGCCATAGTAGTGGTATCCCTTTAATGTACGTTCTTCTGGTCGGACTAATCGGTCTAATTTTGGGATACATTATGAAGAGAACATAAAAAACCCACCTGAGCTTTTTCTCCCATACACTGCCAACGCCACGAAGAAAAGAACAAAAAGAAACAGACTTTTAACTCGTTTTTCAGTCGTCGGACATATACTATTTTCTCTCTTTCTGTATTTTGACGAATTCACCTTAAAAGAAAGTGTCTTAGAGGATTTGTCTTCTGGTAGTGAAAACTTCATAACTCAGTTTGCTTTGCTTTTTTTTAAAACCTTTTTTATTTGTTTGTAATCCAATGACTTTTGGTGGGGTTCTTTCTCCGCAAATTCGTCTTGTTTATATTTTATTTGTTTTGTGACCAAAACCAATTCATCTCGTCTGAAGTCAAACATCTTCATTGGGAGAAACCAAAAGTTAATAATTACAGACTAATAAGTTGAATGTTGCAAGACAAGAAATGAAGAAAAACAAAGGTTTCAAGTCCTAAGACTCTAACAGAGACGAAGGGTTCGTTATCGACGCGCCGACTTAAGCGTGTGAACCTCAGATCCTCTCCCGTCGTACCACCACCACTTCCCCCCACTATTATCATCTTACTCGCCGATTAGATTCACCGAATCAACGCAATCTTCTCCTTCCCTTTCCTCTGAGTTCTTCATGATTTCCGGCTTCATAAAGTCTTCTCTTTTATTTCATTTCTAGTCTAACTTTGCTTTCCAATTTCGGATTCCAATGGCGCCTTTTGTTGAAGTCTGTAGGTATAAACCTGTACCACTCTCATTGCGCTCTCTCTGTACATGTCCTTGCCGTTCCACTCCAAGAAAATTTATAATTCTTCCCCATCTCTCTGAAACTTTTTCGACTTTGCGTTTCGTCGATTCCAAATCATCGTCTCATTCTCGCTCTATTGGGATATCTGTTAACCGGCGTGTTATCACGGCCGTTGCTCGAGTTCAATCAGATCAGCTTGGTGATGATGGCAACTCAAAGGATGTAACTTTATGCTTCTCTCTTACCTACAATCTTTTGATTCTCGTTTGCATTCTCTACTCTAGTGTGTGTCTGAGTAGGAGAGAAGGAAGATTTATATTATACTGTACTTGATATCGGACGATATAGGCAAATTTTAAGCTTACTTTTTGAAAATTTCCCCTGATGGTGTATATTCCTAAGACTGTCTTACTGAAAATTCGATATAGAATCATTCGTATGGATATCGGTGAACTGCTGAGACACATTTGATTTAGTGATTGTTGTTAGTTTGCGTTGCGCTCTCACTGACGGAATTGCGTCTGTTTAGGAACACGAAAGAGATCAAGGATCGAAAAATGTGGAAGAAGATTCGAGTTTAGATCAACAGAAGCAGAAATCGAGAAGCCAGTTTAAGAAAAGAGTAGTTTTTGGTCTAGGGATCGGATTGTCTGTAGGAGGTGTTGTATTAGCTGGAGGATGGGTTTTCACAGCAGCATTAGCAGTTGCAGTTCTTCTAAGTGCCCGAGAATATTTCGAGTTAGTGAGAAGTAATGGAATTGCTCAAGGGATGACACCTCCTCCACGATATCTGTCTAGAGTCTGCTCAGTTATATGTGCTCTTATGCCCATACTTACCTTGTGAGTAGTTCATTACCTCAAAGACGACGATTCTTCTTTCTTATTCTGGTTAAAGGCTTGATCATTTTGTTGTTTTTAGGTATTTTGGCCATATAGATATCTCAGTGACATCAGCAGCGTTTGTTGTTGCAATGGCATTGTTGCTACAGAGAGGAAACCCGCGTTTTTCTCAGCTGAGTAGTACTATGTTTGGGCTGTTTTACTGTGGCTATCTTCCTTGTTTTTGGGTTAAGCTACGTTGTGGTCTTACCGCTCCTGTTATGAACACTGGCAAGCACTCGATTATTATATTTATCCTTTGTTAGCTTTCAGCATAATGTAAAGTAATCAAAGACCAAGTCTTCTGAGCAGTTTTAATAACGTATAGGAATTGGAAGAGGCTGGCCAGTTCTCCTAGGTGGTCAAGCACATTGGACAGTTGGACTTGTGGCGATATTGATTTCATTTTGCGGTATAATTGCCTCAGACACATTTGCTTTTCTCGGTGGCAAGGTATACATGCCTTTCCTTTCCTATTCGAATTGGGATCAGTTTGTTCTCATAATCTTCAGACTTCCCGTGTAGATAAACCGTTTATTCTGCATTGATTAGATTTAGAAAAAGTTGTGAGCTTTCTCGGTCTGTCTTTTATTATCAGCGTTTGTTTTGTCGAATCAACGATAGAAGAAGAAAACTATTTTTCCATGTATCCTATTTTAAAAAAGAGTGCCTTTAATCAAATGTAATTTCAGGCATTTGGTAAGACTCCTCTTATTAGCGTTAGTCCAAAGAAGACATGGGAAGGAGCTGTTGCAGGACTTGTTGGTTGTATTACCATTACCATTTTACTCTCCAAATCTTTGTCATGGCCTCAATCTCTTTTCAGGTACTCAAATCCTTTCGAATTCCCCAAAATCTACTATCACATCGATGTATGTTTTGTTCTGAATATAGTTTCCTTTTACAGCACAACAGCTTTTGGTGTTCTTAACTTCTTCGGATCGGTCTTTGGTGACTTAACTGAGTCAATGATCAAACGAGATGCGGGTGTCAAAGACTCCGGTTCACTCATCCCCGGACACGGTAATTACGCGATATAGATCAATTCCTGTTTTTTTTTTTTTTTCTTTTTCCTAGCAATAATGCCCTCTCTAACCGGTTCTTCTGTTATTGCAGGTGGAATATTGGACAGAGTTGATAGTTACATATTTACTGGTGCATTAGCCTACTCCTTCGTAAGACTTCATGGAGTTTGATTCTGTGATGAAACCCATTATTAGTTTCAAGAAAACTTACAAAAGCCGGTACGAGTTTTTTCCCTCCGCGAGATTGAAATTCAAAAGGAGATATAATGATGGTGAGGGAGGTAAGAGATGAGCCTCCGGTTTCCTCTCCTTTTTATTTTATTTTTTTGACATCTCCTGAATTTCCAATCGATATTTGATTCTTTAATGTATCTCCCGTGAGCATAATTATAACGATTCCACGAGGGAAAAGGATAATTACTCCTCACAGGGCCAAGAAAGAAAAGTGACCTAGAGTTCTTGTGTAAGATCTGTAGTAGAATTGATTTGATGTATAAAATTCATCAAATCTCACACAAGTTTCAAGCTTGGAGTAAACATATGTTCTCCTTCTTCACTGCTCTCTAAAGCTATCGATGTAATGAACAATGTCTTCGTATTCATTCCCATCTTCTCACCAGAAACTATATATTTCTTTTAAACTCAGCCAAAAAGACTGCACAACGTTTCCAAATATTTCGACTAGCATAATTGAACAGCAAAATATTCCGAAGGAGTTATGCACTAACACTAAGTGTCTAAGCGTTTATTGCTAAACCAGGAGTAGTGGTTGAGAGTTACAGAAAATTGTATAAATATTAACTGAACCTATAGAATTACTACTACTGGTTGAGAGTTACAAAAAATTGTTTAGTAACAAAATTGATACATTTAAAGTCTAGTATTAATTTTTTTGTTATATTTGTGAAAAAAAAAATTATTAATTTGAAACCAAATGAGTAGCTTTTAGAAACCAAGTGAAGAGGTATTGTTTTCATGCAAACAATTTTGTTTAATCGTTGCTCGCTTTTCAATCTCACTGAACATGTTCTTGCCATAGATATAATAACACCCGATGGAACACCGCCGGGCATCACCGGAGGGATTCAAAAGACTTACAAAGCCGGAGGGATTCTTTCCTTCCACGTTTGTTGACTAATTGAACCGGTGTTAGGATTTTGGTTCAATGCGAATATGCGAGTACTGGTTCATTATAGAACTCTCGAACTGTTGGTTTTGTGTTGTCTAATTGGTTGATTTTTCGATATATATATACTTTTTAACCTCACATTTTCTAGAAAATTGATTAAAGAAAAAGGACTAAAATCATGTGGGGATGTTAATGAATGCGTTGTTCCCAAGCAGACTTTAGTTATTAAAAAAATGAATGGAAAAGGAAACTATAATTGAATAATAAGATATCAATGATATAAAAAAAAAAGAGGCGAAGAAGCAGATATGATTGGGAAGAGGAAAGACATAGATTATCGAAAATAATAAAGAATGTTACATTCATAATTTCACTGCAGAATCTCAACATTATAGATTAAGTGGCTGGTTAATTAGTAAAAGTGGTAATACTGTGATTATTATATGATAGTAAACAGCAGCAACGCAACGACGACCCTGTGATTTTGCGTGCCCATTATACATTACACTAGTTTTATAATACTACTTAAAAGACATTTAGCCCCCAAACTAACGTTGGTCATTCAAGTCAGCGTAAATTTACTACACAATTTTAGTCTTCTATCGGAAGCATTTCTCAAGCAGCTTATTTCAACAGAAAAAAAAAACACAAAAAAAGACAAAAGAAAGACTAACAAAAGGATAATTATATATATCATTTGATTGGTTAACATCACAATCAAAGACTAAGAACAAGTTAAAACATCATATAATCCAAATTTAAAAGGTACTAAAAAAAAGACAAAATAAAGTGGAGGAGCTGACATATTTTCTTCAATTTTACTCCTCAACATTTCCATGCTGAGACAGCAACAAGTTCTTTCCTCTGCCAACACAAGACAAGTGAAGAAGACGAGTGTCTCTTCTCCAAATGAAATCCTCTCAACGGATTCCTCTGCAGCAAATACTCCGCCTGTGTCTCCGCCGACTGACTCAGCGTCACCGGAGAAAACCCACATTGCCCAAACAAGCCTCTCCACGGCGGCGATCTCTCCATCCAACGGTAACGATTTTCCAGCAATCTCTTTATCGACGGTTGCACACAAAACCTCTCGATACTCGTGGCAGCTTCCTCATCATTCTGATTCCCGGAAGCGTCGAGAGACTCGAGCAGAGATGTGTAGTACTGCAGCGCGTGGATCACACCGTTAGGAAACGGCGCGTCGTTGTTGCGGTCGCAGCTTCTGTCCGAGCAAACGACGACGTTTGGAGAGATTTGTTTCAGGAAACGAAGGATCAACGGAAGGTAACCGGAGACGACGGAGCTAATTGGAAGATTCACAGCGATTGCTTCTTTATCCGATGATCGGAGTAGAGAGAGAGGCCAACAGGTTGGATTCAACAGAGTCTCCATATTCAATAGCTCGATTTCGAAGGAAACTTCAGTTTCTGCTGCGAAGTTTCTGAGATTTTCTTCCGTGAATCTGAGCTCGAATTCGTCGGAGACAGTTGAAGGAGACGCGAAAGCTGTAATCTTTAACGACGGAGCTGATGATGATCTATTTCTTTTTCCGGCGAGCTCTTGAATCAGAGACGACCATTGACCTCCGTAACCGATGTCAAAATCGACAATGTGGATCCGATCAAACCCTTCCAAGGACTCGAGAATCGTCTGGCTTGCTGTGAAGTTGACGAATTGGAGAAACGGTGACGTTTCTGAGAAGGCTCTGTAAGCAGCGATTCGAAGGATTAGGGTTTGAGGGGATGAGAGAGACGGTGGTGAGTCTTGAAGCAGAGACTGGAGAGCTTCGGTTATATACAAAGCCGCTCTGTGAAACGGAGGTTTAGGATTGTTGTTAGTGTTGTTGTTGTTGTTAAGGTTGTGATTGAGCCGCGCCAATATCCCTTGCGCGAGAACGGGATTGCTATCTCCGCCGTTTTTGGTTCCGATTAGCTCCGCCGTCGCGTTGAATAGCTGGTCGATGATTACCGTCGACGACTGGGCATGCTCGTCTTCGTCTTCGGTTCCAGCAACTTTTGGCGGCGTGAGAAACGGGTCGTGAGATCCATGACCCGGATCCGAGAACGGGAAAACCCACTGGTGGTGGTGGTGATGAGAATCGGATAGTAGAGAACCGGGTTGACTCGAATTGAGCCGTTTTGCAGGAGGAGATGACCCGACGGAGAAAAAACCCGGATTTGGGTGTATCGGAGTTTCTGGGTTCGTCGTAATCTGAAACTTTTCTTCTTCTCCTGGTAGTGTTGGCTCGTGGAAAGGAAAGCCATAGCCAAACAGTGGGTTCGGATTATCAATTACCGGGTCGGATCCAGAAGCCGGGTTGAACCCCACGAACTCAGAACCTGGATCCACTACATCGCCGGCCATGATTAGTCTAAGAATACTCTGTTCTTGTCCCGGCGAGCCAGAGAGAACTCCGTCGAGATCCTCGAAACCCAATTGATCGCATTTCCCATCGGTGCCGGAAAAGGAACCAGCAGCGCCGCCGCTGGGACCACCGTGAGAGGAAGACAGCGTGGTAGTTGAGGAAGAGACGAAAGGACTTGGACTTCTAATAGAGTCTAAAACAGAGGTCGGCTCCGGGAAACCACCATTGTTGACACCGACAACATAACAGAGATCTTCTCGTCGTCCATGGATTTTCTCTCGATTCGTCCAGATTTTGTATTCCGGAGAAGAATCTAAGAAACCCAGAACCCCCTTCCCTTGAAATCCCTCAAAGGGTAGGGGCATGACCAATCCAGAATTAAGAGAGAGAGAGGGAGAGAGACAGGTCGAGTAAAAACAAACAAACCCAGGAAAACCCTAGATCTTAGAAGAGAAGAGGAAGACGAAGATGAAAGCTTGAAGTTGAAATTGGCGCCCACATTTTCTTTCTTCTCTCAGTGATAATAATAATCTTTATTTCTCTTTCCTTTCGTGTCTTCCCTCTAAATGCTTGCAATAACATACCAAAGTGATGATCTTCATCAATGCTCTCTCTCTCTAGGTTGATTTTATTTTTTCTTTTGGAAAAGGATTCTGTTTTTCCTGTGTGTGTGTGGTGCCTTGTGTCTGTAGATTTACTTATCTACATCTGTATCATTTCATATTCCCCTCCTTGCTAAGCCTACTCGCATTTCCAGCGCGTGACTCTTACTCTCTTTTTGGTCTTAATTTTCATTGATGTTTTTTTACAAAGATCTGTGTATTTGTTTTTTTTTTTTGGAACAACTATCTGTGTATTTGTTAAAAATAAGATTTAGAGCTTCCCACTACAAAATTATGATTTACCGTTTATTGTTTTATTTCTTGTTGAATATTTACTAAATCCAAGCCTAATCAGATTAAAAATCAGCAATAAACCATTGTTTACTCGAATATAAGTTTTTTTTGTATGTCTTCAAATAATTTAATTAAATCAGTGAATTTACAAGATTACATTTCAACATTTTACATATGTTAGTTACATATTTGTTTGTTCTATTTCTAGCTAACAAAAGGCGAATGGGAAATCAAATTAAATAATACTCTTATTTTGCCAAATAATGCAACTGAACCTAGAAATTAAACTTCTGTTTTTCTAACGAAACATTGTATAACCTACTGAACCAAAAAGGAAAAAAAGAATTTTCTAACTCAAACTGTACAGAAAACCTCCAAAAAAAGTGTCAGTTATCAGTTGATCGTCGTATAATTCAATGGTCTATAACATATATTGGAGAGGCGCGTTAAACACATCGATCTGAATCTACTGTATAAAAGATCTAAAACATATACCGATGTTGCAGAGCGAAAAGTGAATTTAACACAGATGGTTAATTTTTCCCATAATTACCCCTTATTTCGGAGAAGACGCTCGACCTGGAGAAGGGGTAACTCGGTAAAGTCAATGCAAAACAACTCTTGCAGGCTTGCAGCAGGTGGGCCGTGGCTTTGATTCCTGCCTTTGAAAATGAATCTAATGGTTGAGATTGTTTATGACTAAGGAACAGAATGGGCTGCCTCTAGATTTTATGTGTGTGTGTTTTTTTCATTTTTATTTAATAATCGCATAAATTTAACTATAAAATATAGGATGTATAGACTTGTTAGATGTAGTGCCCTTTACATGTGTTTGTTTAAAGTTAATTGTTTTTTCTTTGTCACAGTTTCTCGCATCTGTTACACGTATATTATCAATAAAACACATTGTTCTTGATTCGTATTAGTTTGTTTTGACAAGTTTATCAATTTATTGAAGTAAAATCATCAATTGATATGTATGTTATATTCATTTGTCAAATTGTGATCCTGTGATGTTGTAATGGTATCGTCGACATCTCACACACACTACCAACTTCAAAGATAAATTATCATACATCAATAGTACTAATATAAACGACTAATAAAGTCTAACATTAACCCATATGGTATTAGCAGGACAGCCTTTCTACATAGGATTAGATGCTCTGCGGAACTTAAGCAGTGGTCTAAAGTCTCTAAACTAAGACGTTGGATAATGAGTATGTGGGCATAACCAAATTTTGAGCCTTCGACCATGTATTTTTCTTTATAAAAACATACCATGTTAGAATACATAGATTATTTAGTGAAGGCATAAAATTTCTATAAAACTGATTAAAAATGAGAATATGTTAGTATGTCATTTGTACCATAGGTCCATAATTCGTATGATATGGTATTTAAACCATTTTATGTCTAAAACTATGGCGATTCTCTGTGATTTTGAAAAGAAATATCAAAAGTAATTTTTTTTTGTGGGTTAAATCAAAAGTAAAATTTGTTGACATACTTTAAATATTTAAGTAGCCGTTTATTGACGGGCAAGAGATAATAATAACGAAGAAAAACCAAATAAGTCCAAGACAAGCTTGGAAGTTTTCGTGGTTTGTGTATGAAAGGGAGACATTGCTTATGCGATTGCCCTAAAGATAACTCCACATTTCTAATTTTATAACCAAAACAATATAGAATAAATTAATCGTATTAATTGGATATTGTAATTATTAGAGACATGTTTTTTTTTCAAGACAAACAAGAAAACCCCATGTGAATTTCCACCACCTTGTAATATGTCTAACAACATGTATTCTATTAAATTATTACTTTTTTTGTGCTTTTTCTTGTGTTTAGGATTACAAAATTGCTTATATTTAATTAACTTAATCTTTAGGTGGTTGAGTGGCCAGAGGAAGGACACATCGACCGAGTGTTACCTTGCATACATACCCGCGATTCGGTTGCATGGAAATAATTAATACGGTTAGTATAATACAAAAAGGTTAATAAATTACAGCTAACGAGATCAACGTAGAATACACACCATTCTAAAACATTTAACAGTGAAATACGAAGGTTCAAAGAGAAAGCTGTCGTCAACCAATTTCCGTAATGAAAATGAAGATGTTCAAGATTATATTTATTTAACCTATTTGGCTACTCTGTCCGAAGATAGCCTGTATTTAAAATTCATAACCAATTTATAAAAATAAGAAAATTAAAAAAAAATGTTATAGAGCTAAATAGATCACCCCTATATACTTAGGTGAATGTGAAACAATACGAGTTAGATAATCACATTCAACATTCAGACTACTAATTATTATAAATATATAAACGAGAAAAAATATATAAATTCCTCAAAATAGATGTGCTTGTCTTTTCCTGTTCTCCGACCTCTCTAGTCACCATTAAGAGTTTTAGTTTTGATTCAGGAATTTCAAGGGGGTCAACTCAGATGAATCAGGTCCGGATCATGTCATATCCAATTCACAATCAAAAACAAGGACCGTGTAAGTTTTTATATATAACAAATTTTGTTAACCTTTGGTTGGTTTATTATTAATATCAATTGCCTTAAGAGGCACATAAATTGTTGGCTCGATTAGAAAAATATATACATACTGACGGCAGAAACAATGCATAAAGTATAGATAGTGATAGATTGTATGAACTCATGATTTGTCAAGACAACAACCAACAGAACCATGTTGTATTAACCTTATTTTTAATGTTCAAACTATATAAAATTAGTGATTGACACAGTGTTAACGTCCCTATGTTATTATTTTTAATATCAAGAAACAGTTGACAAAAATAATTAGATGAACAAATCCGACCGGGGCATGGCACTATTACTTAATCTATTACATGGAGTAATTAACTACTATTATGGTTTTCAAAATTTGTTGAAGGCTAAAAAAGTTCAGTAAGTTTCGAAGCGAAGAATTTAATCTGGATCCGTTGTTTTATAAATCCAATAAAACCAGAGTTGGATTAAAGAAAATTGGATATTTGTCTGTTATAAAGAAAACATTCATTACTCGAAGCTTTCGAATAAGTTTACGAATAACAAGTTGGGCCAATACTGATGGCAGTCTTATAATGGGCTTTAACGACCATTTGATTTTCATTACTTTGTGCTAACTAGCTATGAACCTTGGTCCATATAAATAAATAACATTAAATTCGTATTTGTCAAATCAATTAAAGCTCTAAACGTTCCTTAAACCACGTTAACTTGCCTAATAAAAACATATCAAATGACTCGATTGTTAGTCCGTAATCCGTATATGGTCAAGTATAAGCTGACGTGTCTTATAATCTTGCGGTAATCTAAAAGGAAAAAGGAACGCGATTTTTTATACCCTCACGGCCTCACACACACAACGTCTTATGTAATTGTAGCGATCGCAGTCGTCAGTTTCAGAGATATCATTCAATCATTTAGAATTAGAATCCGAAGTTTGAAACCTAATCAACTCCTCCCACAATCTCTTCCTCTTCTGTAAGTTTCTCTGTTTTGATTTCTTTGAGTTTACTCTGTTTGACCATTACCGAAATTTACAGAGATAAGTGGATTCCGAAGAAAAATATTAGGGTTTTGTGCTGGGATTTGGTGAATATCGTTTTCTTTAGTGTAGATCGGTGATTTTCGAACTTTTTTTTCTTTCAAATATATAGTCAGGACACACAAAAATGAACAAAAGCAGCTTCAAGCAAGACCACGATTTCGGTAAAACCATCTTATTCCACTAATTCGATTGTGGTTTGTTGAAATTTGTCATACATATGTGATCATATTCTTACTGATGTTGATGATGATATGCAGAAAAAAGGAAAGCTGAGGCTTTAAGGATCAGAGAGAAGTATCCTGATCGAGTCCCGGTTAGTGATAAAAAAAAAAACATCTTTGAGATTTTGATTCTGTTTTCGAGCTTTGTCTTTATGTTCTGAAATTGCCTATATGTATGAATAATCCGCCTAAATCGGCCATAGATTTTGTATGATATCATAGGTTAGTTGGGATTGATCTCATACGAACATACCCAACTTGTAACTTAGATGCTCTTGTGTGGAGTTCAAATCTTGATTGATTGAAATCGTGCACAAGAACACTATGATAGATTTATCTGGCTTTCTCTGAAAAGATTTTTGTATTATAAGAAGGCCTGAGTCTACAATGAAAACCTCTTATTGTCTCTTTTGTAATAGGTGATTGTCGAGAAGGCTGAGAAAAGTGATATCCCAAACATCGACAAGAAGAAGTATGTTTGATCTCCTCTTTAGTTTGAATTATACATACCTTCTTTAAATAATATGATCCACAGGATTCCTAAGATTGGAAATAATTGATTTCATTCTTCCTTATTCTTGGATTGGATTCACAGATTCCTTGTCCCAGCGGATCTGACGATTGGCCAATTTGTGTATGTAATTCGCAAAAGAATCCAACTTAGTGCAGAGAAAGCTATCTTCATCTTTGTTGATAATGTTCTTCCTCCCACTGGTATTTTGTCTTCTTAAGTCTCTACTTAAAAAACCCTTAATTTTGTATTGAATGGGAAAACTTGATTTGTAGGAGCGATGATGTCAACGATCTACGAAGAGAAGAAAGAAGAAGATGGATTCTTATATGTTACCTACAGTGGGGAAAGCACATTTGGATCATCAATAGTTCTATGAATCTGATAGAAAAACCGATCTCAAGCTTCATAATTTCCTATCGAATAATTTGAATTTGATGTTCTTGCTTTTTAGTGTAATGTAAATATATTCAGTTCTCTTTTTTGTTCAAAACTTCAAACAGCAAAAGCTCTCGCTTCTGTTTATCTCTACCGGTTTTCGAAACAAGTTTTTTTAATTCAGTTTGGTTTTGTTTATAATTTGGGTTCGGTTCGTTTCGGTCGAAATGGTTTTTTAGCTTATCATTGGGAAATTAAGAGTTTGACCCGCCAATTCCCGGTCTAGCCCACGGTGGATATTGGGCTTTATCGAGACATGGTGGGCTTCGTTTGTACCCGATTCGAATTCGATGTTGCATTAAAAGACAAATCACATGGGAAGCACCACGTGTCATACTTTGCGGCAATGGCGGCTTGGGGTTGCGGTTAGGGCACGACCTTTGGGGATTTCACGAACAACATAAAAACAGAGCGGTGATGGTCCACGCACACTTGTCTGCTGCTTTGTGGACCCCATTTTGCTTCTGGTCCCACACGTTCTTTACTCTGCTTTTCTCCTCTCCATAATGCATTTTTCCTCCATGTCAACTATTAAACTATACCTTATGTTTCTAAATGCATTATTTGACAAATATGTCAAATATTCTTCTTTTTTTTTGGTTTCGTATGCTATCGCATCACAAAATAACAAAATCGTGTCATGTTGCATAAGTGTCAATGTGTGTGTTTAACCATGCAGATGTTTTCTCCTTAACACGTTTTTTAGATTTCTTTTATTTTTATTTCTGTTTGTTCAGGAAAGCGTCGGATCGATATCACTGAAGAATTGAACAAGTTTCCACAAATCTTATCAAACGTCCAATAAATCATTGAACCAAATTCAGCATTGAGTTCCTATCGTATTTTGTAAGATTTAGTGTCAAAAGGCGTTTCAGACATTTCCCTATTGAAATACAAGATTTTAGTTAGTGCGTTTTGTGAGATTTTGAGTAGGTTGATAATAAGTTATATATGTATACTCACTATTATTCTGAAATGTCTTCAACCATAGTAGCATCAGATGCTATTGTTTGTCTTACTCTTCACGTAACGTCAAGCAGATATATAATACCAATTTTGTTAAGACTTTTGGGGTTTTAGCAGACACTACCAGTGTCCATGCACTTGTTGAAAACATCAAACTATGTCCCTCAGTGATTAGAAGAATATAAATTATTACTTTATTAGCATTAAATATTTATAGCAATATTTGCTATTAAGTCATCGCAATGCAACAAAATAGCTAGGTGGTTGAAACGTCACTGTGTTCACGTAGACATGAACAATCGAACATGTATCATGTATAAATTGACCAATATATATCTCAATGTAATAATACATCTAAAAACACATGTAATCTCAGAAACATCAAAAGACCGTTGCGTAATTAGTAGTTCTTATCAACAAGAAATCACATATAATATCTTATACATATAAACCATTTGACTTTGAATAATGCGCAACTTAATGAATACTAAGCCATGCATAGAATGAATAAAAATAAAACACACTTGGTTCAAGGTTGTTTTGAAAAAATGTCCTGCAAGCGTTGATAAGATCCATAATCGGCTTTTATAGCCCGTTTCATGTTCCAGTTAATGATGAAAATAAATACGTACGTTTTGTTTACACCTGATAAAATGGTATAATCCGTTTGAAGAATGTTTGGCCGAAAAAGACTGCTTACTTTTCTCTTATCTCTATTAGAAATATCGAATTTTACGCGTATATTAAGCTTTCCGATAAACACACACATGGAGATATATTAAAGAGAGAATAAAAAACTGAATTGGGAGACAAAGTGAGAAAGGTAGCGTAAAACCATGCAAATTGTTCAAAGGCCTCAACGTAAAGACAAAGAGGTAGGAGATTTAAACCCTCTTCTTGGGATAAACAACGAAGCATATGCATCAAAAACCCTAATTCTCCTTTTTGCTCGTTTCAATGGCTAGCTAGATTTTCGCCCTATTATTAATAGACGTAATATAAAAATATATATTAATTCGGTAAGCGGTCAAATCTGAGGATGCATGCTATAACTACGAGAGAGAAGGCACAAGTCTGGTCTTTTCTCTTTCGTTAGGTTACTCTGGTTTGGGTCGGTGGATTTCTCAGAGACAGAAGAGGGGGCCACACACACACCATATCTGACCTTCACTACTCTTTTCTTCTTCTCACCCATACATTTGCATGTTCTCTCCTTTGCTTCTACCATCAACGACTCTTTCTCTCTTTCTCCCTCTCTCTATATCTGCATTTATTACGCAATCTCTCGGCCTTAAGCATTTATAACAATCAAGATATCTTAAAACGGCCATCTCTATCTATCTATCTCTATATATATTTTTGTATATTGATCTGCAACGGTCGGTTATAATCGAAGTCATCTCTTTGATCGCTACCATTGGCATGAATATGCCGAGGACTATTTGCTTTTATTTCCTTTTTATCGTTTTTGTCATCCTTTCTCGGACTAGCTTATGCAATTCCCGCCGCCTTGGACCAATGGAGAAGAAACTTGGTGTAAACCGTGATCACTTGATTGCAAAGGTACGCTCCTTTACATTCTGATGTTAATTACAGTCTCGGTTGTTATTTTGTATGATGTTAGTGTTCCTGTTTTTTTGTGTGTGTGCAAATGATATTTGGGTATATTCTTTATAGAAAAGTTTTGAATAACTTACATGCGCATAAACATATATAGCTATGAGCTATCTAACAAGGAAAAATAGTTCTTGATCATTGATACTAAAATCGGTATACAGTAGACAGTCCGTTATTTTTTGTTTTTTGGGTGAAGTCCCTTTTTTCTAATGTGCAACTACTTCATTTATATACAAGGTTCTTAATTTTTAAACTACTTTTATTTTTTTTAATCAATTCTTGATTGAAATTCTTTTTTCATTTAAATATGTTCAGAACAACTTGAATCTATAATCTGTATGTAGGGTCTAAACACTACTTAAGTCAAATCCCAAGTCTGGGAGCAAATTATATGGTCAAGTACTAGTGTAGCTAATTTCACATAATTTTCATAAAATTTCCTTAATTATGTCTAATCGGGTTTATTTCAAACGTCATATACACCGTAATTAGTTGAATATGCATATTGAAAAATATTTTAACAGAAAACTGTTAAACACACGTAAACAAGATAGTTTTCTGTTGTCGTTTTTTGATAAAGAATATTGATGTTTTTTTTTTCCATGTCACAGAAAATTGAGGAGATTAAAAGCCTTGAAGCACCGTCAACAAACGAGACGAAAATCCACTCGAGCGAAGCACCGATCGAACATGCCGTAGTTAATCGTGGTCGTATCAATGGGAAGAGTAAACATCACAGAGTAAAAAGAGCTTCACAAGACAAAACGGAGCCGACTAAAAGAGCATCGAGAACTTGGAAGGTTCCCAAATATTCAACGAAGCAACCTAGATCAGATCAAGAACATCCCGGATTCAATCTCGATTATATGCAGCCCACCATGCACCCGCCTCATCATAATTGATACTTTAACGACCATACAACAACTCCATCAAATTTTCATATTGTGCTTTTATATATAATAACCAAAGTCACGAAGAACTTCCTCATTTCGACTCGTTTAATCTGTGGTCAAAACGACCTAGTTTTAAGCTTTCTATTTAAAATGTATATTTAGATTAGTGGAAACAGTTTCTTGATATTGTTCAATACACTACGCCGTTCGCATTTCTTGATTTTGTGACTATGCCACGCTTTCATGCGCATATAATGATGCGTTATATTTACTCGTCTTTATATGCACATGCATGGGTGCCTATGTTGTGTTGTGATAATACTAGCTAGATATAACTTATATACAAGTATAGAGTATGTACTGTATATTTGTTGTTGTTAACAATTTCTGTTATTAAGGTACGAAATGTGATAGACTAATTCATTGGAGTTTGATTGACGACCGCGAGAAGTTTTTGAAAGACTTGATCATGATGCATGGTTACGTATTGGTGTCCATTAAACATTTATAGAAGCTAGCCTGACAAGTTGGCAGTAAAGTAAAACCAAACAAAAATTGCCAGCTAATTAAGTGCCAAAAACCATATAAGTTATCTTGACTTAATGGTTTATAGTAAATTTGATATGATTTTATAATATATTTTCGTTAGTTTTATCATTTATATATATAATGTCATCAGAACTGAGCCAAAGTTATGTACTCAGTATGTATAGTATCATATTGAACTCAGTGGACCTTAAAATAGTAATACTACTTGCATCCGATTCTTATTAAAAAAAAAAAAAAGTGTTCATCCGATTAAAGAAAGCATTCCCACCACTGTCTACTCGTATATATATACGGATGAGTTCGCGTGCACTGTCACTATTAACGATGTCCAAAAAAAAGACGAAGATCCCGCGTTTGGTTCCAATGCAATCAGGTGTCCCAAATCGACGTCTCTTAAGTTTAATTTGACTTATGTATTTCAAAATCATATAATAATGCAAGCAATTTTTGTATATTATTTCTCATCAAAAACGTTGCTTATTTGATTTTCCTGGAAACTTCGTGTTTTATTTGCCTTCTCTTTCCCGCAACGTTATCCTTTTTTTTGTTTTGTTTCTTTATCCGTAAAATCCCGTAACGTTATCTAATTTCAAAATTTGGGAGGTGAGATGTGATGTAATTTATTATCACCTACTTGAGTACAGGGCCCATTTATTAGTTATGGTTATTAGTTATGGGCCATAAGCCCAGTATATCTTGTGCGACCGAGAATAGAGGAAAGGGCGATCCGGCTTCAACTTTCCCGCCGGGAAATTTTGGAACTTCCAATTTTGTAAAACCTAAAGCGACACGAAGGGGATTAACATAGTGAGGGTGGAGATTGAGAGTTTCGTAAAGAATGGAGGGAAAGCAAGCTGGGTCTTCTCTTGATCTGTTGATAGCTTCGTTCAACAAACGAATCGGCGAGTTGCAGGAACTCGTCATCGCCCGGAACAGTGAGTCGAATTTCAACACTCGCACATAACTCGTTCTTCTCTCCGTCTGATGAATTAATTTTCGATTTTTCTTTTTGTAGTGTATCCGGCGAGCAGTATCCCGGATTTGACGGCGATCGATACGGCGTTGAGCTCTATGGAGCTTCAGGTACAATCGATCAAGGACCGATTGCGTGAAGAGGCCGAAGCTATTCCGAAAGCCAAGGTACGATTTGTTTGCTTCCGAGATCTCAAATGCAGCCATTAACCTGTAAGATGATCTCAATTCGATGTATTGAGTGATGTAGGGTTTGGAATCTGGAACTGGGTTTTGTTCTATATCCTGAAATTTTGAGGAATTCCTGTTGTTTTGTAGAAACTTATAGAGGCATCACTGAAACAGCAAGGGAAATTGCAGAAGATGTCTGTTTATGCACCGTCCCATTTTCCTGATAAGACTACAATGTTGAACTCTGATATCAATAGATGGTACTCGCCTTCTTTTCAATATCCTTTGATTTTGTTTATTTTTAGCTAATCCAGAAGGTAGACTAAGATTAGTGGGTTTCTATTCCAGTTTGCTCCAAGAAAATGTAAAGCACCACGAACAAAATTCTGCTCTAAGCTCTTTGAAATATGAGGATGAAGCAGCTGTTTTACCCAAGGTAGAACCTGCATATACTTTTTTTGTCCAGAGAGACTCTATGGCCTTCAAGACTCAATGGCTATGATATACTTTAGCTAGTATTGCATTCTATTATGGTTAAATCTCTGGGTTTCGTTTCCAGGAGAAGAAAGGTCGCGGGTCTCCTCCGCTCTGGTACATAACTGTTGAAGAACTGAATTCCCTCTCGTCGTAAGTACATTTTACCTTTTTTCCCCCTCCTTGTTATGCGAAATGCGTATTGCTTTTTTGAGATGTTTCCTCAATAATAAAAAGATACATGAGGGGAAGGCTCACCCTTGAGAAAGTGAATGCGGCAATCAGTGATATGGCTTCATATGCAGAAGCAAATGCTCATCTTATTGCAGCCCCAAAACAAAAGGTATCACATATGTTATTCTCTATCATCTGCGTTTTTGCGGATTTGATATATATCTGCTTGTACTGACTGCTGCTTGTTATATTGCGGAGCTGGCGGAAAATCTCTGGGAGAAAGCACTGGTAATATATTTCTTTTCAAGGATTGATTGTTAGTTATTTATGGATTCTTATGCTGAAAATCTTGCTGAGATTGTAGTGAGATAGGCAACTGATTATCTTGAAACTCTGATATCTAGAAACTACGAGATATTGTAACAGCCGGATCAGTAAAGGGCAAACATTTCTTTCTTGAAACTGACATGAAGGGACCAATGTTGAAACTAGACAACACAGGCAAAGCAATACTTACGGTAAGTATTATCTGCTTCCTTGATTTCAACAACAAACGACATTTCGTATGCTTCCTTTACTCATCACCAGAAATAGATAATACTTGAGAATTGAGATGCATAGTCATTGTCAACTTCTGTTGTCTTGAACAGGTTCTTCGACACCTAGGTCGTATTAGTGAGACTCGCATAGGTCAAAATCGCGTCATCATTCTTTTGAAGCCTCAATAGAATGTCTACTCGTGCTTTGAATGCATTAGGCCTAATCTTACGCTGTTCTGCTCGACAGGCCCAGCTAGGCCCAGAATTAAACTATTGTGACCTTTAAATTGCACGAATTTGTAATATGGACAAAATATTTTAAACAATTTCTCCTATTTGCACAAAAGTAGTAAAACTCGATTTCCGTTACTTCGTCATATTTCAAATGTAATTTCTTTCAACCTAAATTATTTTATTATTTCTGGTTCAAGTTCCAGTGCACAAATGGGCTGTCCCATTCAAATCGACAAAGTTGCAAATCTCGGTTTCTATTTTTATTTAGTGACTTTTGATTTAGCTGCATACATAGTTTATATATATATGCATAAACCTCTAGGATCGTATGTGTTTGACTGCCTTATATGTCTATTATATGTCGATATTTGAGTTCTAAAGTTATGTTTGTTTTTTAAACGAACTTGTAAGCAAACTATTACTGTTGACATGGTTAGAAAATTTAGTTGTCATTTATTCCGAACAGAACAAAACATTAGTATTCATATGTATCATATATACAATATGTCCAGAACAAGAAAATACAAAGAGGAAGTAAGAAATAGAATGGAGAAGGTGGTCCAGGAAAACAGGAGACCAAAGACTATTTGCCTCAGAAACATTCACAATTTCACGTTTATCTATAATGTCTGTCCCAATTTTTTTTTGTCTTCTTTTCTCATATAAACCAATTAATCCATTTTAGTCATCTTTCGTTCGTGCAATGACAACACAAATAATGCATAAAGACAAACCACAAACACTCTTACCGTAATTCATTAATTATCAACCAAATATTACTATCAAAAACTACTTCATTACTAGTATAGTATGTTGTAACCTAAATTTTTTATTTACAAGAAAGAGACAATCATAAATTCTCTGCAAACACGTTTTAGACTATAGAGTTCTCCATTACCATTTTACGGTCGTCTCTTTTCAAACGTATCATTTAACTCAGCCAAGAAAGATATGGTCGGCCCAATGCATTTAATGATTGAAATTTTAATCTCTGAGTTGAGAATTTATTGCTTCGCCGCAGTAAAATAGTAACAAATCTAGGCGGCCTTAATAGTGAACTGAAAATGCAATCATGAAGTAAGAGAATCACCCCCTTGAACGTTTTAACAAGTAAAAAAAAAACATAATAAAAGTGGAAGCAATATAACGGACTATACGAAAATATGTTTCATTTTTTTAAGAGTATTTAAATAGTTTGAAAATAGATAACATAGAATTCCCCCGTTACGCGGTACACAGACCAGACAAAATCAGGAGAGCTCCATTTTTCTTTCTCTAGTATCTATTTTTGATTCCATTTTCTACAAAACCTAAAACTCGATTTGATATTTGGATATTGATTTTTTGTTTTTAATAATTAGACTATGTTACGTGTATTCATTCTACTTACCACTTCGACCAAATTCCCACAAATCCACACGGCCTAATAGAGGGGAGCTCGTTGCGGCAGCGTATTCTTCCGTCGGTTTAAAAAGTTCGCCGGAGCTTCCGTGTTAGTCTCAGAAACCACCGTCGTGACTCTCCGGCAAGTCGTCGACAAACTGCTTCTTTTCTTCCGAACGATTTCAGTTGTAGCGGTGCAAGCGAGCGCCTGACACCAGAACATGTCTCCGCCTCCGTGACCGCCTGACCCGGAAGATGTTCGGGCCGACCCGGTGGGTTCAAGCGTGGAACTCGGCGTCGTTGTCGTGACCTCGTCGGTTAAAGGAAGAAATTTGCAGATGCGAAGAAACCCAGAGAGTCCTCTTTGTCTCATTATGACGTCACTAATCTACAAAAGCAAACAAAGAGACAATTAATTACGTGCGAATATGATCGTACACGCGTGTGATTAATGGTACATCGAAAAGGAACAAACAAAAAAAAAAAGAACATCGACCCAGATAAAGAAAAGCTGCGAATTGAATTGGGTATTCGAAAGAATTTGAAACGAAAACGTAATCAAAGAGAAAAGATTATCCTTAAATTTAGAAGCAGACCTTGCAGGAGAGAGAGCAGAAAACGTAAGGAGACTGGAGACTCCGGTCACAGGTGGTGCAAAAGTTGCCGGAACCACGAAACTGTCGAGAGTGAGGTCTTTCATTGATGAACACAACTTTTGAACTGTTCGTTGTGTATGGCTTTAATCATCATCATTAACACATACACACAAAACGAAGAAAAAAGGACGCGTATTAATGGAAAAAGATTAATAGCTGTAGATTTAGGGCACTAGAACCCATGAAAATTGGCTTCCTTTTGTTACAATAATGGATTATGAGATTTTTAAAGGGTAAGAAATTAGGAAAATTAATTACAGGATTTGTGAGAGCACACCAACAAACCTGAATTAAAGAGCAGTCCATTAGTTTCGAACCATCCTCTACCCTCAAAACGTCGTTATACACATATCTTCTTATCTGCAAAAGATTCCCCAGGAACAGAAAGTTTAAATCTTTCTCGATAAATTGATTTCTATTTCTAAGAAAAAGTGAAACTTTTGTATCTTAAAAAGAGGACCTGAAGAAGACGATGAGAGGTATGTGAAGGGACACAGTGAGGGCAGATGCTAAGGCAACAATCGACACATAAAATGTTCTTCTCGTTCTTCTTAACATCTTCATGCTCCAGACAAGCGTTGAAGAACTTCTCTTTTAACAAAACCTCAAGCCATGCAGGAAATTCCCCAGTTTCCATCTGCCAAATTGAAAATTACCAGACCCAGAACATCAAAAAATAAAAAGAGAGAGAGACGGAGAGAGAAAGAAAGAGCGGCGAATTTGAGTGGTGTCTTCTGAGGGAAGTGAAATAAGTAAGGTCAGGGTCAGGTCAGGCGAATTTGAGCTCTCAGTGGTGAAATTGACTCACCATTCCCAGAAAGAGAGAGAGAAAGAGAGAGAGCGGCGCCTGGAGAGAGTGACCACTAGCTTAATTTAAATGAGTCATCTCGTCCTTTCTTCGAGTCTAGGATGTGCAATCTCTTCGTTAATTAATGTGTTTTGGTTAGTTTAAAGGTGATTTGTTGATTCTTAGATTTTTAATTGTATCATTATAGAATTCGTTTCACTTTGGATCAGGTCAATCTTAGATTACGTATAGATGATAATACCCGATGATGAGAAATGAGAATTAGGGTAATTATCGTTCGCTCAATAGTTTTAGATGAAAAGACCTTTCTTATGGAATATAATTATACGAGAAAAGGTTAAAAATGGTTGATAATAAAGTATCATAGTACAATTTAAAGTAAAAGATCATCATCTTCTCGTATTTGACAGTCAAAATAATTTTTAATGCCGTACCTGTTTATATTGATCTATCCCACAGTATTATAGATAAAATTTATACTCTAAAAGATAGTCCGTCTGTTTGTAATCTCTACGAAATTATATTAAATATAGATTTTAAAACCAGTGTTCGTTCAAATAAAATAGAGTGTACTGTTTCCTTGAAAAAGATATGAGAGCTGTTACCAAAAAAAAAAAGATATGAGTTTTGAAAAAATTTCAAATCATATTACAACGAGAATTTTGTTCGTTATATATTTCATTTTTTGCTCCCTGTCTGGTAAACTGTGCAAAAGTGCTAAATGACAAGGCTCTCTCCAACAGTCTACTCTCCATTTCTCAATGGCAATTTCGTAGAAACAGACATAATAACTAAAAACAAATTTCTGTTTTTACTGTTTTTCTTCAAAATAAATAAGCTAATAAATGATATGAATACTACCCAATTCAGTATATCAAGTAGCTAAGAAAGATTAAAGAAACACCATTAGCATCCAAACAAAATACTGTAATAAACTAAGCAGCATTTATAACCAAAAACATAAATGTTTTATAATTTGTACTACAATTGAATATAGGGAAAAAGAAAAATATGGAGTATGAAAAATAGAGAGCAAATTCCAAGAAGAAAGAGAGCCTAAGACCTCTTGTCACAGCTGTAGACTCTTCTCGAAAACCAGTGAGAAGTGGATGCATGGGCTTTATTAGTTCTTTGCTTATACTACTAAAAATACCTACACACCTCACTAGGCCACCTATATTATACTAGAAAAATAATTAAAATAATCTCAACTATCAATTATAATAGTACGATTTTCTTAAATAAAAAACAGTAATAAATTTAAGAAGGAAAAAAATAAAAATAAAGTGTATATATGTATATATATATATATAGAGAGAGAGAGAGAGGGACAGAGAGGTGGATCAGAGTTTGGTACGGAGGAGAGCAGCCTGAGGGGCAGAAGACGACGCCCTCTGCTTTTGATCTGATCCGATTCGGTCCAGCTGTCCTTTTTCTCGTTAAAGCCTTTAGTTAAAGGATCAGGGTTACTTTCGTCAATTTATTTATCTATACAGGCTTGGGCTTTTACACTTCGGTTTGTGCTACTATTTTTTAAGGCTCGTTTCGTATTCTGATATGGGGTTCATAGTTTTATAACACTCACATTTTTCCTCCATCGAATACAACAATTAGGTAGGTTTCAACTCGATTAACCGATCCAAATCTAATGTAACAAATTGTCTATTTGAAAACCGAATTATATCTTAATTAATTTGATTCTAAATATTAAAACATTTTCAAAATTGAATTGATGATTTCTCTAAGAAGTTATTAGGCAAAGTCATATCATATTATATGTTGATTGTTACTGTCTTTTCACAACCCGAAATCAATGATCACAACAGCAGCACACAGACAATCAATGTTTTTATAATTTGTCAAACGACGTCGTTGAAGAACGAACTTTTATCTAACAAGTAACAACCGAAATCGTTGGTAACCAAATGGTCAAATGAGAACTAAGGGAGAGTGACATACGACCCACGATTTTGTCTTCATACTTGATTTGATGTCCCACAAGATATAAATGGATAAATATAACTGTGCATGCCATTGTGGAATTTTCGCATACTGGTGTGATAAATGCGGACTGGAAAAAAACAATCCATTATAGCTATTTTTTGTTTTGTTTAATTTTTAACCTTCTCAAAATGTAAATTAAATGGCATAAAAGCTTATCGAATATAGCTTAAAATACATATCCAAGGCAACTAAAATTTTATGTTAAATCGTCTATGTATTTGTTTTTTGGTCTCACTAATATACTTCATGTGGATTTGAATTCGGATAATAACATGACAACACACTAGCATAAATGATAAATCCCTAAATTACCTACATACATCATAGTTAATTCGTTTTTATATTCACAATTAACTCGATCTATAAATATATATAAATTTTCGAAACGCAGTCAAAGTACATTTGAATAATGAAACACGATTAACATTCATATTTATATAAGAGCGAATTTAAGTGGTTAGAGAATTTCAGAAATTACCTTGGAATATGCAAGGGCTATATTAGAATGGTTAACAGAATGATTAAGCTCGGCATCATTCTTTTGTAATTCGAAATGATTAGGGATATTCTTGTATCGACCATGTCTAGATGCTGTGACTGTCATATTGGTATGTCTTGTAGCAGAACAAGGTGAAAAAAGCATTATTTTTGAGTTGACAAAACTTTGAGAAATGTCGATGTGATAAAAAATTTTAAACACACGTGTATCTTTTCTAGCGGCAGATGTTTAAAAGATAAAGCCTGAATTTGTGTTGTGATTAACAGTTAACACACATAAATTAGATAGAACCGTGAATGTTAACTAACATGGTAATAACTAATAAACAATTAGCACTAAAAATGTTTGCTAAAAGCATCACAAAGACATGAAGAAAAGGGAAAAGATAAAGCAAGAATCTGGGAGATGAGTTTTGGAAGACATGTCTTTGTAAAGGTATCTTCAAAGCTATGATTAGTCTCAGTGGTCAATAATCAAAGTTTTATACCAGTAAAGGCTTGGTCCCAATAATATGGATCAATAACCCTTTTTCACCGTATTTATAGTAAAACTATCGGTATGACCACTAAAAATAACAAGGGGGATGTTGAGATCTTAATTAGTTGGTAATCCGAGTATTAAATATTAACGATGAATAGTATGAAAGATAAAAAAGAATGTAGAAAGTGCATACCACACTTAATTTTCGTGCCGTTCACATTTATAGATACACGAGTGTTGACAGTAAACGTAGACGTAAGGTTAAAACTTAAACTCTTCCTTAAATCGAGACCGATTTATATCCAATCTGATTTATCGACCATTAGCAAATTACATTAAAGAATAAAACTAACCTAATCTTAACAAAACAAATAAATTCTCTGAAGAAATTACTTAGCCATTGATGTTCTCTGTTACGCAATTGGTATTGCCGTATAGTCGTTCTAGCAAATTCTTACTTACTTGTTACCGTTAACCAAATCATCAAAAGTCAGCGGAATTAGATATGGGCGTGAAAAGAAAAACACAACAAAATTTAAATAAATCTCTGCTTTATGTTAAAAAAATAACTAAAAAGCAAAAAAAAAAAATATACAGCGGAAAGGGAAAGGCTTTGTGCATTCCTTTCTTCCAATGCATCCAAAGCACCATTAATCCTTCAAGCAAAATACTTACAAGTTTTGACTGTCTCAGGGGCTGGGCAATCAAAATCAAGTCTTCTCTTTTCTTCAGAAATCGATTTCGATTTTGTGGGGAAAGGATACATTTTTGCTTTTTCTTCTTCTTCTGGTTGCGCATTTCAGCGATGCGGGAAGTGGAAACATCGGCAATCACAGCTCCTCCACAATTCTCTGCGATGTTTCAGAAACTAGCCATGGCGGTCAAAACCAAGACATACGAGTTCTTCACCGAAGACGGCGAGAGGGTCGGCGTCGATTCCGATGCGGAGGGCTTCGCACTCCTTGACTCTGCCGAAGATTTCATCACCGATCAGAAAGTCGTCGTCCTCAAACCCGATAGACCTCTTAGTGCCAAAACCCCTTCTCCAGGATCTCCGGTGAATGATGCTCAGACGAGGATTCTGGTTAAACCTAATCAAGTGAAGCTTTCTCAGGTTAGGAAATTGGATACCCAGATGGGATTGAGTTTGATTTCTTCGGTTTTCGCGACGGTATCGTCTTTTGAAGCTTCGTATCTTCAGTTGCAAGCCGCACACGCGCCGTTCGTCGAGGAAAGCGTCAAGGCTGCTGATAGAGCTCTCGTCTGTAACCTCCAGAAATTGTCTGATTTGAAGCAATTTTATAGAAACTATCGGCAAAGTTTGGATTTTGAGTCTGATTTAGCGATTGGGTCATGTTTAGAATCTCGGGTGCAGGAGAATCAGAGCAAGCTTAGAGCTTTGGAAACGGTGTCAAACCGGTTACAAGCTGAGATGGACGCAAAGGATTTGCAAGTGTGGAGTCTGAGGAACAAATTGGGTGAGATTCAGAAATCTAACTCGAAGTTGTCAAAGAGATTGTCTGCAAATTCCAAATCATCATCCACGGATGTTCTGTTATCGGTTAGGGTTTATGAGTCTCTATTGCATGATGCCTTTAAAGCTATACAGAAGTTCACTAAGATTCTGATTGAATTGATGGAAAAAGCTGGGTGGGATTTGGATTTAGCGGCAAATTCTGTTCATCCTGAGGTAGAGTATGCGAAGAAGGGACATAATAGGTATGCATTGTTGTCGTATGTTTGCTTGGGGATGTTTCGAGGTTTTGATGAAGAAAGATTTGGTCTAAATGAGAATGATGAAGAAGAATCTGAGACGTGTTCTTCAGGTTCTTCGTTGAGGGAACTGATGCAGCATGTATCGAGCAATCCAATGGAGCTTCTTGAAAGAGATAAAGATTGTGGATTCTCTAGATTTTGTGATAGCAAGTATCACGAGCTCATTCACCCGAACATGGAATCTTCGATATTCAGCAACATGGATCAAACCGAAGCGGTGTTGAGTTCTTGGAGATCACTGAGCACATTCTATGAGTCTTTCGTCACAATGGCTAGCTCTATTTGGACACTTCACAAGTTGGCCTTGTCCTTTGACCCTGCGGTTGAGATTTTCCAAGTTGAGAGCGGAGTGGATTTTTCGATTGTTTTCATGGAGAATGTCTTAAAAAGAAGACAAGATAAGAAGTTGTCGATGAATCCTACTCGAGCCAAAGTAGGATTTACTGTAGTTCCCGGGTTTAAAGTCGGGTGCACGGTGATCCAGTCTCAAGTTTACCTTACCGGCTTCAAATGTAAATGAAAGAGACCAATGGTTAAACCGTCGCTCAAAAGCTTCTACTGGGACTTGGCAGCTCGATGACTACAAGTGTTATAACCTTTTTACCTTCTTACGTATGTTGATTAACTGTGTTCTTCAAGTTTGGTTTGAGTTCTTGATTGCGTTTAAAGTGTATAGAAAGCTATGTTGATTTTTTCTTCCTTGGGATCAGAACTAAGTTTGAATTGCAAAGAATTAATTTGTTTATCTTCATCTTAGTAAAGCTGTAATAGATTGATTATCAGATGGGATGTTCAAAAGAAAAAAAGATTGATTATCAGATTGATTGGAGCCAGTCACTATGAAGAGACTGCAATTAAAATCCAGCGGGATTTGAATTTCTTTTATGAACGCTATTTCTTACAATATGCAGTACGACCAAGAAAACTGCTCTAGTAAAATGTTCTTAAACCAGTGAATAATGAATACAAATTCCTAAAAGCCTTACACAAATATTGTTTGCCTTCATATATATTTTAGAAACCTACAATAAAGTATCTTGTTCTGCAAAGTAAAAAGATTGATCATCAAATGTAAGTTTTGCCAAAAGTGTTTGTATTTGATCACATTTCACATAATGTATCTGTGTGTTATTTAAGCCCATTCAGTGAATTCAGTCGATTAAATATTTATGGGCTTCATCAGGCCCATTAATGACCGATCGAATGGAAAAGTAGTGCACGTGCGTAGAGAGGTCGACAGGGCATTAACAGAAAACATATATTCGTCGTACCTTCAAATTTTTGTTGGCATGGCTGACTTGACCAAGCTGTACAATTTGGTACGATGTCATTTTACGTACCAGAAAACGACTAACGAGGATTATTGTATGTGATCGTCTATTACTAGTAATCACATATGATATAAATAATTGTATATTATTTGCGTTTTTTCCTTCGTTGACTATGGATTTATAGAAGAAAGTGGTTTAGACGAATTTGTCAAAATTGATATCAAGGTACAGTATCCTATTTAATTCACCGCAAATGAAGGAACCGACTTACGTTTTTAGAAACTAGAAGAACGATTATCTGCTTTATGTGAGGACAATTAAGCTCTAAATTAATCGGACTCTTTTTTCCTAAACCCTTTAATTGCCCTTCGAGGTATCCAAAAGCGTTTATGACACATCAGGTACTACGACTATACAAAATATTGCCAGCTGTGCGTATATATGAATTCATATCATTACTATTAAAGTATTAATTTACAATATCTCGGATAGAAAGTTCACCCATAAAACCCACTTCTATACATCTTTTTGGGTCTCAACAGTCAGCACCCAACTTTATATATGGAATTTAAAATAATACTGTAGTATAAGACAAAATTCCATTGACATTTGATCCCTTTAATTTGTTTTTTACCGTCAAATGAAGCCATTAATTCTTTTTTTTTTGGCGCTAAATAAAGCCATTAGTTCTGTAAAGTCATAAAGAAATATCAACTTGTAGTTTTTTTTTTTTTTTTGCTAGTGGATTTAGAAATATTAACTTAGGTACGTATATATTTGTTTCTGCAATGATCTTCGCCTGTATAGTGTATGTTTGTAAATATATTTTAAAAAACTTCATCTATGCATGTTATTACGTGTGTTGCGCTTTACCTCCATATTTCAGCAATAATTAAATGATCACATATATTCATTTGCAATGATAGCATATGTAAGAAAGGTCGATCCATTAGTTCTGTAAAGTCATAAAGAAATATCAACTTGTAGTTTTTTTTTTTTTTTTTGCTAGTGGATTTAGAAATATTAACTTAGGTACGTATATATTTGTTTCTGCAATGATCTTCGCCTGTATAGTGTATGTTTGTAAATATATTTTAAAAAACTTCATCTATGCATGTTATTACGTGTGTTGCGCTTTACCTCCATATTTCAGCAATAATTAAATGATCACATATATTCATTTGCAATGATAGCATATGTAAGAAAGGTCGATCCGCTTCATCAAAAGGAAAAAGAAGATCGATCCATGTGTTCAACACATATGCATTCTATCACAAACAAAACTTCGCAAAAATGTCTCGACTTATCAAATACAATACGAGTAAGGAGAAACAGACAAACATGCACGGAATTAAAGTTGATCTATATATATTTTATTATTATTTTTGTTAAGTATGCATGAAATTTATTAATAGTTAATATAGCACCATCAACAACCGATGTGTTTTGCAGAATCACCATTATTAAATAATCAATATACCGAAAGTGGGTAATGAACTAATGATTAATGAATAGTTTCACGTTGAACAATATAAATCATATAGTATTATAATTATCTTTGAGAATGCTAGAAATCAGCTCAAACATAACCCGAACGGGTGACCAATGTTTGGATTTTTAAGTCACGAATAAGTATTATTGTATTTTGTGTTTTGAGCTGACTTCCTCTCTATTTTTGTCAACTCCTACGAATGTTTTTGTTCCGCCATTTCAAATTAGTATTATACAATTCTCAGCCAGATAGAGGAAACACCAAAACTGAAAAAAATTCTATTTATTTTGTTGTCAACAATTTGAATAATCCGTTTCGACATCAATTAGATGTTAGCGGAAGACGTTATGTATGCGTGACTTTTTAGATGTCTTTGTCTTTCTTTCGTTGAGTTTCAATTTGATTTTTCCTTATTGAGAAAGATAAATAGACAAAATTTTGTTCTTAAGAAATGTTGAAACTCAAACTGTTGTTCAAAAGTCATCGCATGTTTCGGTAGTTCGAGGAAGCTCACCGTTGACAATATTGTATATATACTCTGTGATTTGTCGCACAAACTATACCATAGTCAAATAATGCTAATTTAAATCTATGTACATTTTTGAAAGATATTTCGGAGTCTTTTGAAATAATCATTTTATGAACATGTATAATGTACAAGATTAAATCCAGATGCGCTAGCATAAATTACTAAGCTAGTATTTGTTTTGTTTGACATTAATTTACTAAGCGCTACATATCCTGGTCAATTGTTTAAAAAAAAAAATCTTTTGTAAATGGTGTTCTTTCGAAAATTAATTTAAATATGTACTTAACTAGTAGTTTAACTTGTGTATTTTACGTCTTCTTCCATGCATTCATTCATTTAATATATACGTGAGTGTAAATAATAGCTAGAGAATAGTAGTAATAATATACTCCTTTGATTTGGTTGGAGTTTTGGACATACGCGACTCTAATGGGCCCGCGCATTTGATGCTGCGAGTTACACGTTCGTGTACGTAATCAATCGGACTTGTACGGAGTCATGAAGCGATTAGCGATGAATAGTTGAATGTATTAATTATTGAGTACATTTGTGAAAATGGAAAAAAATGAATATTTGTCTCACACGTAAACCATAATCGATTGGGTGATTACACGTTATTTCGGAATTTTATAAATAAAAGATATTGTACATATCTACATATTTACAAAATTTATGTATTAGACAATACTATTAGCCTGCCAAAAGATTAGGAGTTGAGCAATATGCTAATAGCACTTGATTATTGAAAATTATATTTTTGTTGGCATCATCTCATCCTTATCAGAAGAATCTTCCCTACTAGCAATGATAATCGTATTTTAGTCTGAGGACAAAGGGAGTAGAGACCATACAAATATTTAATTGAATAACCCAAAAAACTTGTTTAAATAGATTAAACGACACAAACTGATTAACAAAAGTTAGAGCCCAAACTCAGATCTGTGTTTCAGTTATTTTTAATTTTGAGTGCATATATTGTCTTCATATGAATAAAACTATAGGGAGGCCGAAGGCATCTAAAGGACACACCGTACACAACTCTTTTTTAATAAACCTTGTCGCCAACATTATTCAATGAGCAATGTTTTTTTTTTTTTTTTTTTGCTGTTACCAAATCGGGACAAAAAAATATGTTTGCAACGTGGAAATCACACGTGTTGTTGCATCATAATTGTCTCATCAAACAACATATGTATGTACCATCGGTTGAATTTTCGGTGAGTCATCCTCTTCTCTGCATTTAGACCAAAATTAGTTATAAGATTTATTTCGAAAATTAAAACATTACGATAAGAACATGAATTTTAGTTGAATGCTTACGAAACTGTGGTTAATGCTAAATTAAAGCTAAACATTAAAGTGTGGAGTTAATTAAAGAATTCTTTAGGTGAGAAAAGCAAAAGGGCAAGTTTTTTTTGTTCCCAAAATCTAATCCAACGGTTGACATGCTTTCTTCTCATCCATACCGTCCATATATCTGACTCAGTCTTGCTCCTAAAATCATCATCTTTCTTGGCTTCATCTCTATATAGAGTTCTACGCCTCTTACTTTGCTCTTCCTCTCTAGTTCTTAGACAGCCACAAAATCCATTTTCTCTTTCCGTTCTCAATTCTTAGCCGTTGATGATCTAAATCGATCAATCAAACATAACAGAGAACCAGAGCTTTGAAACTCTGAAAAACAGAGGAAACCAGAGTAAAGAGTCTTGTTTTATTTTTGTGTCGTCAAACATTTTTCGATATACTCTTCTCTCTTTCTTTGTCTTGTCTTAACCGTCGCTTATCTGTCTCCGGTCCGAAACTAGCTCTGTTCATTGGTTTTGTCTGATCTGTTTTTGAACGATGAGGAGGTTAAGAGGGATCAAAATTAGAAGACCGATTCAACGAATCTCGAGATGGATCCTTCGGAAAACCCGTATCCGCCGTTCGAGACACATCCGGTTAACTCCGACCCGACCGGTTTGCAAGCCGCGAGCTCGAGCCATCACAAAACTCATAAGCTGGGGTCGTAGCCTCACATCCCACAGCGCCAGGTTTCTCGGGTCTAAAAGATCAAATTCCGGGTATATACCAATTGGTCAGGAACCGATTCGAGATAAACCCGATCCGGTTCCGAAAGGTCATTCGGCGGTTTACGTTGGTAAACAAGACGGCGACTTTCACAGAGTTCTGGTGCCCATCGTTTACTTTAACCATCCTCTGTTCGGTGAGCTTCTGAGAGAGGCAGAAGAAGAATTTGGGTTTTGTCAAGAAGGTGGAATCACCATCCCTTGTCCTTACTCTGATTTCAAACGGGTCCAGACCCGAATTGAATCCGGGTCGGGTTTCGGTAAATTTTCCTGGAGCCGGCGCCGGCAATAACGACGACTGAAGAAAACGGTTCATGATGATGATGATGAAAAAAGTTTTAACCTTTGTTATTTTTTTTGTCACTATTTTCTATGTTTTGTCACTTTGTGACCCTTTTCACTTGTCACTTTTTTTTACCCTTTTGTTAGATATATGTATATGTGAAAATGAGATTTATTTAGTTTTAAACTAAGACGACAATGTAAATAATTTAGAGATTTTTCTTTTCCCGTAGTTGCATGAGTGCTTTTGGTGGGACTATGATTATGAATTTATGATTAAGATAGTGATTTTAAAGGTAAAATTATGAAAATGATGAAACCCAAAGAAAAAGTTTAACACGATTCTGTTCTTCTTTGGACCTACACAAGATTTTGTTATCAATCACAATTATTCATCATTGTTAATCCCACTTTTTTTCCTATATACATGCATATTGGAAAAATAATTGAAAATTTTTTAGATCAGAAATTTTCCAACAGAAAAATGTTGATGGACGACAAATAATAGTTACATGCAAAAAAAAAAAATTTGACTGCCAAATTTATTTGCCTACGAAATACTGTAACGAGAAAACATTGTATTGTATTTTTTTTTCCTGTCTATTGTTGGGCATTATGATTATCATTCAATCTAATTTCGTGCAAGTGTTGACATATATGGTGAATATATGGCTGGGAAAAATTATGGGGAGAATACTGCCAAAGGAGATATTATGGCATTGAAATGATCGTCGCCATTAGAGTCCCTTTCGATATCTCTATACGTAGCGATGATTTTTTCAGTGGAGAATCCACGAAAAAATCAATGATTTGGCAAGCCGAGAAAAAGGAACTTATAGAAAAATACTGAGGTTTTATTTAGCGAACAACTACATAATTGAGTTGGCTCAGGTAGAATAGTAACGCCTGGCTATTAACGTAATTTTTCCTTATGATATGATTTGATTTTAGTCTAATGTACTAATGGTAAGAAACGCAGCGATACATAATAGTACTCCTTACTAGACGTATTCAGTATGGAACAAGAAACGAGTATTATCACGTGTTCTTTGTATGGAAGTTCGTATTTCTCCAATTTCTAGATTGGATCAATAGGTAGACTAATTAATTATGCTTGTTAAACAAACAATATTACGTTTAACGATTGTAGACCTATTTTATTTCGAACAACTCAATATTTTCTTGGACTTGTTATGAAACTATTTCATACATTTAAAATATATTTGTTCAGTTATATAATAACAAACTACACATATGAATAGTCATGTGAAATACTTAATTAATTGGTTGTTGAGGTGCCAAGTTGATTCATAGGTTGGCCCAAATTCTATTGAGTTGAAAACTTGAAATTAACGTGGATAAGTAGTGGCTGTATCAATCAGTGATTGTATTTCTCCAAAGGCATATATCAACTTGAGAAGACAAAGCTTAGACGTAAACTATATATAATTTTTTTTTTTTTTACTTTTTAACCAAACCAAACCTAATAGGATCAAACCACACTTAAATCGACCAACCCTAAAATCGACGTCTCAACGGTATATATATATATATATATATATATAATATTTGTTTTTGCTTTAGCTTATTGTTTCGTAGGTTGATTTGGTAAAAGAAACTCGATCTCATCTTGATTTGATTCTTATGAATGCGATCCTCTCTATCTTCTATTGTTAATTCGTCTGGAAATCGCTACGATTCATGTTGCAGAACATGCGCGGTTTTACATTAGTTGGTTAGATAAGTGAAACCATTGTTTTATATTAACTTGGATTTAATTAAATCTGTAAGTGGCACAAATTCTCTTATGTGTTCATGTTTTTCTATCCTTGAGCCATATCAAATTGCTTCATTCTTCTCAATATTTTCAATTAGATCTCTCGTTGTTTCACATGAATAGGTTCGTTTGCGAACATGCATCCTATTTGGATTGCTCTTTTATGTCTTCGACTTGAGTGGATTGTATTTCTGTTTCTTTGTTCACCTTATCAGTTCAGCGGAGAAAAAAATACTGTTGAATCTTTCGACAAGGGATTCTGTTGACTAGTGTCTTATCGAGCGCATGGAGAAATCTCTGGTAAAGGGTTCCTGGATTGCACTTGATAGGTGATGTGTGCACAAATCTTGATGTCAAAGAATTTTCTCGGCAGATTCCTTAAGGAATCATCACATATCCACCAATTCACCTTAATGTGTAATGAGAAGGATCGTGTTAATGCTGATGGAATCTGCTTGAAGTGGTTGATCTTCAAAAGTTGTTGTTACCCGTGGAGTTCAATGTTTTGCACTTGACGGTTCTTTTTTGCATCCCGTGAGCTTTTACAAGTGTGAGACATTGGTACACCTGAGGTTGGAGTTTGTGAAGATGTGTGAATTTGATGAGTGTCAGATTTTCAATCTACCTCGCCTTGAGATTATATGCATTCAAAGTCTGTTTGGTTCTCGAGTCAGGTGCCTCTAGAGAGGCCTAAGGGGATGTATTCGTCCATATGGTGGAGACTCTGGAGTTGTGATCGACACTCCCATGGCTTAGAGTTTTTGTGTATCAGGGATGGTACGTTGGAAAAATTTTAGATTGGAGAGCGTGAGTTCTTCTATATATCAAGATGTTATCGATGTTGTTTCTGTTCCGGCATGTCACAAATGTTGCCTATGTATCTCTCGAGCTGTCCCAACCTAAAATCTCGACTACCCGCGAAATATTTTGCTAGGCTATGGATTTGAATTTAAGCCGTTTATTTTATTTGTCGATCATTAGATTTCTTTAAAATTTTGGGTACTTGTAGTCTTTTGTCTTTCATCTTCGTATTATTGATCCGATTGCAGTTACGACTTTATGTAAATAAACTACTTATTTTGTCAGTGCATTGTAGAGAAATTCCTTTGGTCGTGGTCAAGATTTAAAGAAAGTTGTTTCTACCACTTTAAAGTTAAAAAATTCTCCACTATAAGTCTATAACTTGAGAGGAGAATATGTGCGATGGAATCGATCTAGCGAACATATACTAATCAAAAGGATCATGATTAAAATGGGACCTTCTTTTCACAAAAGAAGTCTCACGAAAATACATAGCTCCCCAAACCAAATCTTCTCTAATTATGACTAAATCATTTAGACACCCTATTTTCTATTCAAATACTAAAACGAAATTTGTCATCCAGTTTGTCGAGTTTTTGGTATTCATTACAAGTAAATGTTTATATGCCAAGTCATAATTACAATTATCGAGTTTTAAGCTTTGCATAATTCGTTCTAGACATATCCACTTACCTCGTCGACCGACCCTCAAAAAAAAAAAAAAAAAAGAGATTAATAAAAACACTAGGAATTAATATAGGAACGATAAAATCAAAAAACCAAAACCATTTGAAAAACAATCACAAAGTTAACAACAAAACTAAAAGAACAAAAATATGAGAAGACTCTTTCTCTTCTCTCTCTTTTTCTTCCTCTTCTTCCACAAATCATCCTCCTCAAGATCTTCATCAGAATCACACATCTTCATCTACGGTGGATGTTCGCCTGAAAAATACACACCAAACACTCCTTTCGAATCAAACCGTGACACTTTCCTCTCCTCCGTCGTCACTTCCTCCTCCGACGCTTCCTTCAATAGCTTCGCCGTAGGCAACGACTCTTCCTCATCCTCCTCCTCCTCTTCCGCCGCCGTCTTCGGTCTTTATCAATGCCGTGACGATCTCCGATCATCAGACTGCTCAAAATGCATCCAAAACTCAGTTGATCAAATCACTCTCCTTTGTCCTTACTCTTACGGTGCTTCTCTCCAGCTTGAAGGATGCTTCTTACGCTATGAGACCAACGATTTTCTCGGGAAACAAGACACGAGTCTTAGGTATAAGAAGTGTAGTTCCAAGAGCGTTGAGAGTGATTATGATTTCTTTAAACGGAGAGACGATGTGTTGTCGGATCTTGAGTCGACTCAACTCGGTTACAAAGTTAGCCGGTCCGGTTTAGTCGAAGGTTATGCTCAGTGTGTTGATGACTTGAGTCCTAGTGACTGTACGGCTTGTCTTGCGGAATCTGTTGGGAAACTAAAGAATCTTTGTGGCTCGGCGGTTGCAGCTGAGGTTTACTTGGCTCAGTGCTATGCTCGTTATTGGGGTTCTGGTTACTACGACTTCTCTTCAGGTCCGTCCATAAATTCAAATAATCATTCTTTCATTTAGTAACTATTGCTCTAGCTACGTAACGTCTCTTAAACCCGGATTATGACACCGTTACATATATTAATTATGTAACTTAAAGCTTAGTGGAGTTCATAACATAGTTTCCTCAATTATGTTTAACGGCTTAACTATATAGTTTTAAATTGTAATGAATTTTAATGAAATGTGTGAAAATTTGACCTAATTCAATTGTCCGCCGCTTACACTTGATAAATCACGAGTATTGCTTTGGTAGTGGTAGCACGAGAAAGCTGAACAAATCATAACATATCTTCCCTTTTTTTCTTGCCTGCAAAGACACCGGTTAGTATATTGAACAAAATTAAAATTAATCCTTTGAATTATTCGTTGGAAAATTCGAGTTTCATGGTTAAAATATGATTGGTCAGAAAAAAAATGTGATTTGCAAATATTATATATCTATATTAATATAATATTCTTTTCTTTATAGGCATAGCCACCCATGTCCCCCAATCCCAACTTTATTTTATATATTCTTTATAGCTTGATCAATATCACACAGTTCAAAAGTCACTACATCTTAGAAATTCTAATTCTTAGCTTGATACTATGGTCTTACCTTAGGTACTTTGTCACATACTATAAGAACTTTCTAACTTAATCTTACTTTCGTAATCAAGATCCAACGAACGGAGATAACGTGGGCAAATCAATTGCGATCATCGTAGGAGTCATTGCTGGATTCGCAATTCTTGTAGTTCTCCTCTCCCTCTGCAGAAGCTCAATGCGTAAGTATATATACTTACTTGCCTAATCTTCACCCATTTTGATTTTGAGACTTTCAGAATTATGATAATCTTATTTTTCATTATGCTGATTTGCAGATTGATCTAAAGAAGACATGACTCGGGATAAAAGATTCTAGAGACCTGGTTTTTAGTTTTGTTTGAATTATCTTATTTTGTAGGAACACATCCGTTACCGTCCTTATTGATTATTTTTGATTTATCAAAAGGAACAAACCTCGAAGTGACCTATATAATATATGATTTAGCTTTGATGTATAATTTTTTTTGGTTGTTAAAGTTGATGTATAATTTAATATTTGAAGATTGACCCGTATTGTCTGCCTTGAAAGACGATAACTTTATTCCATCAAATCGTTATAGGCTTATACCAACTTTCCTTAGCAGGCGCAATTATTCGATACTCATACTTATATCGTAAATTTTAATATAAATTCGGAGAATTACGTGATTCGACTTGAGTATCTTTAGACTTTATTGGTTCTGCCGGGAAAAAGGACTTAGCAGGTTAATTCAACCTGTGGTTCGTGCTAGTACGATCCGTTAATAAGATCCGAGTCTACCCGGTTCTCATGGATCGCAGTACATTTCCATTGGACCATTAACTTATGGTATGGGCTTCGCCCCACTAAACAGTGCATCATGAAGTCTTATCAACTGAACATATCTAAGAGCAACCTTAATGGTGAACCCCTCAAGGGGTTCATACCAAATTGTTTATTAATAAAATTTTGAGATATAAAAAGTTTAAAACCCCATCTAATTTATTACTCCAATGGTGAACCTCTCATGAGTTCATAGCAAATAAAATGAATTTTACAAGTTATAGTTAGGAGTTTTACAAGTAATTCATATTATATATATCATACAAAGTTACACAATTCACATTACAATCATTCACTTGGTAAAGCACTCAAATTCAAACATATATATAAAAAAAAAAACAGCAAAAGCAACAAAATTAAAAGAAAAAAAATAGAGGAATGCGCTCTTTTAGCTAATCGGAACAGGAGCTCCGTTCCATTCTTTGAGACAATCCATCAATGGATCAATAATTTTACCTTCACACATTGCAGTAAATATCTTATCAAACTCTTCAACCGCCTGACATATAGCGACGAGGAACGTCGTCGACATTAGCTTGAGAATGTCGACAGCTTTCAAAGTTTTGCGAGACGAAATGAGTCCGAGAGAGTTCACGTCTTGGTTGTGTTCTTGGTTGTGTTGTTCAGCTGATTGGACATGGCTTCTCACTTCTTCTTTCTCTTTGTACTTTGCAAAACATATGCAACATCCCTAAAAATTTCCAACACATTCAAAAAAATCAATTCGATTCCCGTTTTTTGCAGTATGCAAAAACAGTTGTAATGTTTGTAATTCCCTTTTATCTAATTTCCAATTTGATCAAACCGGTGATATCAAAATGTTCTTTGCAGATTCACAGGGTAAACAATGTATAGAAGGATAGATTTCTGACTATTTGACTATTTTAGAATTCAGATAAGAGCTTTACCGGATCATTGTTTGCTTGAGCAAAATCAGAACCAGAGGTTTCATCAATCCAACTGGAGTAACGAAAGAAGAGAGATAAACCATCGCGGGTCCAATTAATTCTGCATCTGGAACAATGGATCATCTCAAAAGATTGGCTTGGATACAACAACCTCCGTGAGGCAAAGACAGCCACCATTGCAGGCAAGCCCCGCTCCAATGCAAAAAGGCACCAAAGCTTGCCACACCACAGCCAATATCCAGGGCAACACAGGTGAATGTTCCAAATGTAATGCCAGGAATCATCTGCAAAATTCAATCTAAGATAATATAAGATCAACATGAGCCAATAAGAAAAACACTGAAAAAGACTGAGGGATTGAAAAATAAAAATAAAAAAACAAACCTGAGAGATCTGGTCTAAATACTGATCACCTCCATGGATAAACTGAGTTCCACCCCCTGGGAAAACAAACTTGTCTTTCTCTCTTCTTATCCAGTTTTGACCACCTTTGTCTTCCACTAAGCGTGTATGTGGCACATTATTGAACCATACCTGCCACAAGAAATGCATCAGTCCATAAAACTAGTGACTGTAATCTGTCTTCGTCTTCTCACACAGACTCAATTTCTCAATCGGGAATCTTACTTTCGAATCATCTTCTCCGGTTGGTTCCTTTTCCCCCTCCGACGAAGAATTTCTGGTGGATGATTTAATGGAGATAACAGTCTCGATTTCGTCTTCAAAATCTCCGATTGCTCAGCTGGAATCCCACAGGAAGAGAGGAAAATCGTGCGGCCAAAATGAACAAGAGAAAGATATGTTTTGTGAGATGAGAGAGGGTGTCCAAGACAAAAAAACACAAACCAATTAAAAACGACCACGTCGCGTATGAACTCCTCAAAAATGAGGCTCTAAAAATCCTTCCTGACAAACCGGTTCATCTAATATAATCGATTAAACATTTTTTTTAAATCGAAAATGGGTTATGAACCCTATGCTGAACCCTTTAAAAAACACCGTTGGAGGTGCTCTAAAACATCTTTTCATGCAACTATAAAAAACCCGAGACAATGTTATAGAGAAATTGAATGAAATAGCACAAAAAACTATAAAAGTTCCCAAAAATAGACTCTTTTTGAAAACCTACCCAATATTAACATCCAAATAAGAGTGTTAAGGGTAAACTAATTTTTGGCTGTTTAATGAATGATATACTTTAGGTAGCTTTCAAATAAGAGTGTTATATTTGTCAACCATAAATTTGTGATACTATTTTAGAGAATTTCCCAATGTAATATTAATATATGTTCCCTTGATCTAATAGTGTCATTTCATATAATTTTCTATTATATTAGAAATTTAAATTATAACAATATTAGATAAGTTTCTGAAAAATTAAAGATGATAATTAAACCTGTTCTACAAATTACTGCTCCCAACAAAAACGATATTAATATCACATATCAAATTATATATTTTAATGTATTTCTAAGCATTCATAGTTATTACTTATAAAATTTTAAGAGATTCCGATGTGGTGGGCCGGGATAAGTAATCAGCTTATCATATCTATTCTAATAATGAGATTATGATTTCTCTCAAAAAGTTTTCTTATTACATATCAAAAAGCATTTAGATTTAATCCACTAACCTCTCTACTCTTGAATTCAATAAAATTGTCAAGAAAGGGAAAATGAGTACATTACTCGACATATACCTAATACACCTATATACGTTCACTTCGATACGGCATCGCATTAATTCACCACCTGAAAAGTAAAGCGTAATTAATGAAACTAGTCTCATATGCATGGCCATTAATCATCATAGAAACAGAAGCTTACACATAGTCTCACACGTGCCTTATATCTCTCTCCATGTGTTAGATTTCTCGCATCATCTTCATCTACGTTATACGACAAGTTCCATTACTCGTTTACTCTAAAATACACCACCACCACAACAACAATCATTTTAATGCACACTTCAAGAAAATCACGAAAATTAACACACCAACTATCCTACTAAGATTTACGAAAAAATGTACACGTTTGTTAAAATCACCGACTTCTTCACCATCCTATTCTTTCTAGGCATTGCAAACGTCGCAGCCGCCTCAAACACATCTGAATTATATTTGCTTGAGACGGCTCGAGCTGCAGTGGTTGAAGCCAGAACTAGGGTTGGGTTAATGGCAACGGTAGAGGCAACAAATGAAGTTGCAAGCGGTTATTATTATTCGGGGTTAAGTGACTGTGAGAAGCTCTACGATGAGAGTGAGGCTAGACTATCGAAACTGGTCGTGGCTCATGAGAATTTTACCGTTGAAGATGTTAGAACATGGCTAAGCGGAGTGCTCGCGAACCATCACACATGTTTAGACGGTTTGGATCAGTCACGTCAAGGTCACAAGCCTTTGGTCCATAATAACGTCACATTCGTGCTCCGCCAAGCTTTGGCTTTCTACAAAAAATCTAAAGGTCATATTAAAAAAAGTAAGAACACATGCATACATACATTCATGTATACGTATTTACATTTTAAAAATTATATTGTAAAGTAATTATGTATTGGCCGGGGATTGATTTCCGCTATAATGCATTGTTTGTTTTGAAAACTCTCTCACGATTTGCTATAAATCCTCTATTAATATTGTGTAGGGATGCATGGACCAGCGACACCGAACCATAGACCAACGAGACCACACCATGGACCGACAATAGCACACCATGGATCTGCGAGACCATACCATGGACCAGCGAGACCAAACCAGAGCGGAGGAATGTTAGTGTCATGGAATCCGATAAGGTCAAGGGCGGACTTCGTGGTGGCTAAGGACGGTTCGGCGACTCATCGGTCGGTGAACCAGGCATTAGCCGCCGTTTCAAGAATGGGTAAAAGCCGGTCGCATAGAGTGGTAATTTACATAAAAGCTGGTGTGTATAACGAAAAAATCGAGATAGATAGAGAAATGAAGAATATCATGCTAGTTGGTGATGGTATGGACCGTACAATCATCACCAATAGCCGAAATGTCCCGGATGGTTCCACGACTTATGGATCTGCCACGTTTGGTATAACGTTTATATACGATTTTTTTTTTTTATACAAACAAAAAGAAATTTAACTTTATTAGCTTTCATATTATATAAAATAGATTTTTGCATGTTGGTATATTTATTAATTAGTCGATATTTATATATATCTAGGAGTGTCCGGGGATGGATTTTGGGCACGGGACATGACGTTTGAGAACACGGCAGGACCACAAAAACATCAAGCTGTGGCGTTGAGAGTCAGCTCGGATTTGTCTTTATTCTATCGATGTAGTTTCAAAGGATATCAAGACACTCTTTTCACGCACTCGCTCCGACAATTCTACCGCGATTGCCATATTTATGGTAATGTTACATATATATATATATATATATGGTTTTATTTCAGGTTAAATTGTTAATGAGACTAGCTAGTCATGTTGTGATCCTATATGGATTCAAAAATTTTGGGAGATTTTGGATAGGTACGATTGATTTCATATTTGGAGATGCGGTAGCTGTTTTCCAAAACTGTGATATATTTGTGAGACGGCCTATGGATCACCAAGGCAATATGATCACAGCTCAAGGAAGAGACAACCCACATGAAAATACAGGTATATATTATCTTATGTGACCAATCGTTGAAAATGAATAAAACGTGTTCAATAACCATAACAACTGAACCACTTTGATACCACCAATATAAAAAAATTAAGCTTGAAACTGAAGATAGAATAGCTTAGAGACTAAATTTCAAATCAAAACTAAAATTGTATAAAAACCAATCCATATTAGAACATAACTTTGGTTACCGTAGTTAAACCAGAAACCATAACATGAAATTTTAACCTGAACCGGGTTTGAACGCTCCTACTCGATAGTAGGTGCATTATATTCCTGGTTAGTGTTAACCGGTTTCTTTGTTTGATGATATTATGTAGGTATTTCGATCCAACACTCAAGGGTCAGGGCGGCACCAGAATTCGAGGCGGTTAAAGGCCGGTTTAAGAGCTACTTGGGGAGGCCGTGGAAGAAATACTCTCGGACAGTGTTTCTCAAGACAGAGATCGACGGTTTGATTGACCCGAGAGGGTGGAGAGAATGGAGAGGCGATTTCGCTCTGTCGACGTTGTATTACGGCGAGTTTATGAACACCGGAAGCGGAGCAGGGACTAGTAGAAGGGTGAATTGGCCGGGATTTCACCTCCTTCACGGCGAGGAAGAGGCTTCTCCGTTCACTGTCAGCCGATTTATACAAGGAGATTCTTGGATCCCTATCACCGGTGTGCCGTTTTCCGCCGGGGTTTGACTTTTGAGTTGTTCTTGAGTGATTTAAGATAATATCAACGTGAACACATACATTTTAGAGAATACTTATGTTTTTCTTATTATTGTTAATCTGAGCAAGTAATCACATAGACTACATTGTCTTTCCTATTCTACTTGTACGACTAATCATGGTATTTAGTTTGTGTTTTGTTTTTTTTTAGAAAAATATTATTTTCAACATAAAAACTTAATTCGCTAAATTTGCATCACTGTGAAAACAATACAAACCATGGTATTCAAAATCGACGCGGAGACAATGGATATGGTTTACCAATCAGAAGCCAGAGGAATCGACCAGAGCTGAGTAAGAAGCATTCTCGTCCGAAGCCGTCGTGGCGAGATTCCTAGTCACCGTTTTCTTTCTGGTCCTGAACACTACTCCATGATCTAAACCAGTCAATTCACACAATTCTAACTTCTGAGATTCGGTTAATTCCATGCCTGAATCCCAACATGGCTCATATATTATATCTTTCACTTTCTCAATCTTGTCCTCCGTTACCAAGATTTTGTTTTGAACTAGCGCAAAATAGGCTTCGTCCGCGGCCTTCTTTCGGATCTGGATCAAGTGAGAAAACAAAAAAAGTCATGTAACCAACATATAAATTTTCTAAATAGAGTTTGAGATTGCAGATAAGTGACATGAACCTTTGGGTATCGGTGGGCAAGTAATGATAGAAGCTGAGAGAACGCTTGTTTGCTGATTGGTTCCGAGACTGAAGCAATAGACCCAAGTATTTTAACGCCTTCCTCGAATTTTCCGAATTCCTTTGAGGCTCTTAGTTCGATGGCTAATGATTCCACGACTCCCGCGTAGAAACTCAACGTATAGGCCTGATATAAAATGTGAATGTGTTTAAGGTTCAATCCACCAGCTCTGGCAATATCTAATCTAAAGAAGTAAAACTATAAAACCAACCTCTTGATTCAGAAAGATCCTTTCGAAGAGCTCTCGAATTGTCTGTGTAAAAAATAAAAACTGTTAAGACATAACCACATAGAAGCTAGAGGTTACTATATAAGGTGGTGTATTTTTACCTTTAGACATGGTACAATAACTCGGTCACATTTCTTATACTCTTGAAGTATCCAGAGGATGTCGTCAAATAATGCAGACTCTCTGGATCGTTGTTCTTTAGGGTCTTTAGCTTCTTCACTTTCCCTCATATACTGCAGCAATGCAGAGAATGACGCCTTTTGAAGTGACTCTTGTAATCCTCCAGTCGAAATTACTAATCCAGACATCACCTCTTTGCTGTAACAACGGAATCCTAATAACTGAACGAAACGTGGGAAAGAGAAAGTCGGCACCTACAAAAGAATATAATAACTTACTGTGAGATAAATCCTTTGAAACCGAAGAAGCAACCTAGGCTTCACGTTCTGCTTACCGCCCATTGTAGGCCTTCTTTGTTGGGAATAATTTCTTCCAGTTTTTCTCTACAAGGTATGAAAGGGACGGTTACAGTTTTGTGATACAAAATCCTTTGAAGAGCTTTTGCAGCTGTTTCTCTTAATTTATCCATTTTCTCCACTCCTTGCTTCACAATGCCTCCAATCAAACGGTTTGCGAGGTTTGAATCGAAAAGCGAAGATGAACCACTATTATGATCGCCCGCTGAAATTGTTCCGACTTTCTCACAGAGGATATATGTACATTTCTCAAGTCCATGGATTGCAGCTTCACGAACCCAAGAGCCTACATCACCTCTGTTATCAACTGAATAGTCATTAAGAGCTTCCAGTAAAGTATCCATCACTTCAGTCTTGATAAGAAGGAAAAGAGACAGGTCATCGTTTTCAGGATCATTGGCACTTTGCTGAGTAAGAGTCTCACACACCGATGTGAGTCCCTTTACAGCATTCATACGCGCCTCAGCATCTCTATCTTCAGGATTCGTCTGCTTGGAAAAGAAAACATCCATTTAAGTTAGTTTTTTTTAGATTGGAAACTTATGTACTGAATAACATTTTGTCTTCTTTACCTCTATCTTACACGCACTGCAGAGCTTCAAAACTACATCCTTCCATTTTACAATCAATAGTTCATACGGCAAAACACCCAGTGCAAGTGCAGAACCTCTTCGAACAGCTACGTTTGGGTCCGTTAGATGTTTCAGGTGTTTTGATATTAAATCAACAGCTTTCTTATCATTTCCAATAAGATAGGATTGCAGAAGCTGTTTAACAGCATTGACAGCTGCATTCTGAATAATAAGTGAAACTTGTCAACTAATCAATTATGCTAAAAGGATGAAAATAAACTTCATGACTTTCAGAAAGATAGGTACCTGTATTTGAGAATTGGGATGTCTTAAATTCTCAGTGAGAGTATCAAGCAGGATCCGTTCTGTTCTCTCAGACAATGTCACACGCGATAACGAGATACATTCGATAAATCGTGAGACAGCTAGTCGCATTATTTCTCCACCTTTTCCACGATAAAGGCGTGCTTTCTCAATGGCAGGGACAATACCAGCCATACGCTTATGGCTATCTGTAAAAATTAAGTGCATCAGAAACATTTAACATAAGGGATAATGATGCCAACCATCGAACTTGTTAATGTTCTCCTCTAACAGAAAATCAACCTCGAACGGGGGTGAAGACAGTCTGAGTGCATCTACGATGATAAGGTCTAGATTGCAAGATGGTTCCCATATTTGTGGTTTTCCATACTAAAAATGATTACTTGCATATGAAAAGATGCCGCAAAAGTCAAAGATGAAAAATCGGTGGTACCAACCAGCAGAAAGGACATAGCCACACTGGTGCAGAGCTAACACAACCTCTCCAGCTGCCAATGTTGCACCATGTCGCATGCACAAATCAGTAGAAAGGGTACAAGGAATTAGTTTCTCCAGCACATAGTTGGCAAAGTGCTCAGGCTCGTATTTAACAAGAGCAGCAAGAGTTTCTGCAGCAAGTTCTCGCAAGCTTTTGTCCTGAAATTATAAGATTGAATAGTTATCATATTATGGAATATACAACTAGAAACAAGGATTTGATACACTAAAGAGAAAACCGTTTGATTTAAATACAAGGAGGACCTTAAAGAGATATTAGATTTGTCGAGAAATAAGAGGCGAACCACTATCAAACAAAGCATACCCAGTGGCAGATCTTGTTGTACAGCAATTCATCCACAAAAGGATATAGATACCCTTCATACTGAGCTATGGAAACAGCAACCTGAAGGTAAGAGTTCACCCGAGAAGAAAGGGAAAAATAGTCAGCTATGTTCACTATGTCAATCCCATGAGGGTAATTTCCTTGCCTTCCAACATTCTCTTGGAAAGCAGCGGCAGCAGCCCTTCTACAGTTCACCTAGTAAAAGAAATCAATAAACTTTACGCAATGAAGAGATCTACAAAAACACATTTCTTCAAATAAAACAGGAAACGGCAAACAAATTATAGTCAAAAGGGTCATTACTCATTAGTACCTCTCTATCAAAGGAACCCACTATCAATAAATCTGGAGCAAGCTGATCCAGCACGTTTTTCATATCTTTGTGATAATAGGCACGCCCAAATGCCCAACAAACATAAGCAGCTGCATCACGCACATGAGATCCAACACTGTGCGGACCTCTGCGGACATCATAATGGAGTGCCTGTAAATGATATTGAAAATCTATAAAGCTTCTGCATAATTCATATGCATTTTAGAGAACAAGTAATCCTGTGAATGGGATAGAGTACGACCTTCACAATAACTGGGACGACTTGTGGGAAACTTCTAGGCAACAGTAATCCTCTACGAGCCAGTTCAGCTAAAGCCAAACAACCCCCATGCCATGAGCCATCTCCCTGAATATCATGAAAATAACAATAACTGCAGGCTAGACAAAGTCTGTTTTAATTGGATTTTAGCACATGCAAGTCATGCTGCCATATACATTATGAGTACCTCTCCTGGTGAAAACAGCTCCAATACAGATGACAGCACCTCTTCAGAAAGAACAGATGTTAGTCGTGAAGTTACACGACCTATACCCTTTGCAGCAGACCAACGAACCACGGTGTCCTACACGGTTAAAAAAATAGTTATTTTTCAGAAGGACAATGCTTGCAAATACTAGTAACATATGAGATTGTCTGGTTGCAGCTGAACGTTTCATGTGGCAAAAAAGTTTGCATCGATATCAAGTCAGGCCCATCACAGCTTTATGTGGCGTGCATATATATATAGCATTCAAGAAATAAAGATCTGTTTGAGTATTCACTGGTCACTCCAGTCTATAGCTTGGTGCATATCAGCGTATATTTCACTCAAATTATTATGTGGTCATCTAGTTGTATAAGTTGAGATGTAACCACCTTAGTTATCAGCCTGACAGTAGTATTTAACCCACTAAACATACCGTGTCTCTCAAACCAGAGAGTAGCATTTCAATTATCTCTTCTAAGATTTCAGGAACATCCATATCTTCATCCTCTTGGTCATCCGAACTTTCTGGTTGTGCGGGCGCCAATCTTTGGGTCGAACTCGTAGATATATTCTCAGAAAGGGAGGCTGTTTGAGCCTGCGTGGTAATTTAATGTAGAAGTTTCAGATGACTAACTGAAAAATGAGATTATGTCATTTACGGGAATAAACCAGATATTCTAAAATATTAAAACCCATGAAGAGGAAGTTACTACTTGCACTACTAATATACATGCTTAAAGGTATGTACCACATAGCGCCAGGAAGGTGTGCGATGAGGAAGACAAACAAGACCTATCCTCTGAGTTAACTTAATCAAATACTTGCGAAGCAGAGGACTTTTAGTAGCTGCATTTGATTTGCTTAGAACGGTCACATCATTCAAGATAGTAGGAAGAACATCCAGCAACACTTTCCGGCTAGCAGTCTGCCAATGATAGTAGACATATAAGATCCAGATGCAAAAATACGAAAACTTAAGTAATCAAAACCAGCAATATTTCCTACAAGATAAAAACATGCAAATCAAATCGGATGTTTACTTTACTGGCATCTATACTTGTCTAACGTGTTCAGGTTACAAAAAGAAACCTTGAAAATGGCAGCCAGAGCCTCCATCACACCAAGCAAGCGAAAGTGGTTCAAGACACTATCTTCCTTAGAGGATAAAACT